AGGTCGGGCGTAGAGTGGCAGTCTGGATGGCGTCAGTTTCAAATTTTTCCATGAATACGTTGGCTACAACCGGAGACAGGGGGGAGCCCATTGGGGTGCCCTCAATCTGTTTGTAGAAATTTCCATTCCAGGTGAAGTATGTGTTGGTTAAGCAATATCTCACCAGGGGGGGGGGGTACATCAGTATGCAGTCCATGATTAACCAAGTCTTCAATGATAGCGATGGTGTCAGGTACTGGAACTTTGGTGAACAAGGACACCACATCAAAACTGACAAGCAGGTCGTCTGGGGACAGGGAAATGTCTTTGATTGTCGATACCAGGTGAGTAGAATTTAGTACTGCAGAGGTGGTTTTTCCAGAGAAAGGTCGCAGTATATCAGCAAGAAAACGTGCCAGTTTATAGGTGGGGGAGTTGATAGTAGAGACGATGGGACGAAGGGGTGTATCTTCTTTGTGTATCTTTGGAAGGCCATATAATCTTGGTGGTCTGGCAGCAGAGGGTTTCAACGAGAACTGTTTGGTCTGATGAATTAATGCTGTTGAATCAGAGATGATTTTGTTCGTTTTGGTAACCAGGCTGTTGGTGGGATCTCTTTTTATTTTTGTATAGCTGCCATCGTTGAGTAGTTCTTGAAATTTGTTGTTATATTCTGTTTTGTCCATGATGACAGTGGCATTGCCCTTGTCGGCTGAGAGGATGACAATATCATCTCTCTTTTTTAATTGAGATAATTCAAAGTGTTCATCTTTGCTGATGTTGCTAGGTGGCAACTTAGCGTTTTTGAGGGTTGCAGCGATTTCAGATCTTGCTATGTCTGCAGAGATGTGACTCAAGCCCTTGAGTGCAACGTCGACAAGGGCAATGATATAATTAACCGGTATGTGTCTCGGTGTGACAGCAAAGTTTAGACCTTTAGCTAAAACGGATTTCAGGCCATCAGAAATGGAACTGTTACTGCGATTAATTACGACTTTGTTAACGTTTAACTTTTCAGTGTGTGGATCCGATTTTTTGTTGGAAAGATGATTGAATTTGGAAATCAAATTGTTCCTACATTTGGTCGACATAGTGGCAGACGAAGAGGTAGTCATATTGTCTATATGTTCCCAATCCGATGTAGACATAGTTGCTGTCAATGTTAAGTGTGATTTGTAGAGTGTCTTGTCTAACTGATCCAGCTTGGTGCGTGTAAGTCTGATTTTTTCTGAGATAAGAGCGAAGCTAGTTCTAGCTAGAATTCGTTTTGCATTGAAAGAAGTTGCAGCAGCAGAGGTTCGTGTAAATGCGGTTGGTATTACCTTAGGGTCACGGCATCTCTTCAGAAAGGTGAGAGACTCGATTAGTTGAGCTTTCTTGTCCCGGAGTTTGTTGAATGATCTTAAGGTTGTGTGGAATCCCTCCCCGTAGAGGCGGTTAAATTTCGATTTAAAGCTTTCGTGACTGCAAGGATTCATCTTCATTGGTTCTTTCGGTAAAGTCACGTAGAATGAGAATAAAATAATAAAATAAAACAATAAAATTCTCACGACGTTTCGGCCACAACACAAGTGGCCTTCTTCAGGTGAAAGGAACAAACCTGTCGGGACGACAGAGCTACAATGAACGCTGCTAAGATTCGCAGCGTCTTTTAAGCTGGTTGAGAGAAGTGAGGCAATTCTAGATTTAAAGCTTTCGTGACTGCTAGGATCCATACTCTTTGGTTCTATTGGGTAAAGTCACGTATGTGAAAATAAAATAACAAAAAATCACGACGTTTCGGCCACAACACAAGCGGCCTTCATCAGGTGAAGGGACGAGACTGTCTGGAGAACAGCGCTGGAGTGAGAGAAGCCACGCTTAGATCACGACCTATAAGCTGTGTGAGAAGAAAAACAAAGCGCCTTGACAAAGGAATTAGCATATAATTTAGCATTGAAATGGCTCATTTAAATAGCTAAGTTAAAGTATACACATCCACAGAGGTACCCCTTGACAAAGGAATTAGCATAGAATTTAGCATTGAAATAGCTGAGTGATTAGCTTGTAACTGGTCACAGAAATAGCTATTTTGATTTAAAGCTTTCGTGACTGCAGTAATTCATATTCTTAGTTTTTTCGGTAAAGTCACGTTGAAGAGAAACAACAAAATAATAAAATATATATAAAACAATAAAAAATTCTCACGACGTTTCGACCATAACTCAAACGGTCGTCTTCTGAAGATCGGTCGTCTTCTGAAGACGACCGTTTGAGTTATGGTCGAAACGTCGTGAGAATTTTTTATTGTTTTATACATATTTTATTATTTTGTTGTTTCTCTTCAACGTGACTTTACCGAAAAAACTAAGAATATAGAAATAGCTATGTTAAAGTCAGAGCATATACATTCACCGAGGCACCTAGTACTAATCAAACAGGATAATTTAGCGAAACACAACCACGCTCAGACAGCGGACCTTTAAACTGTGTGCGAGCAAACAAGGTGTTCTGACAAAGAAATTAGCATAAAAATTAGCATTTGATTGGCCGATTTTAGGAAAGAGGTGGTGTACGTGCCGGTGGACTTGCCGTTTGGCGCGGGGGGGGGGGGCAGGGAGGGGGAGTTTACCTATTGATGGTGTGAAAAGGGAATTTATAAGAGCTGCGAAAGTTTGGGGTACCACTACTTGAAAAAATATACTGTACCATTGAAATTAGTTTAATGTTTAGTTCGATTTAGAACATCTTTCCAATGGTTGCTTAATTTGAAACCATCTTCTCGGTTGAAATTGTGTCTGTGTTTGTAGATCTGAATTGCTTCATGAACAAATCTCTGATAAAAGCCCGTGGGTTTGCAAAGAACCTTGGTATCGGAGAAAATTATATCGTGATCCCCCACAGCGTTGTAACAGTGATCAGCCACGGCAGAAGAATTCGTTTTGCCGTGTTTCAAATCTGATTTGTGCTCGCGAATTCGGTCAGAGACATGTCGCTTTGTCTCCCCGATATAGCAATCACCGCAGGTACAACTCAATTTGTAAACCCTGGGGTACTGTAAGTCAGGAATGACATCCTTCACGGATGGGATCAGATCACGAATTTTGTGTACTGTATTGAACCGGACCTGGATCTTGTGTTTGTTTAGAATTTTGGAAATCTTTTTAGTAACGCCTGCTATATATGGAAGTGTGATGGTTTTGACCGGAGCATCAAGTGGTTGTTTCTGTATGGAGGAAGAAACAGCTTGGCGGATGGTACGGTCAGAGTAACCATTCCTTTTGAGGGCCAGGTGTACATGTTTTAATTCACTGGTCAGGTGGTGTTGGTCCGAAATGCAATGAGCCCTATGGTATAAAGTTTTGATGAGAGAATTCTTCTGGGCTGGGTGGTGGTAGGAATTAGGTTTCAAGTAGGAATCTGTGTGGGTGGGTTTCCTGTAGACAGAATGCTCCAATGAGCCATCAGGTCTCCTCTCAAACAGAACATCTAAGAATGGTAGCTTTCCATCTTTCTCCACTTCCATGGTGAATTTAATGGCGGGATGTCTGGAATTGATGTGGTGTAGGAAAAGGTGCAGAGCTGGGAGGCCATGTGGCCAAATGACGAAAGTGTCATCCATATATCTCTTCCACAGGGAAGGTCTGAGGGTGGAAGTCTGGATGGCGTCTGATTCAAATTTCTCCATGAAAATATTGGCTATCACTGGTGATAAGGGGGATCCCATGGGGGTACCCTCATTTTGTTTGTAGAAGGAGCCATTCCAAGTAAAGTAGGTATTGTTGAGGCAGTGCCTAACCAGTGCAGGTGTGTCGGGGTCTAGTCCATGTTGGACCAAATTTTCAATTATTTCAATGGTATCAGGTACTGGGACCTTGACGAACAAAGAGACCACATCGAAGCTGACAGGGATATCGTCAGGGGACAGTACAACGTCTTTGACCATAGAGACCAATTGGGCTGAGTTAAGTACTGCTGAGGCGGTCTTGCCAGTGAAAGGCAGCAAGGTATCTGACAGAAAACGGGCTAGTCTATAGGTAGGGGTAGGGGAGTTGATCGTGGATACTAATAGCCTAGCGATAAAAACCAACAAGATCATCACAAGTTCGACCTCCCTAATCGACCCAACTAAACGTCCCTCCCTAAAACCTTCTGCTGCAAGACCCCCTAGATTCTATGGTCTTCCCAAGATTCATAAAGAAGGCACTCCACTTCGACCCATCGTATCCACGATCAACTCCCCTACCTATAGACTTTACCGAATAGAACCAAAGAGTATAAACCCCTTTGTCAAGGTACCTCACTTCTATCAACCAGCTTAAAAGACGCTGTGAATCTTAGCAGCGTTCATTGTAGCTCTGTCGTCCCGACAGATTTGTTCCTTTCACCTGAAGAAGGCCACTTGTGTTGTGGCCGAAACGTCGTGAGAATTTTATTGTTTTATTTTATTATTTTATTCTCCTTCTACGTGACTTTACCGAAAGAGCCAAAGAAGATGAATCCTTGCAGTCACGAAAGCTTTCAATCGAGATGTTGTTATGATGTCATATAGGGCAGTCTGTGCACAAACGCCACCCTCCCTCAGCATTTCGCTTGGGACACACACACGTACACACACACACACACACGTACACACACGCGTACAAAGATCCCCCGTATAGCCTGAACAGAACGGTTTGTGGCAAGTGCTGTTAGCGAGTAGCAGCTATAAAGTCCGGCGCTGTGGTACACGATGGGGGGTTAGGTGGCCAGCATCACGCCCGGCCGCCTTTGTCTCTCTTTGTCTCTGAACACGTACACACACGTACATACATGTACACACACACGTACACACACACGTACACACACACACATACACACACACGCATACACATACACACACGCACACACATACACACACGCACACACATGTACACACACACGTACACACACGTACACACATGTACACACACACACGTACACACACACACGTACACACATGCATACACGTACACATACACACACACACGTACACACACACACACATGTCCACACACACGTAGAGGTTCACCGAGGGCAAGTTCGTGGACATCTCGGACCCCACGGTGGGCGTGGACTTCTTTGCGCGCCTCGTGGAGATCGAGCCGGGCAAGCGGATCAAGCTGCAGCTGTGGGACACGGCGGGCCAGGAGCGCTTTCGGTGAGAGGCTCTCTGCGGCACACCGCACGCGCCACACCTCACGCACCACACCGAAAGGACTACACCGCACGTACTACACGCACCACACCACACCGCACGCGGCACACCGAAAGGACTACACCGCACGTACTATACGCACCACACCGCACACACCACACCGCACGCGGCACACCGCACGTACTACACGCACCACACCACACGTACTACACGCACCACACCACACGTACTACACGCACCACACCGCACACACCACACCGCACGCGGCACACCGCACGTACTACACGCACCACACCACACGTACTACACGCACCACACCACACGTACTACACGCACCACACCGCACGTACTACACGCACGACACCGCACGTACTACACGCACCACACCACACATACTACACGCACCACACCGCACGTACTACACGCACCACACCGCACGCGCCACACCGCACGCGCCACACCGCACGCACCACACCGCACGCGGCACACCACACGCACCACACCACACGCACCACACACACCGCACGTGGCTCACCGCACGTGGCACACCGCACGCACCACACCGCACGCACCACACCGCACGCACCACACCGCACGTGGCACACCACACGCGGCACACCGCACGCACCGCACGCACCACACCACACCAAACCGCACGTACTACACGCACCACACCCGGTGGTCATGGTCGTTACCATGGTGGTTGCCATTGGTGGTTGCCATGGTGGTTGCCATGGTGGTTGCCATGGTATATTGTTACGGGGGTGATGGCGAATGGGAGTTGTACTGACGACGTCCGTTGTTGCTATCGTGACGTCGGTGGTGACGTTCCACGTCACGTGCCCCCGCCCCTCCCCCCGCCCCTCCCCCCGCCCCGCCCCCCCCCCACGTGACAGCTCGATCACGCGCTCGTACTACCGCAACTCGGTGGGCGGCATGCTGGTGTTCGACATCACCAACCGGCGGTCGTTTGAGCACGCGAGGGACTGGCTGGAGGAGGCGCGGATGCACACGCAGCCCTCACACATCGTCTTCATGCTGGTGCCTAGCAACAATCGCCTAGCAACACTCACCTAGTGACAGTCGCCTAGCAACACTCACCTAGCAACACTCACCTAGCAACACTCACACTCGCCTAGCAACACTTACCTAGCAACACTCACCTAGCGACACTCACCTAGCGACACTCACCTAGCAACACTCACCTAGCAACACTCACCTAGCGACGGTTGCCTAGCGACACTCACCTAGCAACACTCACCTAGCAACACTCACCTAGCGACACTCACCTAGCAACACTCACCTAGCAACACTCACCTAGCGACGGTTGCCTAGCGACACTCACCTAGCAACACTCACCTAGCAACACTCACCTAGCAACACTCACCTAGCAACACTCACCTAGCGACGGTTGCCTAGCGACACTCACCTAGCAACACTCACCTAGCAACACTCACCTAGCAACACTCACACTCACCTAGCAACACTCACCTAGCAACACTCACCAACGTGATAGCTGCTACTACCACCACTCACCACCACCACCATGACCACCACCACCACCACAACCTTTGCCTTTCGCGTGTCCACAGCCGCCGCCGCTCCTCGCAGCGCTTGCCCCGGCCCTTGAAGAGGGTCACCCGCCGGGGGGATCTTTACCTTTGCCTTTGCGCGACCCCCCCCCCCCGCCCCCCCCCCCTCTCTGGGGGTAGGTGGGCCACAAAAGCGACCTGTCGGAGCAGCGGCGGCAGGTGGAGCGCTCCGAGGCGGAGCGCTTTGCGGCGCAGCACGGCCTCCGCTACGTGGAGACGAGCGCCCGCGACGGAGACAACGTGGAGCGTGCCTTCACGCAGCTCACGGCCGACATCTACGCCCTGGTCAAGGCCGGCCACATCCCCCTGCAGGACGGCTGGGAGGGCGTCAAGAGCGGATTCGTGCCCAACACCGTCCACTCGTCGGACGAGGCACCGCGCGCACGCGTCTGCTGGTGCTAGCGCGGGCGACGCCGCACCCCACACACACAACCACCTAGCTACACACACACAACCACCTAGCTACACACACACAACCACCTAGCTACACACACACACAACCACCTAGCTACCCACGCACACCCCACACATACACACAACCACCTAGCTACCCACGCACACACCCACAACCACCTAGCTACCCACACACACACACAACCACCTAGCTACCCACGCACGCACACACACACAACCACCAAGCTACCCACGCACACACCCCCACACAACCACCTAGCTACCCACGCACACCCCCACACACACAACCACCTAGCGAGCCACGCACACCCCCACACACACAACCACCTAGCTACCCACGCACACCCCCACCCACGCACACCCCCACCCACCCTACCCAACCCACCCCCGTTAGACCTGCAACGCGAGAACCCCCGTAATAGCCGCAGCATCGCATCGTCATCATCGTCGTCATCGTCATCATCATTGTCATCATCATCGTCATCATCATTGTCATCATCATCGTCGTCATCGTCATCATCATTGCCATCATCATTGTCATGATCGTCATCATCATTGTCATCATCATCGTCGTCATCGTCATCATCATTGACATCATCATTGTCATCATCGTCATCATCATTGTCATCATCATCGTCGTCATCGTCATCATCGTCATCATCATTGTCATCATCGTCATCATCATTGTCATCATCATCGTCGTCATCGTCATCATCATTGTCATCACCACTGTCGTCATTGTCATCATCATCGTCATCATCATTGTCATCACCACTGTCATCATTGTCATCATCGTCATCATCGTCATCACTGTCATCGTCATCATCATCGTCATCATCATCGTAATCACCATCGTCATCATCGTCATCATCATCACCATCGTCATCATCGTCATCATCATCACCATCGTCATCATCGTCATCGTCATCACCATCGTCATCATCGTCATCGTCGTCATCATCGTCATCGTCGTCATCACCATCGTCATCATCATCGTCGTCATCATTATCGTCTTGCCCCTCTCGTTCTTCTGCCACCACCGCATCCTACAAGCAACGACGACGTTCACCGCTATCCCCACCGCCTGGCTCGCTCATCGTGCTCCACACAGCTCCACACAGCTCCACATTCTCCACACAGCTCCACATAGCTCCACACAGCTCCACATAGCTCCACACAGCTCCACACAGCTCCACACTCTCCACACAGTTCCGCATAGCTCCACACTCTCCACACAGCTCCACACAGCTCCACATTCTCCACACAGCTCCACATAGCTCCACACAGCTCCACATAGCTCCACACAGCTCCACACAGCTCCACACTCTCCACACAGTTCCACATAGCTCCACACTCTCCACACAGCTCCACACAGCTCCACACAGCTCCACACAGCCCCACACTCTCCACACAGCTCCATACGCTCCACACAGCTCCACATAGCTTCACACAGCTCCACATTCTCCACACAGCTCCACACAGCTCCACATAGCTCCACACAGCTCCACACAGCTCCGCATAGCTCCACACAGCTCCACACTCTCCACACAGCTCCACACAGCTCCACACTCTCCACACAGCTCGACACAGCTCCACACAGCTCCACATTCTCCACACAGCTCCACACAGCTCCACACTCTCCACACAGCTCCACATTCTCCACACAGCTCCACATAGCTCCACACAGCTCCACATTCTCCACACAGCCCCACACGCTCCACACAGCTCCACACAGCTCCACACAGCTCCACACAGCTCCAGACGCTCTGCTCGGTCGCTCGGCTACCCAGATAACCCTCCCTCTGTGTGGCCGCGTCTCTCTGCGAGTCTCTCTGTGAGTCTCTCTGAGTCACTCTCTGAGTCTCTCTCTGAGTCTCTCTCTGAGTCACTCTGTGAGTATCTCTCTGTGAGTCTCTCCCTGAGTCTCTCTGTGAGTCTCTCTCTGTGAGTCTCTCTGTGAGTCTCTCTCTGTGAGTCTCTCTATGAGTCTCTGAGTCTCTGAGTCTCTGAGTCTCTCTGTGAGTCTCTCTGTGAGTCTCTCTCTGAGTCTCTCCCTGAGTCTCTCTGAGTCACTCTCTGAGTCTCTCTCTGAGTCTCTCTGTGAGTCTCTCTGTGAGGCTCTCTCTGAGTCTCTCTGTGAGTCTCTCTCTGAGTCTCTCTCTGAGTCTCTCTCTGAGGCTCTCTGTGAGTCTCTCTGTGAGTCTCTCTGTGAGTCTCTCTCTGAGTCTCTCTGAGTCTCTCTCTGAGTCTCTCTCTGAGGCTCTCTGTGAGTCTCTCTGTGAGTCCCTCTCTGTGAGTCTCTCTGTGAGTCTCTCCCTGAGTCTCTCTGTGAGTCTCTCTCTCTGAGTCTCTCTGTGAGTCTCTCTCTGAGTCTCTCTGTGAGTCTCTCTCTCTGAGTCTCTCTCTGAGTCTCTCTCTGAGGCTCTCTGTGAGTCTCTCTGTGAGTCCCTCTCTGTGAGTCTCTCTGTGAGTCTCTCCCTGAGTCTCTCTGTGAGTCTCTCTCTCTGAGTCTCTCTGTGAGTCTCTCTCTGAGTCTCTCTGTGAGTCTCTCTCTCTGAGTCTCTCTCTGTGAGTCTCTCTGTGAGTCACTCTCTGTGAGTCTCTCTCTCTGAGTCTGTCCCTGTGAGTTTCTCTCTGAGTCTCTCTCTGAGTCTCTGAGTCTCTCTCTGTGAGTCTCTGAGTCTCTCTGTGAGTCTCCCTGAGTCACTCTGAGTCTCTCTGTGAGTCTCTCTCTGAGTCTCTTTGTGAGTCTCTCTCTGAGTCAAATGTTGTGGAGGCCCTGACACTCACACACTGATCACGACGACGGTGATGATGACGACATCTCGTCGGCGAAAGTGTCACCCCCCCCCCCGCCCCACCATGCCTCTCACCTCTGAAAGCGAGAAGAGCCACTGGGGGGGGAAGGGGGTTAGAGACGGTGGTTCTTCTTCTTCACCGGATCACGCGAGGCACGGCCAGGTTTTCTTTTAGAAGGTAAATCATCGAAAACACACAAACTAGGCACGGGGCAACGTCAGCAACGACTTCTTGGTTTCACCAAAGCCTCTGTGTGTTCGTTGACATTGCGGTAACGATTGAGAGCCAAAGGGGTGCAGGGCTGCAGTCAAAGTGAACAGACGTCGGGGTCAGGGGGTCACTCCCCACGCTCTCTCCGTCTTCCCGTTCCGTCTTCGCTTCCCCGTCTCTGGGCGTCACCCCGACACCACCCCACCCACCACTAAACCCACCACCCCATCCACCACTAAACCCACCACCCCACCCACCACTAAACCCACCACCCCATCCACCACTAAACCCACCACCCCACCCACCGCACCCACCACCCCATCCACCACTAAACCCACCCACCACCCCACCCACCGCACCCACCACTAAACCCACCACCCCACCCACCCACCACCGCACCCACCACCGCACCCACCACCCCATCCACCACTAAACCCACCACCCCACCTACCGCACCCACCACCCCATCCACCACTAAACCCACCCACCACCACACCCACCGCACCCCACCCACCACTAAACCCACCACCCCACCCACCGCACCCACCACTAAACCCACTACCGCACCCACCACCCCACCCACCCCACCCACCGCACCCACCACTAAACCCACCACCCCACCCACCGCACCCACCACCGCACCCAGCAGCTTTCTCTGATTCACGTCAAGGCGGCCCCCAATGGTCTTTAGTTGGTCTAGAACTGTGCATCGCTAGGCAGTCTTTAGCAGCTTTCTCTGCCTCACGTCAAGGCGAGCCCCCAATGGTCTTTAGTTGGTCTAGAACGGTGCCTCGCTAGGCAGTCTTTAGCAGCTTTCTCTGCCTCACGTCAAGGCGGGCCCCCAATGGTCTTTAGTTGGTCTAGAACGGCGCCTCGCTAGGCGGTCTTTAGCAGCTTTCTCTGATTCACGTCAAGATGGGGCCCAAGGTCTTTAGTTGGTCTAGAACGGTGCCTCGCTAGGCAGTCTTTAGCAGCTTTCTCTGCTTCACCCCAAGGCGGGCACTCAATGGTCTTTAGTTGGTCTAGAACGGTGCCTCGCTAGGTGGTCTTTAGCAGCTTTCTCTGCCTCACGTCAAGGCGGGACCCCAATGGTCTTTAGTTGGTCTAGAACGGTGCATCGCTAGGCAGTCTACGGCCTGCCCCATGGTCTCTTCCCTCGTGGTGTCCACCGTGGGGGAGTTTTCGCTATGGACTCAGCGGGTTCCATTCTCAGCACATATCCCAGAGTCTTTCTCCCTGTTATGTCTCGCGTTGTGCGTCTTAATTTGGTCTCGATGTTACAGGTCCCGGTTCGAAATCTTGTTTGGCCAGAAGATGCAGTTGTTGTGAAAGGTTGATTGGGGAGTTCATGTCTGCCTATCAAGGGTGGGGGGGGGGGGGGCTAATTATTGTCGTTTTAAAATTAATGTATTATCAAATCGTTTAAATATGTATTTATTGTCGTTTTAAATGAATGAATTATCAAATCGTTTTAAATATTTATGTTATTTATTTTTACTTTTTGTATTTTTCAAACGCGATGTCGGCGGTGGAGTTTAATTTTTAGCTTAGGAAGTCGATTGTCCCCAACAACATCCCTTACTTCACAGTCCAGTAAGTTCCCGGGTTGCGGAAGACCCGGGGACTTACGGAGATCCGACCTTAGGGGAAATGCCCCCACCCACCCCACCCCCATCGAGTCGCGTGAAACAAAAACATGAAATACGCCTAAAACGTCTGCGTTAGTCACGCGAGCGCCAAGAAGTGCGGCGCGGCGACGTCGCGGATGAACACCGCGGAGCGAGGAGGCGTAAGTCGGCCGACCGCCTTACGCCTCCTCGCTCCGCCAAATCGCCACCCTCGCCGAACTTCGCCAGGATTAAGGGGATTGGGATATCTTTGGTTTGTAGCGTTGCTGAGATTATTTTCCATTTGTAGCACCGCGTCATCGTTTGTTCCCTGGATGCACGAGTTTAATAACGGTGGTGGTGGCGGGGGGGGGGTGTAGTGTCTGGGTAGATCTTCGGTGAAATTAAAGAATCGTTGGAGGTGCGGGAAGCGTGCGGGCAGCGACGCGATGCGGGCAGCGATAGAGAAGCGGCGACAGCGCGATACGGCGACGAGAGAAAACGAAACCCAGCCATCGGGTCGTAGGGGAGGCCAAAACTATTTCCGGCTATGGGATGTTTATCGTTGATTTTGGGCGGGGGGGGAGGGGAGATTTGTTCAGTTTCCGACACGCAGAAAAGCCGGGGTTACGGATCGCTCTGGGGAACCTTTCCGTGAGCCGGGGACTGTCCGAATTAAGCCGACGGTGGACAAGCCGTTGACAATCCACCACGCGCGGTTATTTTGTTTTCGAAGGCCGCGTCGTCCCTGTCCGGGAGTTGCGGGATATGCCCCGTCCACCACGAAGTTGGTCCAGCGGAAGGCCAGGCCACGTGCGGGTCGGGTAACGCTCGGGTGCTCCCGCCACTATCCTACCAACGTCGAACCGCGAGCGACGGTCATCTCGAGTCTGGAGCGTCGCCACCCTCGCACGTCGCCCCCGGTGAGAACGAACGTTCGTCTCGTTCGTCGTTGAAGCCCCCGCGCGTCGCTCCCCGGCTGAACGGTGGGTGGAGCTTGCCGGCAAGGGCCTGGCAAACCGGCCGGCGTGTTGTGGCGGGGTGGCGCCGGCCCTGCCGATGAGACCCCGGTTGGCGAAACGTCGGGCGCTCGGAGTTCGCACGTCGCACATCGTACGCGGCTCGAGCGTGAGGCCGACGGACCGGAAGGCCGCTTTGGTGAGACGCGGAAACAAGGGACGCCGTTTGTTGATGTTTATCGAGCCGTTTCTTTTAACGCATCGACGCGATATTTCAACGTGACCGATCGACTGACCGAGCAATCGAGCGACCGAGCCAGCGACTGAGCGAGCGCGAGTCCACTCCACCCTTCTCCCCGAGACTACCGACCCAATCATAAGCGCCCCTTCCCCACATTGCGGTGAGACCACATTGTTACCTGTAATTGTTGATTCTAAAACAACAAAATAACGATAATACTAATTTAGAGTAACATTTTTGCGTGTAAATTAAAGCGATTCAAGCCCCATTATGTTGGCTGTGTGTGGATTATTTTTTAATGTTTTAATTGCCACGAATTCCACTCGACAAAAACTTCGTCATACATCTAGAGAGGACCGCAGAACTTGGGCAACCTTCATCGCCACCACCGCTGTGGAGGGGGGGGCGGGTGTGGCGGATTGAGCGGCATGACGCGCACCGCCTCGCAGACGCGAGCAGGAAGATGCAAGAGTCGCGTGTGCATGGCGCCCCTGGGGGTCTGCAATGCTCCCCAGCGAACGTCTGCCCGCCGAGGAGGGTATTTCACGAGCAACCGTGGAGGTCTACGTCGGTTTCCCCCCCCCCCCCCCCAGCCACACAACACGCACGGACGCTGGTACCTAAAACAGCGGTCCCCAACCTTTTTGGCACCAGGGACCGCTTTCGTGGAAGACAATTTTTTCACGGACCGGGGGTGGTGGGGAGGGGGTTCATCTTTGGGTCTTTCCCCCTCTTCGGGTCTTTCCCCCTCTTCAAAGAAGCTCTCCAGCGACGTTTGTTTACTACTCATCGTGGCTACTAGGGGGTTAGAGCTTGTGGGCTTTATACCAACGCTGCGTCTGAGTGCGCAGTGCGGGAAAGAGGCGCGGACGGAAGTGGTAAATAATAAAACAATGGGGGCGGGGGGCCACGCGCGGACTCGCCGCTCTCACCTCCCGCTGTGCGGCCCAGTTCCTAACAGGCCACGGACCGCTACCGGTCCGCAGCCCCGGGGGTTGGGGGACCCCTGGCCTAAAACTACATTCAGCGTTACCAGGTGCGAAGAAGGCCCCAACTTTAGCTGCAGTGTAGCTTCTGTCTTCAGAAGCGACCTCGCCACCGCAAACGGTAGCAGCTCGACCGAGACCAGCGCGAGGGCTCACCGTCGATGCGGCCGATATCGCCATCGCAAGCGTGTGGCGAATTGTCGATAGAGCTTTTGTTCAGCCGCCCGCTCTATTCCCCGCAGATGAGTTGTGTTGCCTATTGTAAGTCCATTCACACGTGGCGGGGGGAGGTCTCATGCTGACCACGACATCGCCTTGGTGCACGCTGGACTTCTTTCGCACCGTACGGAGCCAACCGAGGAGGTAGAAGTGGAGGTGACGCGAGGGTGGTGGTAATCCGGAGGCTGCGGACGAGCGCAGCAGCTCGCAGATTCGCTGCCATGGCGACCGGAGCCCCGAGCCAGCCATGGCTCCGGTGGCCCTGGCTCGCTTGAGCCACGGTCACCGGAGCCCCGAGCCTGAGCCGAGCCATGGCCGAGAAACCCGGGGCCCCCTAATGGTTTGAGAGCCGCATCACAGAGGAGCTACTCTAGACACAAACACAGCAGGGGGCGACAACCCACGGAGACGTTCCGAGTGACCCAACTCAACTTTATTATTCGCCCTCCGGCGCCGGCGTGCCCGACATGGTGACGAGCAGACTGAGCACGGCAGGCACAACCGTCACGGTCACGGCCGTCACGGCACAACCGTCACGGTCACGGCCGTCTCGGCACAACCATCATGGGGGGGGGGGGGGGGCTGGCATAAGGGGGGGGGGGGCTGGGGGCTGGCATGAGGAGGTGGCGGGCGAGAGGGGGGTGTTGAGAGGGGGAGGGGGGGCAAAGGGGAGGGGGGGGCAAAGGGGGGGGTGAGAAGGGGAGGGCGAGAGGAGAGGGACAAGGGGGGTGTAAGGGGCGGGGGTGAGCGAGAGGACCACGTGGAGAGGCACGCCAGGGTGGTCACCACCGTGGCCACGGTGGGCGGTGGCGCTGACGCAGGCCGAGCCCTGCCTCGTGGCGGCGGCGGCGGCCGTGGGAGTCGTGGGAGAAGTCGTAGGAGAAGAAGTTGTAGGAGAAGAAGTCATAATTTCAAGCGCCGGAGCAAGCAGCCCCGGACACGCGTCCGCTTTCCGCCCGTGGGTGGCGGGGGGGGGGCGTGGTCTAGGCGGGGGGGGCGTGGTCTAGGCGGTGCCGCCGCTCTGCTTGCTCTCCGCCTGCCGCCGCTTCACGTCCCAGTTGTAGACGCGGGCCATGTCTGCCGCGTCGACCCTGGCTCAGGAAGAACACCAACGTCGGGGGGAGGGGGGCTAGAGGCGGGGCCAGAGGGTTGAGAGGCGGGGCCAGAGGTGGGGCTAGAGGGTTAAGAGGTGGGTGGGTGAGTGGGTGTCTGAGTGGGTGGGTGGATGAGTCGATAGATGAGTGGGTGGGTGAGTGGGCGAATCAATGAGTAGCAGGTGAGTGAGTGTACGAGTAGTAGGTGGGTGAGTGTATGAGTAGTAGGTGAGTGAGTGAGTGTATGAGTAGTAGGTGGGTGAGTGTATGAGTAGTAGGTGAGTGAGTGTATGAGTAGTAGGTGAGTGAGTGTATGAGTAGTAGGTGGGTGAGTGTATGAGTAGTAGGTGAGTGAGTGAGTGTATGAGTAGTAGGTGGGTGAGTGTATGAGTAGTGAGTGAGTGTACAAGTAGCAGGTGAGTGAGTGTATGAGTAGTAGGTGGGTGAGTGTATGAGTAGTAGGTGAGTGTATGAGTAGTAGGTGAGTGTATGAGTAGTAGGTGGGTGAGTGTATTAGTAGGTTAGTGAGTGAGTGTATGAGTAGTAGGTGAGTGAGTGTACGAGTAGCAGGTGAGTGTACGAGTAGCAGGTGAGTGAGTGTATGAGTAGTAGGTGAGTGAGTGAGTGTATGAGTAGCAGGTGAGTGAGTGTACGATAGGTGAGTGAGTGTATGAGTAGCAGGTGAGTGAGTGGATGGGTGAGTGGATGAGTGAGTCGACAAAGATCCCCCGCGTAGCCTGTAACAGGCTGTCGTGGCAAGTGCTGTTAGTAGCGAGTAGCAGCAGCAGCGACTATGAAGCCCGACGCTGTGGCACGTGACCGGGGTGGGGCCAGCACCGTGCCCGGCCGCCTTTGTCTCTCCCCCAGTGGCGACGTTTTCTACGCACCGCACCAGGTACTTATTTGAGGCTGGGTCGACCTAGGGGAGGCCGAGCACCGGTTGAGATCGTCGCCGGTGTTGGCCATGAGCGGGAATCGAACCCGGGTCGCTGCATTCTACCTCGCCTGGTACGCAGGAGGTCGTGGGTTCAATCCCGACCCTGACGATGCCTGCTGCTGTATATTTAGAGTCTGCGTCTCTCTCATCATCATCATCATCACTGTGGCTAGGAGATGTTGACTACCTCGCCTGGTACGCAGGAGGTCCTGAGTTCGATCCCGACCCTGACGACGCCTGCTACTGCTGCTGTATATTTGGAGTCTGCGTCTCTCTCTCATCATCATCACTGTGGCTAGGAGATGTTAACTACCTCTCCTGGTACGCAGGAGGTCGTGGGTTCAATCCCGACCCTGACGACGCCTGCTGCTGCTGCTGTAGATTTGGAGTTTGCATCTTTCTTTCTCTCTCCCCGTGGCCGCGTGGATTTGTCTCCGGGTCCTCCACATTCAGAATCAACGTCACGCGCCCTAGAGTTATTTGGCTGCTGCTATAAATGTCCACGTGGATGATGATGATGTTGATGATGATGATAGCCACCTCGTCGAGCCATCATTTGTGACGTCCAGCGACGCTTCTGAAGAAGAGCAAAATGGTAGCTCAGTAGTGCAACGCGCTAACCGCTGCACCACCGCTCACGTGCGCCGGCTGGCGACTCTCCCGTCTCCTCGGCGGAAGGATACTGACTTCGGTGGTGGTGAACTGGTCACGCAGGAAGTCCAGGTCGGTGCCCAGCTGCTCCATGTTGCGCGTTGCTGTGTCCAGATTCCGTTCGAGTAGCGAGCGAGCCTCACTCACCTCGTACTCCAGCATCACGTTAGCCTGACGCACGCACACACACACACATCACGTTAGCCTGACGCACGCACACACACACACACATCACGTTAGCCTGACGCACGCACACACACACATCACGTTAGCCTCACTCACCTCGTACTCCAGCATCACGTTAGCCTGACGCACGCACACACACACACATCACGTTAGCCTGACGCACGCATGGACGCACGCACGTTAGCCTGACGCACGTGCGCACACACACGCGTGAGTGTCTGTATACACACACACACACACATCACGTTAGCCTGACGCACGCACAAACACACACACGCGTGAGTGTCTGTGTGTACACACACACCAAGTTGGCCTGACGCGCACACACGCATGTGAGTTTCCGTGCGTACACACACACCAAGTTGGCCTGACGCACACACACGCGCGTGAGTGAGTGTCCGTGCGTACACCTGCGCGCACACGAGACCCAAGTTCGATTCCCACTCACGGCCACCAACACCGGGGCCTCCCCTTAGGTCGACTCGGCCTCAAAAGAGTACCCGGTGTAGCGGTGCGTAGTGAACATCGCCACTGGGGAGACAAAGGCGGCCGGGCGTGGTGCTGGCCACCCACCCCCTCGTGTGCCGTGTCGGCCTTCATAGACGCTACCCGCTCACAGCACTTGCCCCAACGGTCTGTTCAGGCTACCCGGGCGATCTTTTGTCTTTGACGGTGATGATAGCGGAGGTGGCGGTGGTGGTGCCGGCCTTCTTAGGTCCTGCTACTGGCCACACTAACACCACACGGGCCCCGACGGCCCCGTTGTGGCTACGCGGGAGGCCCTCCGCGTCGCCGCGTGTGGACTCACCCCGAGCCACAGGCACACGCGGTCGGTGGGAGCGATGGTTGCGCGGGCGTACAGGTTGTCCAGCAGCAGGAAGTGAGTCTTCAGCGGTTCCGTGGAGTCCTGAACGCAGGGCACAAGACTCAGCACCCACTCACAGTGGGTGGGGACCCCCCCCCACTCACCCCACCCCCCCTCCGACTCAACCCATGTGGTGGTGGGTGATGCCACCCCCCCTACTTCTGCTGCTCGTTTGCTCCATCTCCCCTCCCTCCGCTCCGCCACGCCCACCAACTCCTCACCATCTTCTTCTGCATGTGCCGGATGATGTCCAGAGACTGCTTGATGTCCGGCACCTGGTTCTTTAACCTGGAACACAAGCGCATGGACAGAGACACAGACACACACACAGACACGCACACACAGACACACACACACAGACACACACGCGCTTAGTAGAGTGATGCACGTGGTGGCGGGGGTGGTGGCGGGGGTGGTGGCAGTGGTGGCGGCAGTGGTCGGGGTGATGACAGTGGTGGTGTTGGCAGTGGTGGTGGTGTTGTTGGCAGTGGTGGTGTTGGCGGTGGTGGTGGTGTTGGCAGTGGTGGTGGCAGTGGTGGTGTTGTTGGCAGTGGTGGTGGTGTTGTTGGCAGTGGTGGTGGTGGTGTTGGCAGTGATAGTGGCAGTGGTGGTGGCGGTGATGACAGCGGTGGTGGTGGTGGCGTTGGCGGCGTTGCCGGTGGTGGCGTTGGCGGCGGTGGTGATGGCGGTGGGGGCGTTGGCGGTGGTGGTGATGGTGGCGTTGGTGGTGATGACAGCGGTGGTGGTGGTGGTGGCAGTGGTGTTGGTAGTGGCGTTGGCGGTGATGGCGGTGGTGATGGCGGGGGTGGTGGTGTTGGTAGTGGCGTTGGCGGTGATGGCGGTGGTGGTGATGGCGGTGGTGGTGGTGTTGGTAGTGGCGTTGGCGGTGGTGGTGGTGTTGGTAGTGGCGTTGGCGGTGACGGCGGTGATGGCGGTGGTGGTGGTGTTGGTAGTGGCATTGGCGGTGATGGCGGTGGTGATGGCGGTGGTAGTGGCGTTGTTGGTGATGGCTGTGGTGATGACAGCGGTGGTGGTGTTGGCGGTGGTGGTGATGGCGGTGGTGGTGGTGATGGCGGTGGTGTTGGTGTTGGTAGTGGCGTTGGCGGTGATGGCGGTGGTGGTGTTGGTAATGGCGGTGGTGTTGGTGTTGGTAGTGGCGTTGGCGGTGATGGCGGTGGTGGTGTGGGTAGTGGCGGTGGTGATGGTGTTGGTAGTTGCGTTGGCGGTGATGGCTGTGGTGGTGATGGCTGTGGCGGTGATGGCGTTGTTGGTGATGGCTGTGGTGGTGATGGCTGTGGTGGTGATGGCTGTGGCGGTGATGGCTGTGGTGGTGATGGCTGTGGCGGTGATGGCTGTGGTGGTGATGGCTGTGGCGGTGATGGCTGTGGCGGTAATGGCTGTGATGGTGATGGCTGTGGTGGCGATGGCTGTGGTGGCGATGGCTGTGGCGGTGATGGCTGTGGCGGTGATGGCTGTGGCGGTGATGGCTGTGCTGGTGATGGCTGTGCTGGTGATGGCTGTGGTGGTGATGGCTGTGGCGGTAATAGCTGTGGTGGTGATGGCTGTGGGGGTGATGGCTGTGGTGGTGATGGCTGTGGTGGTGATGGCGGTGGTGGTGATGGCTGTGATGGTGATGGCTGTGGTGGTGATGGCTGTGGCGGTGATGGCTGTGGTGGTGATGGCTGTGGCGGTAATAGCTGTGGTGGTGATGGCTGTGGGGGTGATGGCTGTGGTGGTGATGGCTGTGGCGGTGATGGCTGTGCTGGTGATGGCTGTGCTGGTGATGGCTGTGCCCGCTGCCCTCTCCGTCTGCGCTCACCGGAGCTTCTTCTGCAGCAGGTTCATCTCCAGGTATTTGTACTTCTGGTGCTGCTCGTCCAGGTGCTTGAGAACCGACTCCGTCGTCTCCCCGCTGCCCTTGCTCTTCATGTACGCGTCCACGTCCTCCTGCGCAAGGAGCAGCAGCAGTAGTAGCAGCAGCAACAGTAGCAGCAGTAACAGTAGCAGCAACAGTAGTAGCAGCAGTAGTAGTAGCAGCAGTAGTAGCAGCAACAGCAGTAACAGTAGCAGCAGCAGTAACAGCAGTAGTAGCAGCAGTAGCAGCAGTAGCAGCAGCAGTAACAGTAGCAGCAGTAGCAACAGCAGTAACAGTAGCAGCAGTAACAGTAGCAGCAGTAACAGTAGCAGCAGTAACAGTAGCAGCAGTAACAGTAGCAGCAGCAGTAGTAGCAGCAGCAGTAACAGCAGCAGCAGTAGTAGTAGCAGTAACAGCAGCAGTAGCAACAGCAGCGGTAGTAGCAGTAGCAGCAGTAACAGCAGCAGCAGTAACAGCAGCAGTAGTAGCAGCAGCAACAGCAGTAGTAGCAGCAGCAGTAGCAGCAGTAACAGTAGTAGCAGTAGTAGCAGCAGCAGTAACAGCAGTAGTAGCAGCAGCAGTAGCAACAGCAGCAGTAGTAGCAGCAGCAGCAGTAACAGTAGTAGCAGTAGTAGCAGCAGCAGTAACAGTAGTAGCAGTAGTAGCAGCAGCAGTAACAGCAGTAGTAGTAGCAGCAGTAACAGCAACAGCAGTAACAGTAGCAGCAGTAGTAGCAGTAGCAACAGCACCAGTAGCAATAGCAGCAGTCTCAGGGTTAGCGAGTCCGAGTCTGTGTGAGTCTGAGTGTCTCTGTGCGAGTTTTTCTCTCTGTGCGAGTCTTTCTCTGTGTGAGTCTCTCTCTGTGTGAGTCTCTCTCTGTGTGAGTCTCTCTCTGTGTGACTCTCTGTGTGTGCGATTCTCTCTCTGTGCGAGTCTCTCTCTGTGAGTCTGAGTCTCTCTGTGCGAGTCTCCCTCGCTCTCTCTGTGTGAGTCTCTGTGTGTGTGAGTCTCTGTGTAAGTCTGTGTGTGTGACTGTATGTATAAGTCTGTGTGTGTAAGTCTGTGTGTGTGTGACTGTATAAGTCTGTGTGTGTAAGTCTGTGTGTGTATGTCTGTGTGCCCGTGTGTGACTGTGTGTGTAAGTCTGTGTGACTGTATGTATAAGTCTGTGCAAGTCTATGTATGTAAGTCTGTGACTGTATGTATACGTCTGTGTAAGTCTGTGTGTCTGTGTAAGTCTGTGTGTATAAGTCTGTGTGTGTGACTATAAGTCTGTGTGACTGTATGTATAAGTCTGTGTGTGACTGTGTGTGACTGTGTGTGTGACTGTGTGTGTGACTGTATGTATAAGTCTGTGTGTGACTGTGTGTGTGACTGTGTGTATAAGTCTGTGTGTGACTGTGTATAAGTCTGTGTGTGACTGTGTGTATAAGTCTGTGTGTGACTGTATGTATAAGTCTGTGTGTGACTGTGTGTAAGTCTGTGTATGTATAAGTCTGTGTGTGACTGTATGTATAAGTGTATGTGTAAGTCTGTGTGTGACTGTGTGTATAAGTGTGTGTGTAAGTCTTTGTGACTGTGTGTGACTGTATGTATAAGTCTGTGTGTGTCTGTATGTATAAGTCTGTGTGTGACTGTGTGTGTGACTGTGTGTGTAAGTCTGTGTGTGACTGTGTGTGTGACTGTATGTATAAGTCTGTGTGTGACTGTGTGTGTGACTGTGTGTGTAAGTCTGTGTGTGACTGTGTGTGTGACTGTATGTATAAGTCTGTGTGTGACTGTATGTATAAGTCTGTGTGTGCCTGTATGTATAAGTCTGTGTGTGACTGTATGTATAAGTCTGTGTGTGTGACTGTATAAGTCTGTGTGACTGTGTGTGACTGTATGTATAAGTCTGTATGTATAAGTCTGTGTGTGACTGTGTGTGACTGCATGTATAAGTCTGTGTGTGTAAGTCTGTGTGTGACTGTATGTATAAGTCTGTGTGTGACTGTGTGTAAGTCTGTGTCTGTGTGTATAAGTCTGTGTGACTGTATGTATAAGTCTGTGTGTGACTGTGTGTGACTGTATGTATAAGTCTGTGTGTGACTGTATGTATAAGTGTATGTGTAAGTCTGTGTGTGACTGTGTGTGACTGTGTGTATAAGTCTGTGTGTATAAGTCTGTGTGACTGTGTGTATAAGTCTGTGTGTGACTGTGTGTGTCTGCGTGTGAGTGGACAGCGGTACTTAGCGGTTAACGCGCTGCGCTACAAACCCGGCGAACCCGAGTTCGATTCCCACTTACGGCCACCACCACCAGCGACGCTTATCTGAACCGGTCCTGGGCCTCCCCTAGGTCGACTCAGCCTCAAAATGAATACCCGGTGTAGCGGTGTGTAGTGAACACCGTCACTGGGGAGACAAAGGCGGTCGGGCGTGGTGCTGGCCACCAACCCCCCTCCTCGTGTGCCGTGCCGGCCTTCACAGGCGCTGCTGCTCGCTACTAACAGCACTTGCCCCTAGAGTCTGTTACGGGCTACACGGGGAAGCTTTGTCTGTGTGCTGCGACTCTAACCATGAAGACGGCCTCAGGAATTCCAAGATGCGACTTCGTCTCGGACGCCATCTTTGCAAAAGAGCCACGCCCACGTGACCACCCCCCTCGTGACGTCACTCAGGCCACCAACGGCCGCGGGCGATGTCGTCACTCGGGTGCCCCCGCCCCCCCCCACCGTGACGTCTACGACCGCGTTCGTCGATGACGTCATGTCAGCGGCGGGCTTGGTCGATCGACTGCTGCATTGAAGGCATTCACAATCCATTTCCATCTCGCATTTGTATCGTTGATCCTTCTAATTTTCCGCGTTAGTTCAACAAACAACATGTTGGCAGGGTGTGTGTCTATTGTTCGCATTCTGACCACAAGCATTGTGGGTAGTGCGGACACGATTCAGTTTGGTGTTTTAACGTCTCAACACGCCTGTTTTGTTGCCAGTAAAAAAAAGGGGAAAGCCCTCCTATCAAGCAATATGTTGTTATCTTCTTTGGTTCTTTCGGTAAAGTCACGTAGAATGAGAATAAAATAATAAATTAATAAAATAAAACAACACTATAAAATTCTCACGACGTTTCGGCCACAACACAAGTGGCCTTCATCAGGTGAAAGGAACAGACCTGTCGGGACGACAGAGCTTTTGTGGCCGAAACGTCGTGAGAATTTGATTGTGTTATTTTATTTCATTAATTTATTGTTTTATTCTCATTCTACGTGACTTTACCGAAAGAACCAAAGAAGATTAATCCTTGCAGTCACGAAAGCTTTGATTCGAAAAATATGTTGTTATTGCTCTTCTTCAGAAGACGACCCTGGCTATCACAAATTATAGCAGCGAAACGAAGTGGCTTATAATGTGGACATTTATGCCAGCAACCCAATGCTCACCCACTCACCAACTCACTCACCCATCCACCCACTTAAGTCACCCACTCACCAACTCACCCACTTAATCACCCACTCACCAACTCACCCACCCATTTAGTCACCGACTCACCAACTCACTCACCCACCTACTTAATCACCCACTCACCAACTCACTCACCCACCCACTTAATCACCCACTCACCCACCCACTTAGTCACCCACTCACCCACCCACACACCAACTCACCCACTTAATCACCCACTCACCAACTCACCCAGCAAGTCACCTACCCACTAAATTACCAACTTACCAACTCACTCACCCATTTAATCACCCACTCACCAACTCACCCACCCACTTAATCACCCACTCACCAACTCACTCACCCACCAACTCACCCACCCACTTAATTATCAACTCACCAACTCACCCATTTAATTACCCACTCACCAACTCACCCACCCACTTAATCACCCACTCACCAACTCACTCCCCACTTAATCACCCACTAACTCACCCACACACCAACTCACCCACCCACTTAATCACCCACTCACCAACTCACTCACCCACTTAATCACCCACTCACCCACCAACTCACCCACCCACCAACTCACCCACCCACTTAATCACCCACTCACCAACTCACCCACTTAATCACCCACTCACCCACCAACTCACCCACCCACCAACTCACCCACCCACTTACCAACTCACCCACTTAATCACCCACTCACCCACCAACTCACCCACCCACTTAATCACCCACACACCAACTCACTCACCCACTTAATCACCCACCCACACACCAACTCACTCACCCACTCACTCACCCACTCACTCACCCACTCACTCACCCACTCACCCACCCACCCACCAACTCACCCACCCACCAACTCACCCACCCGTCTACTCACTATTCTTACTTGACCAGGTGTCTAAGGCCCCGCTGAGCTGCTGTGGTCGCTCTTTATCGGGAAATGACCCTAGCTGCCACAAGCGATAGCTGCTCTACGAATCTTCATCATCACGTTTATAGCAGCAGAGAAATAACTCTAAACGCGTGCTGATGTTGCTTCTAAATGTTGAGGGGGGAACTCGGAGGACCGGGAGAAAATGCCACGCGACCACGGAGAGAGAGAGACCCAAACTACAAATCTACAGCAGCAGGGTCGGGATCGAACCCACGACCTCCTGTACACCCGGCGAGGTAGTTAACATCTCATAGCCACCGTGATGATGTAGTTAACATCTCCTAGCCACCGTGATGATGATGATGATGTAGTTAACATCTCATAGCCACTGTGATGATGATGTAGTTAACATCTCCTAGCTACCGTGATGATGTAGTTAACGTCTCCTAGCCACCGTGATGATGATGATCTAGTTAACATCTCCTAGCCACCGTGATGATGTAGTTAACGTCTCATAGCCACTGTGATGATGATGTAGTTAACATCTCCTAGCCACCGTGATGATGATGCAGTTAACATCTCATAGCCACCGTGATGATGATGTAGTTAACATCTCATAGCCACCGTGATGATGATGTAGTTAACATCTCATAGCCACTGTGATGATGATGATGTAGTTAACATCTCCTAGCCACTGTGATGATGATGTAGTTAACATCTCATAGCCACTGTGATGATGATGTAGTTAACATCTCATAGCCACCGTGATGATGATGTAGTCAACATCTCATAGCCACCGTGATGATGATGTAGTTAACATCTCATAGCCACCGTGATGATGATGTAGTCAACATCTCATAGCCACCGTGATGATGATGTAGTTAACATCTCATAGCCACTATGATGATGACGTAGTTAACATCTCCTAGCCACCGTGATGATGTAGTTAACATCTAGCCACCGTGATGATGATGTAGTTAACATCTCATAGCCACCGTGATGATTATGGAGTTAACATCTTATAACCACCGTGATGATGATGATGGAGTTAACATCTCATAGCCACTGTGATGATGATGTAGTTAACATCTCCTAGCCACCGTGATGATGATGTAGTTAACATCTCCTAGCCACCGTGATGATGATGGAGTTAACATCTCATAACCACCGTGATGATGGAGTTAACATCTCATAGCCACCGTGATGATGATGATAGAGTTAACATCTCATAACCACTTTGATGATGATGTAGTTAACATCTCATAGCCACCGTGATGATGACGTAGTTAACATCTCCTAGCCACCGTGATGATGTAGTTAACATCTCATAGCCACCGTGATGATGCAGTTAACATCTCATAGGCACCGTGATGATGATGTAGTTAACATCTCATAGCCACCGTGATGATGATGTAGTTAACATCTCATAACCACCGTGATGATGATGATGTAGTTAACATCTCATAGCCACCGTGATGATGACGTAGTTAACATCTCATAGCCACCGTGATGATGATGTAGTTAACATCTCATAGCCACTGTGATGATGATGTAGTTAACATCTCATAGCCACCGTGATCATGATGATGGAGTTAACATCTCATAACCACCGTGATGATGATGATGGAGTTAACATCTCCTAGCCACCGTGATGATGATGATGGAGTTAACATCTCATAGCCACCGTGATGATGGAGTTAACATCTCATAACCACCGTGATGATGATGTAGTTAACATCTCATAACCACCGTGATGATGATGTAGTTAACATCTCCTAGCCACCGTGATGATGTAGTTAACATCTCATAGCCACCGTGATGATGTAGTTAACATCTCATAGGCACCGTGATGATGATGTAGTTAACATCTCATAGCCACCGTGATGATGATGGAGTTAACATCTCAACCACCGTGATGACGACGATGTAGTTAACATCTCATAACCACCGTGATGACGATGATGTAGTTAACATCTCATAACCACCGTGATGATGGAGTTAACATCTCATAACCACCGTGATGATGATGGAATTAACATCTCATAACCACCGGCGGCTTCACGAACTCCGTTATTTTGTCAACACCGGAGCATCACGCAGCTGCCGAGAGCATCAAATAAAAACCCATTCATTGGAGATTCTGCGGTCTTCAAGTTTGGCTTTTATTGATTTCCGTGGGCCGCGCGTTTTAAACTCTGTACATTCCACTTACAAGGGTTAAGTGCCATCACGTTCGGCCACACCTGGGGACCACGGCCCCAAATTCTCACCGGAAATAATCTGGTCGCGGTTCGAGAGACTTCGCCAGCACAGCTGAGATAGCCTGGGTTCATGCCCTGGGTCTGAGTATCTCTTAGTGGGTTCATAATGGCCCTGTCAGAGACACTGAGTCAACACAGCTGAGATATCCTGGGTTCAAGCCGTGGGTCTGAGTGTCTCTTAGTGGGTTCATAATGGCCCTGTCAGAGACACAGGCCCAGCACAGCTGAGATACTCATCCTGGGTTCAAGCCCTGGGTCTGAGTGTCTCTCTTAGTGGGTTCATAATGGCCCTGTCAGAGACACCGGCCCTACACAGCTGAGATACTCATCCTGGGTTCAAGCCCTGGGTCTGAGTGTCTCTCTTAGTGGATTCATAATGGCCCTGTCAAGAGACACGGGCCCAGCACAGCTGAGATACTCATCCTGGGTTCAAGCCCTGGGTGTGAGTGTCTCTCTTAGTGGGTTCATAATGACCCTGTCAGAGACACGGGCCCTGCACAGCTGAGATACTCATCCTGGGTTCAAGCCCTGGGTCTGAGTGTCTCTCTTAGTGAGTTCATAATGGCCCTGTCAGAGACACGGGCCCAGCACAGCTGAGATACTCATCCTGGGTTCAAGCCCTGGGTCTGAGTGTCTCTTAGTGGGTTCATAATGGCCCTGTCAGAGACACGGGCCCTGCACAGCTGAGATACTCATCCTGGGTTCAAGCCCTGGGTCTGAGTGTCTCTTAGTGGGTTCATAATGTCCCTGTCAGAGACACAGGCCCTGCACAGCTGAGATACTCATCCTGGGTTCAAGCCCTGGGTCTGATTGTCTCTCTTAGTGGATTCATAATGGCCCTGTCAGAGACACGGGCCCTGCACAGCTGAGATACTCATCCTGGGTTCAAGCCCTGGGTCTGAGTGTCTCTCTTCGTGGATTCATAATGGCCCTGTCAGAGACACTGAGTCAACACAGCTGAGATAGCCTGGGTTCAAGCCCTGGGTCTGAGTGTCTCTTAGTGGGTTCATAATGGCCCTGTCAGAGACACAGGCCCAGCACAGCTGAGATAGTCATCCTGGGATCAAGCCCTGGGTCTCTCTTAGTGGGTTCATAATGGCCCTGTCAGAGACACGGGCCCTGCACAGCTGAGATACTCATCCTGAGTTCAAGCCCTGGGTCTGAGTGTCTCTCTTAGTGGGTTCATAATGGCCCTGTCGGAGAGACTGAGTCAACACAGCTGAGATACTCATCCTGGGTTCAACCCTGGGCCTAAGTGTCTCTTAGTGGATTCATAATGGCCCTGTCACAGACACGGGCCCTGCACAGCTGAGATACTCATCCTGGGTTCAAGCCCTGGGTCTGAGTGTCTCTCTTAGTGGGTTCATAATGGCCCTGTTGGAGACACGGGCCCTACACAGCTGAGTTAGTCATCTTGGGTTCAACCCTGGGTCTGAGTGTCTCTTAGTGGGTTAATAATGGCCCTGTCACAGACACGGGCCCTACACAGCTGAGATACTCATCCTGGGTTCAAGTGCTGTGGAGATGCTGGATTTGAACCCCGGTTGGAATCTTCCCCCACGGATCACACCCCCCCCCCCCCCCCGCCCTTCACGACGCCTTCCATTCCACTTCAAATTCGTCGGTCATTTTAATAGAAAATAATTCGGAGGAAAATAAACGGGTCGGATTAAATAAAACAACAAAACGAATCATAATCTCACGCGTGACGCCCACGTCGATTATAGTCATGAACCGAGATCAACAGGTAAACGTCGCTTACGTTCAACCGAATTCAACGCGTTCCGTGATGCGGTGACCGAGTTGAAATAAACCATATAGGTTGGAGGACCCCATCTGACCGCGTCCAACCCCGTCCAATCCTACCCAACCCTGTCCAATCCTACCCAACCCCGTCCAATCCTACCCAACCCCGTCCAATCCTACCCAACCCCGTCCAATCCTACCCAACCCCGTCCAATCCTACCCAACCCTGTCCAATCCTACCCAACCCCGTCCAATCCTACCCAACCCCGTCCAATCCTACCCAACCCCGTCCAATCCTACCCAACCCCATCCAATCCTGCCCAACCCCCGTCCAATCCTACCCAACCCCGTCCAATCCTACCCAACCCTGTCCAATCCTCAGCCCAGGCCTCTTCAGCTCAGGCCTCTTCAGCCCAGGCCCCTTCAGCTCAGGCCTCTTCAGCCCAGGCTCCTTCAGCCCAGGCCTCTTCAGCCCAGGCCTCTTCAGCTCAGGCCTCTTCAACCCAGGCTCCTTCAGCTCAGGCCTCTTCAGCCCAGGCCTCTGCAGCCTAGGCCTCTTCAGCCCAGGCCTCTTCAGCTCAGGCCTCTTCAGCCCAGGCCTCTTCAGCTCAGGCCTCTTCAGCCCAGGCCTCTTCAGCCCAGGCCTCTTCAGCCCAGGCCTCTTCAGCCCAGGCCTCTTCAGCTCAGGCCTCTTCAGCTCAGGCCTCTTCATCCCAGGCCTCTTCATCCCAGGCCTCTTCAGCTCAGGCCTCTTCAGCTCAGGCTAGAGCCCCCATCCCCCAGTCCCCGTCCCACTGGCCGGGCGCTCACTTGCCGAAGCGCTGCTCACACTCGGCGAAGCCGCGCATGGCCGAGTGGAGGTCCTCGTAGCACAGCCCCTGCAGGGGGCCCACGGGACTGGGGGGGGGGTACAGGGGGGAGACGAGAATGACATCACGGGGCAGAGACAGAAGTGTGGGCACAGTGGCAATGAGGGTGACAGTGCTGTGTGTCTCCCCCGTGTCCCACCCCCCTCCCGTGTCCCGCTCGCGTTCGTTCCCACGTGCCCCTACCTATGACCCCGCCGTGTCCCCCCCCCCCTGCCCCCACCCCCCCCCCGCGTCCATCTCATGCCCCCCACGCCGTGTCTCCCCCCTGTCTCCTCCCCCCGTTTCCATTCCCGTGCCCCCTCCCATGTCTCCCCGTATCCCCGTGTCCCTTCCCATGTCCCCCCGCCTGACATCCTCCCCCCCCCCCCCCCACCCACGTCCCCCCCCCACGTCCCCCCGCCTCACATCCTCCCCCCCCCACGTCCCCCCCCCCACGTCCCCCCCCCCACGTCTCCCCCCCCCCCCCCCGCGTCCCTCACATGATCTCTGCGAGGTGGAGTTGCCAGGGTGGGTACCCCAGAGTGCTCTCCACACGGCCAAACCGCAGCACCAAGTCCGGGTCCGGGAAGCCCTTCAAGGCTGCCAGCACAAAGACAAAAGTCCCCACCCCCGCCGTGTAGCCTTAGCAGACTGTTGGGGCAAGTGCTGTTAGCGAGCAGCAGCACCTATGATGGCCAGCACACACACACACGTGCCTTCACTATCACACACACACACACACACGTGCCTTCACTATCACACACACACGCGTGCCTTCACTATCACACACACACACACACGTGCCTTCACTATCACACACACACACGTGCCTTCACTATCACACACACACACGTGCCTTCACTATCACACACACACGTGCCTTCACTATCACACACACACACGTGCCTTCACTATCACACACACACATGCGTGCCTTCACTATCACACACACACACGTGCCTTCATTATCACACACACACACGTGCCTTCATTATCACACACGCGCCTTCACTATCACACACACACACACACACGTGCCTTCACTATCACACACACACGCGCCTTCACTATCACACACACACACACACGCGCCTTCACTATCACACACACACACGCGCCTTCACTATCACACACACGTGCCTTCACTATCACACACACGTGCCTTCACTATCACACACACACGTGCCTTCACTATCACACACACACGTGCCTTCATTATCACACACACACGTGCCTTCACTATCACACACACACGCGTGCCTTCATTATCACACACACACACACACGTGCCTTCACTATCACACACACACACGTGCCTTCACTATTACACACACACACACGTGCCTTCACTATTACACACACGTGCCTTCACTATCACACACACACACGTGCCTTCACTATTACACACACACGTGCCTTCACTATCACACACACACACGTGCCTTCACTATCACACACACACACACGTGCCTTCACTATCTCACACACACACACGTGCCTTCACTATCACACACACACACGTGCCTTCACTATCACACACACACACGTGCCTTCACTATCACACACACACACGTGTCTTCACTATCACACACACACACGTGCCTTCACTATCACACACACACACGTGCCTCCACCATCACACACACACACGTGCCTTCACTATCACACACACACACGTGCCTTCACTATCACACACACACACGTGCCTTCACTATCACACACACACGTGCCTCCACCATCACACACACACACGTGCCCCCACCATCACACACACGTGCCTTCACTATCACACACACACGTGCCTTCACTATTACACACACACACACGTGCCTTCACTATCACACACACACACACGTGCCTCCACTATCTCACACACACACACACACGTGTGACTCCACCACCACCACCATCATCATCATACATACATGCATGTTGAACTTCTCTCGCACCATACGTAGCCAACCGTGCTTATCAGCGGTGCGGGATAATTATTATCATCATAATTATCCACATTTGAATCTACGGCAACGCAATCTTAAGCAATTCTGACATTCCTCTGCCGTGGCTCAGTGACTCTACCATATGACAGCTGGCTCAGTGACTCCACCACGTGACAGCTGGCTCAGTGACTCCACCACGTGACTGCTGGCTCAGTGACTCCACCACGTGACTGCTGGCTCAGTGACTCTATCACGTGACTGCTGGCTCAGTGACTCTACCACGTGACTGCTGGCTCAGTGACTCTACCACGTGACAGCTGGCTCAGTGACTCCACCACGTGACAGCTGGCTCAGTGACTCCACCACGTGACAGCTGGCTCAGTGACTACCACGTGACTGCTGGCTCAGTGACTACCACGTGACTGCTGGCTCAGTGACTCCACCACGTGACTGCTGGCTCAGTGACTCCACCACGTGACTGCTGGCTCAGTGACTCCACCACGTGACTGCTGGCTCAGTGACTCCACCACCTGACTGCTGGCTCAGTGACTCTACCACGTGACTGCTGGCTCAGTGACTCCACCACGTGACAGCTGGCTCAGTGACTCCACCACGTGACAGCTGGCTCAGTGACTCTACCACGTGACTGCTGGCTCAGTGACTCCACCACGTGACTGCTGGCTCAGTGACTCTACCACGTGACTGCTGGCTCAGTGACTCTACCACGTGACAGCTGGCTCAGTGACTCCACCACGTGACAGCTGGCTCAGTGACTCCACCACGTGACAGCTGGCTCGGTGACTACCACGTGACTGCTGGCTCAGTGACTACCACGTGACTGCTGGCTCAGTGACTCCACCACGTGACTGCTGGCTCAGTGACTCCACCACGTGACAGCTGGCTCAGTGACTCTACCACGTGACAGCTGGCTCAGTGACTCTACCACGTGACTGCTGGCTCAGTGACTCTACCACGTGACAGCTGGCTCAGTGACTCTACCACGTGACAGCTGGCTCAGTGACTCCACCACGTGACTGCTGGCTCAGTGACTCTACCACGTGACAGCTGGCTCAGTGACTCCACCACGTGACTGCTGGCTCAGTGACTCTACCACGTGACAGCTGGCTCAGTGACTCTACCACGTGACAGCTGGCTCAGTGACTCCACCACGTGACTGCTGGCTCAGTGACTCTACCACGTGACAGCTGGCTCAGTGACTCCACCACGTGACTGCTGGCTCAGTGACTCCACCACGTGACAGCTGGCTCAGTGACTCCACCACGTGACAGCTGGCTCAGTGACTCCACCACGTGAGTCGGTGCCGGCCCAGCGACTCGGCGGTGCGGGTGCCGGCGCTGGCTGGCGACCGCGATGAGTGGCTCACCGGTGAGGCTGTCCCCGAGCTCGCCGGGAGTGAGCGCCGGTGCCGGGCGGCGCCGTGCGGCCACCAGGGAGCAGAAGGCGGCGGCGGCGCGAGCCAGGGCGGCACGGCCGTCACGCGGGGACAGCAGAGCCACTCGCACCGTCGCTACGCACACACCATCACAATCACCACCGTCACCATGACCGTCACCATCACCACCGTCACCATCACCGTCATTACCACTGTCACCATCACCATCACCGTCACCATCACCGTCACCATCACCGTCACCATCACCGTCACCATCACCGTCATTACCACTGTCACCATCACCATCACCACCGTCACCATCACCGTCACCGTCATTACCACTGTCACCATCACCGTCACCATCACCGTCATTACCACTGTCACCATCACCATTGTCACCATCACCATCACCGTTACCGTCATTACCACTGTCACCATCACCACCGTCATTACCACCATCACCATCACCACCGTCATTACCACTGTCACCATCACCGTCACCACTGTCATTACCATCGTCACCATCACCATCACCACCGTCACCATCACCGTCACCACCGTCATTACCACTGTCACCACCGTCATTACCGCCATCACCATCACCATCACCACCGTCATTACCACTGTCACCACCGTCATTACCGCCATCACCATCGTCATTACCACTGTCACCATCACCACCGTCATTACCACCATTACCGTCACCCCCACCGTCACCGTCATTACCACTGTCACCACCGTCATTACCACCATCACCGTCACCATCACCACCGTCATTACCACTGTCACCATCACCACCGTCATTACCACCATTACCGTCACCACCGTCACCACCGTCACCGTCATTACCACTGTCACCGTCATTACCACTGTCACCACCGTAACACGGGGACAGCAACCCCACTCGCACCGTCGCTACGCATACACCACCACCATCACCCACCACCATCACCACCACCATCACCATCACCCACCACCGCCATCACCACCACCATCACCACCATCACCGCCATCACCCACCACCATCACCACCACCATCACCCACCACCGCCATCACCACCGCCATCACCACCATCACCACCATCACCCACGACCATCAGCACCACAATCACCACCACCATCACCCACCACCGCCATCACCACCACCATCACCACCATCACGCGGGGGACAGAAACGCCACTCGCATCGTCGCTACGCACGCACCATCACCACAATCACCATCGTCACCTCCATCACCACAATCACCATCGTCACCTCCATCACCACAATCACCATCGTCACCTCCATCACCACAATCACCATCGTCACCTACATCACCACAATCACCATCGTCACCTCCATCACCACAATAACTGTCACCACCACTTCTCCTCATGTCACATGACACCACCCCCCGCCTCACCTGGTGTACCCTGCAGTAACGCCTCTGCCGATTGGTCGTCCACAAACTCGACCTTCCGCTTGGACCAATCGGATCCCAGTTGCTCCCTCTGCTGCCTCAGTACCTCTTCCATGAGGCGGCCATTGGTTTCCTTCAACATCCCTGGGCAGGAGGCAACCACCACACACACCAACACCATCACCACCAACAACACTACCACCATCATCAACACCATCAACATCACCACCACACACACCAACACCAACAACACTACCACCACCAACAACACTACCACCATCATCAACACCACCATCATCACCACACACACCAACACCATCAACACTACCACCATCATCAACACCATCAACATCACCATCACACACATCAACACCATCAACACTACCACCACCAACAACACTACCACCATCATCAACACCACCATCACCACCACACACACCAACACCAACAACACTACCACCATCATCAACACCACCATCACAACCATCACCACCACACACACCAACACCAACAACACTACCACCACCAACAACACTACCACCATCATCAACACCATCAACATCACCACCACACACCAACACCATCAACACCAACAAGACCAACAACACTACCACCATCATCAACCATCACCACCACACACACCAACACCATCAACACCAACAACACTACCACCATCATCAACACCACCACCATCACCACCACACACACCAACACCATCATCACCAACAACATTACCACCATCATCAACACCATCAACATCACCACCACACACACCAACACCATCAACACTACCACCACCAACACTACCACCATAATCAACACCATCAACATCACCACCACACACACCAACACCATCAACACCAACAACACTACCACCATCATCAACATCACCACCACACACACCAACACCATCAACACCAACAACACTACCACCATAATCAACACCATCAACATCACCACCACACACACCAACACCATCAACACCAACAACACTACCACCATCATCAACATCACCACCACACACACCAACACCATCAACACCAACAACACTACCACCATAATCAACACCATCAACATCACCACCACACACACCAACACCATCAACACCAACAACACTACCACCATCATCAACATCACCACCACACACACCAACACCATCAACACCAACAACACTACCACCATCATCAACACCATCAATATCACCACCACACACACCAACACCATCAACACCAACAACACTACCACCATCATCAACATCACCACCACACACACCAACACCATCAACACCAACAACACTACCACCATCATCAACACCATCAACATCACCACCACACACACCAACACCATCAACACCAACAACACTACCACCATCATCAACATCACCACCACAGACACCAACACCACCAACACCATCAACACAAACAACACCAACAACACTACCACCATCATCAACACCATCAACACCACCACACACACCAACACCATCAACACCAACAACACTACCACCATCATCAACACCATCAACATCACCACCACACACACCAACACCAACAACACTACCACCATCATCAACATCATCAACATCACCACCACAGACACCAACACCACCAACACCATCAACACAAACAACACCAACAACACTACCACCATAATCAACACCATCAACACCACCACACACACCAACACCATCAACACCAACAACACTACCACCATCATCAACACCACCATCACCACCACCATCACCACCACACACACCAACACCATCACCACCATCACCACCATCAACACCAACAACACTACCACCATCATCAACACCACCATCACCACCACCATCACCACCACACACACCAACACCATCACCACCATCAACACCAACAACACTACCACCATCATCAACACCACCATCACCACCGCCATCACCACCACACACACCTACACCATCACCACCAACACCACCAACAACACTACCACCATCATCAACACCATCAACATCACCACCACACACACCAACACCATCAACACAACCACCATCATCAATGCCACCATCACCACCGCCATCACAACCATCACCACCACGCACACCAACACCATCAACACCAACAACACTACCACCATCATCAACACCATCAACACTACCACCATCATCAACACCACCATCATCAACACCACCATCAACACCATCAACACCAACAACACCATCAACACTACCACCATCATCAACGCCACCATCACCACTGCCATCACGACCACACACACCAACACCATCACCACCAACAACACTACCACCATCATCAACACCATCACCACCACGTACACCAACACAATCATCACCATCACCACCATCAACACCACCATCACCACCGCACACACCAATACCATCACCACCAACAACACTACCACCATCATCAACACCATCACCATCAACACCACCATCACCACCACGCACACCAACACAATCATCACCACCACCATCAACACTATCACCACCATCACCACCACATGCACACCATCGACACCATAAACCACTAACATGTCCACCATCAACACCATCAACCACACGCACACGTCCACCATCAACACTACCATCACCACCATTACCACTATTACCACCATCACAAACATCACTATCACCACCATCACTAAAATCACCACCATCACTATCATCACTATCACCAACCACCACTATCACCACCATCACTACCACCATCAACCACACCCGCACGTCCCGGTAATACCCACCATACGCCACTAAGTGACGGTGGTGAAGTCACCACGCCGCCTGTGCTAGGCCAGGTGCACTTTGAGGTCACGTGAAGTGTCAAAAGTCTCGCCTCTATGCGGCCAAACAAAAGCTGTTTAGGCATGCGGTGGCTGGGCATGCGGGCTACATGACCCAGCCAACGCAGCCTTGCCTGCCGGAGGAGCTCACTGATGTGAATGCGTCCAGATCTTACGACCACCATCAACCGCACACACGTCCCGGCAACCAGCATCACTACCATCGCCACCATCATCACTGCCATCATCACCACCAATACCATCGCCGCCGCCGCCACCATCATCGCCGCCGCCACCACCACCATTCATCACCACCACCACAATTATCACCACCATCACCATCGTCACCATGTGTGGCAATTTTAATAACGGGAGCGGCCCAGTCCAATCTGGTCCGGGGCAAATGAAACCCGCGGCAGCAATCACCACAGCTTCCATTGAGTGTAAACAAACACGCACACAGACAAAGATCCCCCGTGTAGCCTTGACCAGGCTGTTGGGGCAAGTGTTGTTAGACAGCACACTCACACAGACAAAGATCCCCCGTGTAGCCTTGACCAGGCGGTTGGGGCAAGTGCTGTCAGATAGAACATTCACACAGATAAAGATCCCCCGTGTAGCCTTGACCAGGCGGTTGGGGCAAGTGCTGTCAGACAGCACACTCACACAGACAAAGATCCCCCGTTAGAGAGTAGCAGCACTTGTGAGGGCCGGCACGGCACGACAGGGAGTTGGTGGTGGCCACGCCCGACCACCTTTGTCTCCCCAGCGGCGAAGTCTTGGCACACCACACCGGGTACTCATTTGAGGCCGAGTCGACCTAGGGTAGGCCCAGCACCGGTTCAAGACAATCGTCACCGGTGTTGGCCGTGAGCTGAAATCGAACTCGGGTCGCCGGGGTCACAGCACGGTAGCGCTAACCGCTACACAGCACCCACACAGCACCCACACAGCACTCACACAGCACCCACACAGCACCCACACAGCACTCACACCCGCCACTAAGTGACGGTGGTTAAGTCACCACGCCGCATGTGCCAGGCGCACTTTGAGGCCACGTTGAGGTGTCGAAGGCTCGAGCTGGCAGGAGGTCACGTGACAGACCCAGGCGGTAGTGCAGTGGGCTGGCTGACTTAGGCGACTGGAATACTCACAACAACCGCCATTCGCCACTAAGTGGGGGTGACGTCACCACGACGCTTGTGCCAGGCAATGTGCACCTTGAGGCCACGTGGAGTGTCGAACGCCCGCTGGCAGGAGGTCACTGGGCAGACCCAGGTGCCACGGGTCGACTGAATGAGATGACTGAGATCACTGGCTGATGCACCACCTGTGCCCCCTAATGTGCCAACCTGCTGTGCTTTAGCCACCCGGCGCTCCGCTCGTTGTTGTGAGCGTCGCTCTTCCGCCCTCCGTTGTTGTTGGAGAGCGACTACCTCCAACTGCCCAGTAGCAGCGTCCTTCACGAGCCTCCTCCACAGAGGCCGATCTTGACACCGCTGGTACCAGTCATCGGCAAGTCCACTCAGCTACACGTCCTCCTGTACCACATCACTCCATCTCTTCTCTAGCCCGTGCAGCGCCCGCTTAGCCCCCTCGATCCGGCCGAACAAAAGCTGTTTCGGCATGCGGTGGCTGGGCATGCGGGCTACATGGCCCAGCCAACGCAGCCTTGCCCGCCGGAGGAGCTCGCCGATGGGACCTTGCCCAGATCTTTCAAGGATTTGTGAGCTCCTCACACAATCCGGCCTGGTTAAACCTGGAATACTCACACACACTCACACACCTGCACTCAGACACACAGATAAACATTCACACGCCACTCACACCCATCCACCCAATCACTCACCTCTCACCCACATTTCATTACCTACCTACCTCCTCATCCAATCCCTCACCTCTCACCCACATTTCGTTACCTACCTCCTCACCCAATCCCTCACATCCTCACCCTATCCCTCACCCCGTCCCTCTCACCTCTTGACCTCCCCCATCCTCACCTTGTCCCTCACCTTGCCCCCCTCTCCCCCACCTCCTCACCCTCGACTCACCCTGTCCCACACCTCCTCACCTTGCCTCAACCCCCTCCCACACCTCCTCACCCTGTCCCTCACCTCATCTCGCCTCAATCCCCTCCCACACCTCCTCAACCCTGTCCCCCACCCCCTCCCACACCTCCTCACCCTGTCCCCCACCCCCTCCCACACCTCCTCACCCTCGACTCACCCTGTCCCTCGCCTCCTCACCTCGCCTCAACCCCCTCCCACACCTCCTCACCCTGTCCCCCACCCCCTCCCACACCTCCTCACCCTGTCCCCCACCCCTACCACACCTCCTCACCCTGTCCCCCACCCACTCCCACACCTCCTCACCTTGCCTCAAACCCCTCCCACACCTCCTCACCCTGTCCCCCACCCCCTCCCACACCTCCTCACCCTCGACTCACCCAGTCACTCGCCTCCTCACCTCGCCTCAACCCCCTCCCACACCTCCTCAACCTTGCCTCAACCCCCCCCCCCACACCTCCTCACCTTGCCCCCACCCCCATCCCACACCTCCTCACCCTCACCCTCGCCGCCTTCGACTCACCCCGCGCGTCGAACACGCTCACGTAGGAGACGCCGAGCGCCACGCACCACAGCACGGCGTTCGCCACGTCGCGAACTCCGCGCTCGGCGCCAGCCGCCTCGCTCAGCACGAGCCCCACGTGCACGGGCAGCTTGCGCAGGGCGCGCCCGTCGTGCCGCGCCATCTCCAGCCCCCTTCTGCCCTCCTCCTCCTCATCACCGCCAACATCGTCACCATCAGCTCCCCCGACCCCTTTCCCCCTGCCCCGGCCGCCGGCGAAGGCGCGCCTCGGCCGGCGGCGTTTCCAGGCGAGACCGAGGCTGTCCCATCGCACTAGGCCGCGCTGGAGCTTCGCCTTGAGCGCGAGCAGCGCGTGCAGCAGGCGGAGCACGAGCGCGTACAGCAGGGCCATGGCGAGCCTCTCATGTCTCGGCGCGGGCCTCCTTCAGCCCTCCCGCAACAACCCCGGCGACAAGAGAGCGTCTCGATGAGGTAGTGAGCGAGGAGAGACCGTCAGGCGGGCGCCATGCTTGGTAGGGGTTGCGTGTCACACACGCACGCACACACCACGCCCCGCCCCCCGTGAGGACATGGAAGCTTCCCATTGGTCCGCTGTGGCATTGACGTCACGTGTTTTGGTGGGGGGGGGGGGGCGAATGACGTGCCGACGGTGTGCGCATGCGCGGCAACGTCCGCCAACGTCGCGCAAGCGGAGCGACGTCATCACGCGCAACTTCGAGTCCACGTGACATGCGAGATGACGCCATAAACGGGTGACGTCATCGCGGCACTTCATCCTTTCCCACAGTGAAATTCTCATTTACCCACGACGCACTGCGCCTTTTTACCCACGACGCACTGCGCCCTTACCCACGACGCACTGCGCCTTTTTACCCACGACGCACTGCGCCCTTACCCACGACGATGTTCTAACGTTCTGACCCCGTGCCCCTACAGGACATCTGTGGGGGTGGGGAAGAGGGAAGAGCTTTACAGCTCATCGGATTCCTCCTGCAGTCTAAATAACGAAGCTGTTTGTGGGTTTACTCTCCGACACACAACCGGGCTGACCTGGTAGCTTATCTCGGGCACGTTTTTGTTTACGCGACAAACCTCACCAACAATAAGTAATATTTTAAACATACTTTAACTTAAAAAAACACGCTTTAATTAAATGTACCGTACGAGTAGTGGCAGAAACTCCACGACTCCAAGGAAGTGGCCACCGAAGCTTGCCACGACGTTAGGGGACCGTGGTGATTTATACAGCCAACGTGAGTTAAGCGTGGACAATTAGAGCCAAGCCGAAACATAACATATACAAAATAATGGTTAAAAATATATATTTTTAATGATATAATATAGTTATTGTCATCAGTATGACGTGAGTATACCAAGATTGCAGTCGATACCACATTGGGAAGCGGGTTAAAATTGAGTTACAAGATTTGAGGATACAACAACAGAGTTAATAAAAAGCGTGAAATAAAACCTTTAGAATCAATAACATTGGGAGTGAAAGCCCCACTACGACTACTGCCCGTTACAATGAATATCCTCAACCTAGCCCCCACCTCCTCACTCCGACCCTCACTCTGCCCATCACCTCCTCACCTTAACCACCCCCCTCTACATCCTGTCCCTCACCTCCTCACCTTAATCCTCACCTTACCCTCCTCCTCACCCTGTCCCTCACCTCCTCACCTTGCCCTCCTCTCCTCCTCACCCTGTCCCTCACCTCCTCACCTTAATCCTCACCCTCACCTTACCCTCCCCTCCTCCTCACCTTAATCCTCACCCTCACCTTACCCTCCTCCTCACCCTGTCCCTCACCTCCTCACCTTAATCCTCACCTTACCTCTCACGCCCCCCTCCTCCTCCCCCCTCCTCCTCACCCCTCCTCCTCACCCCTCCCTTCATCTCCTGACCTCCCCCATCCCCTCTACACCATTGTCCCAGTAGGTGTGTGTGGGGTGTGTGTGTGGGTGGGGGGTGTGTGTGGGTGTGTGGGGTGTGGGGGGTGTGGGTGGGGGGTGTGTGTGCGGGTGTGTGAGGGTGTGTGTGTGGGTGGGGTGTGTGGTGGGGGGGGGGGGGTGTGTGGGTGGGTGGGGTGTGGGTGGGGGGTGGGTGAGGGTGTGTGTGTGGATGGGGTGTGTGTGTGGGTGTGGGGTGTGTGTGGGTGCGGTGTGTGTGTGGGTGGGGTGTATGTGGGTGGGGGGTTTGTGTGTGGGTGGGGTGTATGTGTGTGTGGGTGTGGGGTGTGTGTGGGTGGGGGGTGTGTGTGTGGGTGGGGGGTGTGTGGGTGTATGTGTGTGTGGGTGGGAGGTGTGTGTGGGTGGGAGGTGTGTGTGGGTGGGGTGTGTGTGTGTGGGTGGGGTGTGTGGGTGGGGGGTGTATGTGTGTGTGGGTGGGGTGTGTGTGTGGGTGGGAGGTGTGTGTGGGTGGGGGGTGTATGTGTGTGTGGGAGGTGTGTGTGGGTGGGGGGTGTGTGTGTGGGTGGGGGGTGTGTGTGGGTGGGGGGTGTATGTGTGTGTGGGTGGGGGGTGTATGTGTGTGTGGGTGGGGGGTGTATGTGTGTGTGGGGGGTCTATGTGTGTGTGGGTGGGGGGTCTATGTGTGTGTGGGTGGGGGGTGTATGTGTGTGTGGGTTGGGGGGTGTGTGTGGGTGGGGGGTGTGTGCCTGGTGTTGGAACCCATCCCCTCTACCAAGATGGCGTCGACGCGTCGCTTCCAGAATCCGTACCCGGACTACAGTGGCTCCCTGGTGCCGAGCTGCACCAGGGAGGCGCTACTCCCCGTCGTGGCCGAGCTGGTGGACCGGGTCGTGTCCCACACGAGCGGCGCGGGAGGCCGTGGTAGCGGCGGCGGAGTCTACGTGGGGCCAGCGGGCGCGGCCTACATGCTGGTTCGGGCCCTCGACGCTGGCCTGGAGGCGCCGCGGGACGTGAGCTACCTGGAGACGGCGTGGCGGCTGGGCGAGGCCGGGCTGCGCGGCGTCGAGCGGGACCCCGAGAGCCGGGCCTCCTTCCTGCTGGGTCTCGACGCACAATCTCACGTCTCATTGTCTCTCTGTCTCATGCATTGTCTCATTGTCTCTCTGTCTCATGCATTGTCTCTCTGTCTCATGCATTGTCTCTCTGTCTCATGCATTGTCTCGCTGTCTCTCTGTCTCATACATTGTATTTCTGTCTCATGCATTGTCTCGCTATCTCATGCATTGTATCGCTGCCTCTCTGTCTCATGCATTGTCTCTCTGTCTCTCTGTCTCATGCATTGTATCGCTGTTTCTCTGTCTCATGAATTGTCTCTCTGTCTCATGCATTGTCTCTCTGTCTCTCTGTCTCATGCATTGTCTCTCTGTCTCATGCATTGTCTCTCTGTCTCATGCATTGTCTCACTGTCTCATGCATTGTCTCACTGTCTCACTGTCTCATGCATTGTCTCTCTGTCTCATGCATTGTCTCTCTGTCTCTCTGTTTCATGCATTGTCTCGCTGTCTCTCTGTCTCATGCATTGTCTCTCTGTCTCTCTGTATCATGCATTGTCTCACTGTCCCTCTGTCTCATGCATTATCTCGCTGTCTCTCTGTCTCATGCATTGTCTCTCTGTCTCATGCATTGTCTCTCTGTCTCATTCATTGTCTCTCTCTCTCTCATGCATTGTCTCTCTGTCTCATGCATTGTCTCTCTGTCTCTCTGTCTCATGCATTGTCTCTCTGTCTCATGCATTGTCTCTCTGTCTCATTCATTGTCTCTCTGTCTCATTCATTGTCTCACTGTCTCTCTGTCTCATGCATTGTATCTCTGTCTCTCTGTCTCATGCATTGTCTCGCTGTCTCTCTGTCTCAGGCATTATCTCTCTGTCTCTCTGTCTCATGCATTGTCTCTCTGTCTCTCTGTCTCATGCATTGTCTCTCTGTCTCATGCATTGTCTCTCTGTCTCATGCATTGTCTCTCTGTCTCTCTGTCTCATGCATTGTCTCTCTGTCTCATGAACTGTCTCTCTGTCTCATGCATTGTCTCTCTGTCTGTCTGTCTCATGCATTGTCTCTCTGTCTCATGCATTGTCTCTCTGTCTCATGCATTGTCTCACTGTCTCATGCATTGTCTCACTGTCTCTCTGTCTCATGCATTGTCTCTCTGTCTCTCTGTCTCATGCATTGTCTCTCTGTCTCTCTGTCTCATGCATTGTCTCTCTGTCTCATGCATTGTCTCTCTGTCTCATGCATTGTCTCACTGTCTCATGCATTGTCTCACTGTCTCACTGTCTCATGCATTGTCTCTCTGTCTCTCTGTCTCATGCATTGTCTCTCTGTCTCATGCATTGTCTCTCTGTCTCATGCATTGTCTCACTGTCTCATGCATTGTCTCACTGTCTCACTGTCTCATGCATTGTCTCTCTGTCTCTCTGTCTCATGCATTGTCTCGCTGTCTCTCTGTCTCATGCATTGTCTCTCTGTCTCTCTGTCTCATGCATTGTCTCTCTGTCTCATTCATTGTCTCTCTCTCTCTCATGCATTGTCTCTCTGTCTCATTCATTGTCTCACTGTCTCTCTGTCTCATGCATTGTCTCTCTGTCTCTCTGTCTCATGCATTGTCTCTCTGTCTCTCTGTCTCATGCATTGTCTCTCTGTCTCTCTGTCTCATGCATTGTCTCACTGTCTCTCTGTCTCATGCATTGTCCCTCTGTCTCATGCATTGTCTCTCTGTCTCATGCATTGTCTCTGTCTCATTCATTGTCTCACTGTCTCTCTGTCTCATGCATTGTCTCTCTGTCTCTCTGTCTCATGCATTGTCTCGCTGTCTCTCTGTCTCATGCATTGTCTCTCTGTCTCTCTATCATGCATTATCTCTCTGTCTCTCTGTCTCATGCATTGTCTCTCTGTCTCTCTGTATCATGCATTGTCTCACTGTCTCTCTGTCTCATGCATTGTCTCACTGTCTCTCTGTCTCATGCATTGTCTCACTGTCTCTCTGTCTCATGCATTGTCTCTCTGTCTCATGCATTGTCTCGCTGCCTCTCTGTCTTATGCATTGTCTCTCTGTCTCTTTGTCTCATGCATTGTCTCTCTGACTCTCTGTCTCATGCATTGTCTCTCTGTCTCTCTGTCTCATGCATTGTCTCTCTGACTCTCTGTCTCATGCATTGTCTCACTGTTTCTCTGTCTCATGCATTGTCTCACTGTCTCACTGTCCCATGCATTGTCTCGCCGTCTCACTGTCTCATGCATTGTCTCGCTGTCTCATGCATTGTCTCACTGTCTCTCTGTCTCATGCATTGTCTCACTGTCTCTCTGTCTCATGCATTGTCTCTCTGTCTCATGGATTGTCTCACTGTCTCTCTGTCTCATGCATTGTCTCTCTGTCTCATGCATTGTCTCACTGTCTCATGCATTGTCTCACTGTCTCTCTGTCTCATCTCGCTGTCTCTCTGTCTCATGCATTGTCTCACTGTCTCTCTGTCTCATGGATTGTCTCACTGTCTCTCTGTCTCATCTAGCTGTCTCTCTGTCTCATGCATTGTCTCTCTGTCTCTCTGTCTCATGCATTGTCTCTCTGTCTCATTCATTGTCTCTCTCTCTCTCATGCATTGTCTCTCTGTCTCATTCATTGTCTCACTGTCTCTCTGTCTCATGCATTGTCTCGCTGCCTCTCTGTCTTAAGCATTGTCTCTCTGTCTCTCTGTCTCATGCATTGTCTCTCTGACTCTCTGTCTCATGCATTGTCTCTCTGTCTCTCTGTCTCATGCATTGTCTCTCTGACTCTCTGTCTCATGCATTGTCTCACTGTCTCTCTGTCTCATGCATTGTCTCACTGTCTCACTGTCTCATGCATTGTCTCGCCGTCTCACTGTCTCATGCATTGTCTCGCTGTCTCATGCATTGTCTCACTGTCTCTCTGTCTCATGCATTGTCTCACTGTCTCTCTGTCTCATCTCGCTGTCTCTCTGTCTCATGCATTGTCTCACTGTCTCTCTGTCTCATGGATTGTCTCACTGTCTCTCTGTCTCATGGATTGTCTCACTGTCTCTCTGTCTTATCTCGCTGTCTCTCTGTCTCATGCATTGTCTCGCTGTCTCTCTGTCTCATGCATTGTCTCGCTGTCTCTCTGTCTCCTGCATTGTCTCACTGTCTCTCTGTCTCATGCATTGTCTCGCTGCCTCTCTGTCTTATGCATTGTCTCTCTGTCTCTGTCTCATGCATTGTCTCTCTGTCTCATGCATTGTCTCTCTGTCTCTCTGTCTCATGCATTGTCTCACTGTCTCATGCAATGCATTGTGTCACTGTCTCACGCAATGCATTGTGTCACTGTCTCATGCATTGTCTCACTATGGAGGGTTGAGCCTGGATATTGCTTAGTTGTGCGACCCGTGGGTCTCTCTGTGAGTCTGTGGGTCTCTATGTGAGTCTCTGGGTCTCTGTGTAAGGGTCTCTATGTGGGTCTCTGGGTCTCTGTGTAAGGGTCTCTTTGTGGGTCTCTGGGTCTCTCTGTGAGTCTGTGGGTCTCTTTGTGAGTCTGTGGGTCTCTTTATGGGTCTCTATGTGAGTCTGTGGGTCTCTGTGTGAGTCTGTGGGTCTCTGTGGGTCTCTATGTGAGTCTGTGGGTCTCTATGTGAGTCTGTGGGTCTCTATGTGAGTCTGTAGGTCTCTATGTGAGTCTGTGGGTCTCTCTGTGAGTCTGTAGGTCTCTATGTGGGTCTCTATGTGAGTCTGTGGGTCTCTGTGAGTCTCTGGGTCTCTCTGTGAGTTTGTGGGTCTCCATGTGAGTCTGTGGGTCTCCATGTGAGTCTGTGGGTTTCCATGTGAGTCTGTGGGTCTCTATGTGAGTCTCTGGGTCTCTCTGTGAGTCTGTGGGTCTCTCTGTGAGTCTCTCTGTGAGTCTGTGGGTCTCTATGTGTGGGTGTCTCAGTGAGTCTGTGGGTCTCCCAGTGAGTCTGTGGGTCTCTATGTTCAACGTACACACACAGAGACCCACAGACACCCAGACCCATAGAGATACTCACAAAGACCCACAGATTCCTGGTGAAGGCCAACACCACCAGTCACGTGTATCTGAACCGGTCCTGGGCCTCACCTAAGTTGACTCAGCCTCAAATGAGTAGTACCCGGTGCGGTGTGTAGTAAACATCGCCACTGGAGAGAAAAAGGCGGTCGGGCGTGGTGCTGGCCACCCACCCCCTCGTGTGCCACAGTGCCAGTAGCCTTCATAGGCGCTGCTGCTACTCGCTAACAGCACTTGCCCCCAACTGTTTGTCACAGGCTGCACGGGGGGTCTTTGTCTCTGTGCGCGTGTGAAGGTGGAGCGGGCGTGTATGTGGTGCTGGCCATGGTGAGCCTGCGCATGGGGCAGAGGGAGCGTGCGTTGGAGTTTGCGTCACAGTACGCAGCACTCTACGAGGTGACCGGTGCTCTGTGAGTGTGTGAGTGTGAGTGAGTGTGTGTGTTTGTGTGTGAGTGAGTGTGTGAGTGAGTGACTGTGTGAGTGAGTGTGAGTGTGTGAGTGTGTGAGTGAGTGAGTGTGTGAGTGAGTGTGTGATTGTGTGAGTGAGTGAGTGTGTGAGTGAGTGTGTGTGAGTGTGTGAGTGAATAAAAAAATTAACTAATAAGCTTGTGCCGGAGGCCCCGGGGGGAAAGGCGTCTATGAAGTCTCCTGGCCAAACCCCAATTGGCGGAGCCAGGAGATTGAATCTCTACCCTCGGGGCTCCTCCAGAAACAATGAAAAGCCATTTCGTGTGGCCACGTGGAATGTTCGAACGCTCACTGCGGAGGAGAGGCTGCCACTCCTCTGTCGGGAGCTGGACCGGTACCGCCTGGATCTCTGTGGCATTCAGGAGGTCCGGTGGACCGGTTCTGGCTCCTGCCACCATGAGGGGTGGACAGTCCTCTACTCGGGGCAGCAGACTGCCAAACAATAGGGTGTGGCTCTTCTTTTGAACAAAAGAATGAAGGGGGCGTGAGAGCGTGGCGGTGAGGTGTGGGAAGCTGTAAGCCCCAGGCTACTTTGGGCTCACCTTCCCATCAATCGGAGGCGAGGAGTGGTGGTCGTGGTTACTTATGCCCCCACCGAAGACGAACATCCGTGGAGGGATGCAGGCAAAGCCGATGAGTCAGATGCCTTCTATGACCTCCTGTCACAGGTGCTGGCTAAAGTGGCCCCTCGGGATAGAGTCATCTTGTTGGGTGACTTCAATGCCCGAGTTGGTCATGATGTTGACACCTGGTCTGGAGTGATTGGAGGGCATGGACCAGATCAGCTCAATAACAACGGTAGGAGGCTGCTAGATTTTTGTGCAGCCCATGGGCTTGTAATTACCAACACGCTGTTCCGGCATCAGCGCATCCAGACAACATCATGGATGCATGCCGGGTCCAAGCAAGAACATCTGCTGGATTACATAGTGACGGACCAGCGGATGCGAGCCCATGTCCTTGACACCAGGACCTACCGTGGAGCTGATCTGCCCTCTGACCATCGACTTGTCATCTGTAAGATGCGCCTGCCATTCTTCTGCTCCGGTGGTGGGTGTACACTCAGGACCCCATTCCAACGTAAAGTGGCCTGGTCTCAGTTATCTGATGAAAGTTGGAAGCGAGAATTTCATCATCGCTTGCGGCTGGGGTTGGCATCGTCCGCCACTCCTCCTGATGTCAAGGGTAAATGGGCGAGGTTTAGGACTGTCACTCATGCAGCTGCATTGGCTGCTTTGGGCACGCGGTCCAGACCTCCTCAGAGACCCTGGCTGACAGAAGAGGTGTTCAGGATAGTTGAGAAAAAGCGACAGGCCCACTGTCATCGGCTACAGAATCCCACGTCAGAGAATGAGGAGGCTTACTGCAGCCTTCGCTCGGAGGTTCGGAGAGCTGTGAGACGCTGCAAGGATGGGTGGTGGTCACGGGTTGCTGAGGAGATGGAGTCTGCCTCAGTGGCCCGCGATCACAAATCTCTATTTAACTCCATCAAAAAAGTAACCTGTAGCGCCACACCTATTACCATAATTAGGGGAAAAAACGGTGATCCAATCTCTGAGACCAGGAAAGGCAGCGGGCAGAGATGATCTCCCAAGCGAAATGCTGAGGGAGGGTGGCGTTTGTGCACTGCCCTATATAACATCATAACAACAGTCTGGACCATTGGACGCGTTCCGCACGATTGGAAGGATGCCCTGGTGGTCCCCCTCTTTAAGAAGGGAGACCGCACAGACTGTAACAACTACAGGGGCATCTCACTCCTCAGTGTGCCGGGAAAAGTCCTGGCAAGGATTATTCAACATCGCCTTGCCAGGCACGCTGAGGAGAGGCTTGCGGAGCCCCAATGCGGTTTCAGGAAAGGGTGGTCCTGCACAGATGCCATATTTTCTGTCCGTCTGCTACAGCAGAGGTGTAGGGAATTCCAGCAAGACCGATATCTCTGCTTTATTGACCTGGTCAAAGCCTATGATACCATCAGTAGGCCTGGGCTTTAGGTTGTTCTTCGTGCTTTTGCAGTCCTTGACCCTCTGCTCACGATCATTAAGGACCTCCATGATGGTGAGCGGGCCCGGGTAAAACTACGTGGCTGGGAGTCAGAGCCATTCCCTATACACCTTGGGGTGCGACAGGGATGTCCTCTGGCTCCCACATTATTTAACATTTATTATGACCACGTAGTTCGTGAAGCCTTCAATAGCTGTACCGGGGGAATCTCCATTTGGTACAGATATAATGGGAGGCTGATCGATGCCCGGGTACGGTCAAGGGATGGCTCCCTATTGCTCAACCACGTTATGTATGCCGATGATTTGGTAATAGCTGCTCATTCAGAGGAGGAGTTGGAGACGCTGCTGCTGAGACTGGAGCGTGCCACGAAGAGATGGGGCCTTACCATCAGCCCCACCAAAACTAAGCACCTGCCTGGGTATTTTGTACCCAGGCAGGTGCACTCCACCCCCACAACTCCCAATCGGTGATGGGGCAGTTGTGGAGAGAGTGGAGAGTTTCCCATACCTGGGCAGTGTGCTTATGACCGGCTCCAGTTTACCAGCAGAGGTCTCACTCCGAATCAGTCGAGCGGCAATATCTTTTCATCGGTTGCGTAACGCTGTGTGAAAGCTACCTGGTCTGTTGATCCACACTAAGCTTCAGGTCTTCTCGGCCACGGTCATTCCCTCCCTTCTCTACGCTTACGAAACCTGGACCCTCCTAATGGAACATCTTCGCCGGTTAGAAACATTTAGGCTAGCCTGCCTACGATCCATCCTGGGTTTAACCAGGCTGGATTGTGTGAGGAGCTCACAAATCCTTGAAAGATCTGGGCAAGGTCCCATCGGTGAGCTCCTCCGGCAGGCAAGGCTGCGTTGGCTGGGTCATGTAGCCCGCATGCCCAGCCACTGCATGCCGAAACAACTTTTGTTCGGCCAGATCGAGGGGGCTAAACGGGCGCGGCATGGGCTAGAGAAGAGATGGAGTAATGTGGTACAGGAAGACGTTGAGCTGAGTGGACTTGCTGATGACTGGTACCAGCGGTGTCAATATTGGCCTCTGTGGAGGAGGCTTGTGAAGGACGCTACTGGGCAGTTGGAGGCAGTCGCCCTCCCACAACAATGGAGGGCGGAGGAGCGACGCTCACAACAACGAGCGGAGCGCTGGGTGGCTAAAGCACAGCAGGTTGACACAGTAGGGGGCACAGGTGGTGCATCAGCTAGTCATCTCAGTCGACCCGTGGCACCTGGGTCTGCCCCGTGACCTCCTGCCAGCAGGCGTTCGACACTTCACGTGGCCTCAAGGTGCACATGGCCTGGTATAAGCGTCGTGGTGACGTCACCGCCACTTAGTGGCGAATGGCGGTTGTTGTTGTTGTTGTGTGAGTGAGTGTGTGTGAGTGTGTGAGTGAGTGAGTGGGTGGGTGAGTGGGTGGGTGAGTGGGTGGGTGGGTGAATGGGTGGGTTGGTGATTGAGTGAGTACCTAAACAGCTTTTAGTTCGTCCGGATAGAGGGGGCTAAACGGGCTAGAGAAGAGATCGGACTGATGTGGTACAGGAGGATGTGGAGCTGATTGGACTTGCCGATGACCGGTACCAGCGGTGTCAAGATTGGCCTCTGTGGAGGAGGCTCGTGAAGGATGCTACTGGGCAGTTGGAGGCAGTCGCCCTCCAACAACAACGGAGGGCGGAGGAGCGACGCTCACAACAACGAACGGAGCGTCGGGCCGCTAAAACGCAGCGAGTTGGCACAGCAGGGGGCGCTGGTGGTGCATCGGCCAGTCATCTCAGTCGACCCGTGGCACCTGCTGGGTCTGTTCTGTGACCTCCTGCCGGCGGGCGGTCGACACTTCACGTGGTAGCCTCAAAGTGCACCTAGCCTGGCACAGGCGCCGCGGTGACGTCACCGCCGCTTAGTGGCAACTGGCGGCCATTGTTGTTGTGGGGAGCGGTGGCGCTGCGGTGAGCGCTACGCTGCACCAGCAAACCTGACGATCCGAGTTTGATTTCCACTCACGGCCGCCAACACCACCGGTGACGATTATCTGAACCGGTCCTGGGCCTCCCCTAGGTCTACTCAGCCTCAAACGAGTACCCGGTGTAGCGGTGTGTAGTGAACATCGCCACCGGGGAGACAAAGGCGGCCGGGCGTGGTGCTGGCCACCCACCCCCCTCGTGTGCCGTTCCGGCCTTCACAGGTGCTGCTACTCGCTACTAACAGCACTTGCCCCTACAGTCTGTCACAGGCTACACGGGGGATCTTTGTCTTTGTGTGTTCATAGCTGCTGCTACTCGTTAACAGCACTTGCCCCAACAGCCTGTCACAGGCTACACGGGGGGTCTTTGTCTTTGTGTGTGCAGGTGTGCGTGCAGCCGCGGTTTCTGCCGTGTGGTTCGGATGAATTGTTCGTGGGGAGAGCCGGGTTCCTGCACGGGGCCGATTACCTCTCCAGAGAGCTGGGGGTCCCAGTACGAACACACAAACACACATACCTATACACACACATACATACCTATACACACACACACATACCTATACACACACATACCTATACACACACAACAACAACCGCCATTCGCCACTAAGTGGCGGTGACGTCACCACGACGCTTGTGCCAGGCTATGTGCACCCTGGGGCCACGTGAAGTGTCGAACGCCCGCTGGCAGGAGGTCACGGGGCAGACCCAGGTGCCACGGGTCGACTGACTGAGATGACTGGCTGATGCACCACCTGTGCCTCCTACTGTGCCAACCTGCTGTGCTTTAGCCACCCGGCGCTCCGCTCGTTCTGAGCGTCGCTCCTCCGCCCTCCGTTGTTGGAGGGCGACTGTCTCCAACTGCCCAGTAGCGTCCTTCACGAGCCTCCTCCACAGAGGCCGATCTTGACACCGCTGGTACCAGTCATCGGCAAGTCCACTCAGCTCCACGTCCTCCTGTACCACATCACTCCATCTCTTCTCTAGCCCGTGCCGTGTCCGCTTAGCCCCCTCAATCCGGCCGAACAAAAGCTGTTTCGGTGGCTGGGTCATGTAGCCCACATGGCTGGGCATGTGGGCTACATGACCCAGCCATCGCAGCCTTCCCCGCCGGAGGAGCTCACCAATGGGACCTTGCCCAGATCTTTCAAGGATTTGTGAGCTCCTCACACAATCCAGTCTGGTTAAACTCAGGATGGATCGTAGGCAGGCCAGCCTAAATGTTTCTAACCGGCGAAGATGTTCCATTAGGGGGGTCCACGTTTTTGCAAGCTTAGAGAAGGGAGGGAATGACCGTGGCCGAGAAGACCTGACGCTTAGTGCGGAGCGACAGACCAGGTAGCTTCCACACAGCGTTACGCAACCGTTGAAAAGATATTGCCGCTCGACTGATTCAGAGTGAGACCTCTGCTGTTAAACTGGAGCCGGTCATAAGCACACTGCCCAGGTATGGGAAACTCTCCACTCTCTCCACAACTGCCCCATCACTGATTGGGAGTTGTGGGGGTGGAGTGTCCGATGGTACAAAATACCCAGGCAGGTGCTTAGTTTTGGTGGGGCTGATGGTAAGGCCCCATCTCTTAGTGGCACGCTCCAGTCTCAGCAGCAGCGTCTCCAACTCGTCCTCTGAATGAGCAGCTATTACCAAATCATCAGCATACATAACGTGGTTGAGCAATAGGGAGCCATCCCTTGACCGCACCCGGGCATCGATCAGCCTCCCATTATATCTGTACCATATGGAGATTCCCCCGGTACAGCTATTGAAGGCTTCACGAACTACGTGGTCAAAATAGATGTTAAATAATGTGGGAGCCAGAGGACATCCCTGTCACACCCCAAGGTGTACAGGGAAAGGCTCGGACTCCCGGCCACGTAGTTACACACACACACAGATACCTCTATACACACACACAGCTATACACACACAGATACCATACACACACAAAGCTATACACACATAGACTGACACACACACACTTCCACACACACACACTTCCACACATATACCTATACACATATACAGACACGCATGTGTGTCAATATCTCCCCGTGTGTCTCCCCCGTGTGTCTCCCCATGTGTCTCTCCGTATGTCTCTCCGTGTGTCTCTCCGTGTGTCTCTCCGTGTCTCTCCGTGTCTCTCCGTGTCTCTCTGTGTGTCTCCCCGTGTGTGTCTCTCCTGTGTGTCTCTCCGTGTGTCTCCCCTGTGTGTCTCTCCTGTGTGTCTCTCCCGTGTGTCTCTCCGTGTGTCTCCCCGTGTGTCTCTCCGTGTGTCTCTACGTGTGTCTCTACGTGTGTCTCCCCCGTGTGTCTCCCCGTGTGTCTCCCCGTGTGTGTCTCCCCCGTGTCACCATGTGCACAGGTGCTGTCCCGCGATCAGATTGCGTGTCTGTGCAGCGTGATGGTGACGTCAGGCGAGGAGTACGCTAGCACCACGCGCAGCGCTAGCCCCCTCATGTACGCCTACTACGGCACTGAATACCTGGGTAAGTCACCCACTCACTGTACCACTCACTCAGTCTAACACTCACTCACTGTGACACTCACTCAGCCACTCACTGTTACACTCACTCAGTCTAACACTCACTCAGTCTAACACTCACTCACTGTAACACTCACTCAGTCACTGACTGTTACACTCACTCAGTCTAACACTCACTCAGTCACTCACTGTGACACTCACTCAGTCTAACACTCACTCACTGTAACACTCACTCAGGCTAACACTCAATTACTCAGTCTAACACTCACTCACTGTAACGCTCACTCACTGTAACACTCACTCAGTCGAACACTCACTGTAACACTCACTTAGTCACTCACTGTTACACTCACTCAGTCTAACCCTCACTCAGTCTAACACTCACTCACTCAGTCTAACACTCACTCACTGTAACACTCACTCACTGTAACACTCACTCACTCAGTCTAAGACTCACTCACTGTAACACTCGTTCAGTCACTCACTCTACCACTCACTCAGTCTTAAACTCACTCAGTCTAACACTCACTCACCCACTCACTCACTCTACCACTCACTCACTCTACCACTCACTCACTCATCCACCCACTCACTCACCCACTCACTCAGTCACTCACTCACTGTAAGACTCACTCAGTCTACCACTCACTCACTCCACCACTCACTCACTCACCCACTCACTCAATCACTCACTCACTCACCACTCACTCTACCACCCACTCACTCACTCTACCACTCACCCACTCACTCGCCCACTCACTCACTCACACACTCACTCACTCTACCACTCACTCACTCTACCACTCACTCACTCTACCACTCACTCACTCACCTACTCACTCGTTCACTCACTCGCTCGCTCCCTCACTCACCCACCCACTCACTCACTCTACCACTCACTCACTCACTCACCACTCACTCACTCACTCACCACTCACTGACCACTCACTCACCACCCACTCACTCACACACTCACTCACTCAACCACTCACCTTCACACACACACACTCCTCACACACACACACACTCCTCACACACACACACTCCACACACACACACTGCACACACACACACACTCCACACACACACACTCCTCACACACTCCTCACACACACACACACACACTCCTCACACACTTCACCCACACACTCACACACTCCTCACACACACACACACTCCTCACACACACACACACACTCCTCACACACACACACACTCCTCACACACACGCACACTCCTCACACACACATACACACTCCTCACACACACACACTCACACACTCCTCACACACACACTCCTCACATACACACACACTCCTCACACACACACACACACTCCTCACACACACGCACACTCCTCACACACACATACACACTCCTCACACACACACACACTCCTCACACACACACTCACAGACTTATCCTCTCACTCTGCTACACGTGGTCTTTTAGGGCAAGTGCTGTTCGTAGCGAGTAGCAGCAGCGCCTATGAAGTCCATCACTGTGGCCCACGAGGGGGTAGGTGGCCAGCCCCACGCCCGGCCGCCTTTGTCTCCCTCATCGCGATGTTCACTACACACCGCAGCTACACCAGCTGCTGGTGGAGGCCCAGGATCGGTTTTAATAATCGTCACCGGTGGTCGTGGCCGTGAGCGGGAATCGAACTCGGGCGGCCGGGTTCGTAGCGCGGCGCAGCGCTGACCACTACACCCACCGCTCCCAACCCCCCCCAACTCGCTAACAGCACTTGCCCCGACAGTCCGTTACAGGCTACACGGGGGACCTTTGTCTGTGTCCAGGGGCGGCGCACGGCCTCTGCGCCGTGCTGCTGGTGCTGCTGTCCCACGTGGACGTGCTGGACGAGCGGCAGGCGGCCCTCGTGTGGGGCGCCGTTGACTTCCTGCTGCAGCTGCAGGGCCCAGAGGGGGCCGCTCCGGGGGCTGACAACTGGGCCCCTGCCATGGGGGAGGGGCGACCGCGGGTGGACGCGGAGGAATTGGTGCACTGGTGCCATGGGGCGCCTGGTAAGCACCTCGCTCACTCGCTCACTCGCTCACTCGCTCAGTCACTCGCTCACCCACTCACTCACTTGCTCAGTCACTCACTCAGTCACTCACTCGCTCACGCACTCACTCACTCGCTCACTCGCTCACTCACTCACTCAGTCACTCACTCGTTCACTCCCTCAGTCACTCCCTCACTCGCTCACTCGCTCAGTCACTCACTCAGTCACTCACTCGCTCGCTCGCTCACTCACTCGCTCACGCACTTACTCACTCGCTCACTCGCTCACTCGCTCACCCACTCACTCACTTGCTCAGTCACTCACTCAGTCACTCACTCGCTCACGCACTCACTCGCTCACTCGCTCACTCACTCACTCAGTCACTCACTCGTTCACTCCCTCAGTCACTCACTCGCTCACTCGCTCAGTCACTCACTCAGTCACTCACTCGCTCGCTCGCTCACTCACTCACTCACTCGCTCACGCACTTACTCACTCGCTCACTCACTCGCTCGCTCAGTCGCTCACTCACTCGCTCACTCGCTCAGTCACTCACTCAGTCACTCACTCGCTCAGTCACTCACTCAGTCACTCACTCACTCGCTCGCTCGCTCGCTCACTCACTCACTCACCCACTCATTCACGCACTCACTCACTCGCTCACCCACTCACTCACTCACTCGCTCGCTCGCTCGCTCACTCACCCACTCGCTCACGCACTCACTCACTCGCTTACTCACCCACTCACTCCCTCCCCTCCTCCCCTCCCCCCCTCCCTCTGACAACGCCTGCTGCTCCTGCTCCTGCTGCTGTGTATTTGGAGTTTCTGTGTCTCTCTCTCCCCGTGGTCGCGTGGATTTCTCTCCGGGTCCTCCACATTCAGAATCAGCGTCGCCGCACGTCCACGTGACGACGGCGGCGGCGACGATGATGACGATGATGACGACGATGATGACGACGATGATGACGATGACGACGATGATGACGATGACGATGATGACGACGATGATGACGACGACGACGATGATGACGATGACGATGATGACGATGATGATGACGACGATGATGACGACGACGATGATGACGACGATGATGACGACGACGACTATGAGCCCACGTGGCCGAGCTGCCGCCCCGACAAGAGTAATTGTTTTCACGGGCGCAGATTCTGACCGCGTTTTTTTTTCCATCTGCGACCGATTTCTGGCGACCGCTGCCCTGCCCTGCCCCCCCCTGCCCCCCCCTGCCCCCCCCGCCCCCCCCCTGCCCCCCCCCCCTGCCCCCCCCCCGCAGGAGTGGCCCACCTGTTTGCTCGCGCGTTTGTGTCTTCGCGCGAGCCGCGTTTCCTGCGTGCGTGTGAGCGCTCGGGCGAGCTGGTTTGGCGCAAGGGGCTGCTGAAGAAGGGGCCGGGCGTGTGTCACGGCGTGGCCGGGAACGCCTACCTCTTCCTGCTGCTACACCGCCTCACCGGGGAGCAGCACCACCTCTACCGTGCACAGAGGTCGCCACAACTCACGCACAGCAGCAGCCACACACACACAGCCCCTCGTCACACACACACATACACCCTCACTCACTCACACACACACATACACACACACACACATACACCCTCGTCACACACACATACACTCTCGTCACACACACACATACACACACACACACATACACCCTCGTCACACACACACACACCCTCCACACACACACACACACATACACTCTCGTCACTCACACACACACACATACACCCTCGTCACTCACACACACACATACACCCTCGTCACACACACACCCTCGTCACACACACACATACACTCTCGTCACACACACACATACACCCTCGTCACACACACACACATACACCCTCGTCACACACACACACACATAGCCCCTCGTCACACACACACACCCTCCACACACACATACACTCTCGTCACACACACACACATACACCCTCGTCACACATACACACACACACCCTCGTCACACACACACACACACACCCTCGTCACACACACACACACCCTCGTCACACACACACACACACATAGCCCCTCGTCACACACACACACCCTCCACACACACATACACTCTCGTCACACACACACACATACACCCTCGTCACACACACACACCTTCGTCACACATACACACACACACCCTCGTCACACACACACACACCCTCGTCACACACACACACATACACCCTCGTCACACACACACACACACACCTTCGTCACACATACACACACACACCCTCGTCACACACACACACACACACCCTCGTCACACACACACACCCTCGTCACACCTTGACTCCTTCCCCCCGTGTCCCCGTGTCCCTGTGTCTCCCCGTGTCTCCCCGTGTCTCCATGTCCCCGTGTCTCCGTGTCTCCCCGTGTCCCCGTCTCCCCGTGTCTCCCCGTGTCTCCTCGTGTCTCCCCGTGTCTCCCCGTGTCTCCGTGTCTCCCCGTGTCTCCTCGTGTCTCCGTGTCTCCCCGTCTCCCTGTGTCTCCCTGTGTCTCCTCGTGTCTCCTCGTGTCTCCCCGTGTCTCCCCCTGTCCCCGTGTCTCCCCGTGTCTCCTCGTGTCTCCGTGACTCCGTGTCTCCCCGACTCGGTGTCTCCCCGTGTCTCCCCGTGTCTCCCCGTGTCCCAGGTTTGCGGAGTTCCTGCGGACCCCGGAGTTTGCGTCTGGGGCTCGCACTCCGGACGCGCCGCACAGCCTCTACGAGGGCCTCGCTGGCACGGCCTGCTTCCTGCTCGACCTCCTCAACCCCGCCAGCGCCCACTTCCCCCTGTTCGACGCCTTTCTCTGAGCGCGGCACAACCACAGGGCACAACCACGCGGGGCACAACCACACGGCACAACCACGCAGCACAACCACACGGCACAACCACGCGGAACAACCACACGGCACAACCACGCAGGGCACAATCACGGGGCACAACCACGCGGTTAGGTAGCTGCCGGTGCCTATCACCACCATCACCACCTCCACTACCTCCACCACCGCCACCACCACCACCACCACCACCTCCACCACCACCACCACCACGCCCATCGCGACGGCCGCCGTGCCTCCTGTGTTGTGACGCTCAAGCGCCACCACACCACTCGCTCACCCCTACAGCTTCACAGCTGCTGCTGCTGCTTGTTGTTGTTATTGTCGTCGTGTTTACTTTGTTACCCCCATCCCCCCGCCCGTCCGCACCTCCGATTAGCCGCGGTTGGCTATGTTCACACACAGAGACCCACAGACACCCAGACCCATAGAGACACCCATAGAGACACCCACAGACACCCAGACCCATAGAGACACCCATAGAGACACCCACAGACACCCACAGACACCCACATAGACCCACAGACACCCACAGACACCCAGACCCATAGAGACACCCACAGACACCCACAGACACCCAGACCCATAGAGACACCCATAGAGACACCCACAGAGACCCACAGACACCCAGACCCATAGAGACACCCATAGAGACACCCACAGAGACCCACAGACACCCAGACCCATAGAGACACCCATAGAGACACCCATAGAGACACCCACAGAGACACCCACAGAGACCCACAGACACCCAGACCCATAGAGACACCCACAGAGACCCACAGAGACCCACAGACACCCAGACCCATAGAGACACCCATAGAGACACCCACAGAGACCCACAGACACCCAGACCCATAGAGACACCCATAGAGACACCCACAGAGACCCACAGACACCCAGACCCATAGAGACACCCATAGAGACCCATAGAAACAGCCATAGCGACCCAAAAGACACCCACAGAGACCCACAGACACCCAGACCCATAGAGACACCCACAGAGACCCACAGAGACCCACAGACACCCAGACCCATAGAGACACCCACAAACACCCAGACCCATAGAGACACCCATAGAGACACCCACAGATACCCACAGACACTCAGACCCATAGAGACACCCACAGACACCCAGACCCACAGAGACACCCACAGACACCCAGACCCATAGATACACCCACAGACACCCAGACCCATAGAGACACCCATAGACACCCAGACCCATAGAGACACCCACAGATACCCAGACCCACAGAGACACCCACAGACACCCAGACCCACAGAGACACCCACAGACACCCAGACCCATAGAGACACCCACAGACACCCAGACCCATAGAGACACCCACAGACACCCAGACCCATAGAGACACCCACAGACACCCAGACCCATAGAGATACCCACAGACACCCAGACCCACAGAGCTCCACAGAGACCCACAGACACCCAGACCCATAGAGACATCCACAGATTAGCACAGTTGGCTATGTACTGTGCGGAAGAAGTTCAGCGTACACACACAGACACCACCACCACCACGTGTTTGTAACCCTCATTGGCTGCCCTGAACCGCGGCCCGCGCGGACTAGTTAGTTAGTTATTTATGTATCCGTTCAACGTTCAGTTGGCGACGTTTTCCCGTTGACGATGCACGCCGTGCGTCGTTACCGCCGTCGTTAGTGCACCGCTCGCCCGCCCGCCCGCTCCGATGCCGTCGCCGCAGTGATCCCCGGTGTATCAGCGCCCCGTGGTTTGGAGGAGCGGTCCTCCGCACACGGGCTGGGGATCACCCCGCTGCTACGGCTATCTTCGGCGTGCGCGATCGACGGGCAGTACAAGAGCAATGGGCTCGCATGATGCGCACGCATCATGGACGTCGATTCATTGATCCCCCGCACACCTCCCGCACAAGTGTTGTCATCGCACCTACGCCTCTGTTTAAGGTATTAAATTGGTGGAATTCTCCACAAATCTGATGATGCCCGTTGTAATTACTGGCGAAATGTCACAGTGCTCAGATTGTAAATGTTGTAGTGGGTTTACTCTCCAACACACAAGCGGTTACTGCTGTACTAGTAACGCACTGATTGTGGTGTACTCAGTACTCAGATTGTAAATGTTGTAGTGGGTTTACTCTCCAACACACAAGCGGTTAGTGCTGTACTAGTAACGCACTGACTGTGATTGTACTCAGTACTCAGATTGTAAATGTTGTAGTGGGTTTACTCTCCAACACACAAGCGGTTAGTGCTGTCCTAGTAACGCACTGATTGTGATTGTACTCAGTACTCAGATTGTAAATATTGTAGTGGGTTTACTCTCTCCAACACACAAGCGGTTAGTGCTGTACTAGTAACGCACTGATTGTGATTGTACTCAGTACTCAGATTGTCAATGTTGTAGTGGGTTTACTCTCCAACACACAAGCGGTTAGTGCTGTACTAGTAACGCACTGATTGTGATTGTACTCAGTACTCAGATTGTAAATGTTGTAGTGGGTTTACTCTCCAACACACAAGCGGCTAGTGCTGTACTAGTAACGAAGCCCATTACTAACTGGCTGTGTCGGGGTGGTGGCGGTGTTGTAACGACACAATATTTATTATTTTACTCGATCGAACTTGCAACAGAAACCTGGATGCTGGACAACATCGTTGTTTAGACCATGGAGGCTTCCGCGACCACCTGCATCATGCACCCACATGGTCGTCGGTAATCGCGGTGCGGGGGTCCAACCCGGAGTGGAGCCCCGCGTCTCGGGGGGGGGGGGGGGCCCGTGGTCTCGGCGGGGAACACTGCGCCAAAAAAGCCACGCACGCACACGCACACACGCGGTGGCTATGCCGCAGAGAGGGTTGGTGGGTCACCGCACAGATGGGCTGTGAAACTGCCTTCCCGTGGTGGGGGGTGGGGCTCGTAGCCCTGGGCTCGCCAGGTAGAAGGCGGCGGTACAGCCAAGTGCGTAAACTCATCCCCATCTGTTCCATCTCGCTCCCTTCCACCTGTGGGTGGGTGCAGAGGAGGAGTCGTAACCCCCTGTCTCTACCAGGAGGCAGCAGCGCAGTAAAAGTGTGGGATTGAGCGTTTCCCCCTCGCGCAAAGCGTGGGGCGATTCTCCGGGCTGCTCGGGTCACCTCCCAAACGTGAATAGCGTCATCTCGGCGTCAGTCGTGAGGGGCGCCACGGTGGCTCGGAGATGTTAACGACCTTGCCGGGTACGCAGGAGGTCGTGGGTTCAACCCCGATCCTGACGCCTGCCGTATATTTGGAGTGTGCGAGTGAGCGAGTAAGTGGATTGTGTGAGGAGCTCACAAATCCTCGAACGATCTGGGCAAAGTCCTATCGGTGAGCTCCTCCGGCAGGCAAGGCTGCATTGGCTGGGCCATGTAGCCCGCATGCCCAGCCATCGCATGCCCAAACAGCTTTTGTTCGGCCGGATCGAGGAGGCTAAATGGGCGCGGCACGGGCTAGAGAAGAGATGGAGTAATGTGGTACAGGAGGACGTGGAGCTGAGTGGACTTGCCGATGACTGGTACCAGCGGTGTCAAGATTGGCCTCTGTGGAGGAGGCTCGTAAAGGACGCTACTAGGCAGTTGGAGGCAGTTGCCCTCCAACAACGGAGGGCAGAGGAGCGACGCTCACAACAACGAGCGGTGGCTAAAGCACAGCAGGTTGGCACAGTAGGGGGGCATAGGTGGTGCACCAGCCAGTCGTCTCAGTCGACCCGTGGCACCTGGGTCTGCCCCGTGACCTCCTGCCAGCGGGTGTTCGACACGTGGCCTTAAGGTGCACCGAGCCTGGCACAGGCGTCGTGGTGACGTCACAACCACTTAGTGAAGAATAGCGGTTGTTGTGTGTGTGGTGTGGTATGGGGAATGATTGGCCAGCTGAGAGCGTAGAATAAGCGACGGAGCGCGCACACCGGAGGTGAGAAGAACTTTTATTTTCACTTCACTCTCATTGCATTGCCAATGTTTTTACACAATAGCAGCGGCGTCATCGGGGGAGGGAGGCAGTTGGCAGCTGACGGGCAGGCCGGGCCTGGATCAGCTTCTACCATCGCTAAACCACCACCACCATCGCTAAACCACCACCACCATCGCTAAACCACTACCACCATCGCTATGCTACTACCACCCTCAACGACCGACCAAGAAACGGACCGACGGACGTACGAAGAGCCTCAAAGCAGACTAGGGGGCCAGGGTCACGTGTGTGGCCGTGGGGGTCACGTGGGGGTCCGGGGGGGTCACGTGGGGGGCCCGGAGGTTCACGTGAGCGGCCTGCAATGCAAGTCGACGACCATGTGGTCGACGCGGGGCGCGTACCTCTTGACGCGCGCCACCCGCACCGTGCGCACGCACCAGGCCCCCACCCCCCTGCCCCCCCGCGCGTGCGCGGCGAGCAGCAGGGCCCGCACCTCACGGACGGCGTCGCGGGCGAAGGCTCGCCACGCGGGGCGGGCGCTGCCGCACGCGCACGCGACCCGCCCCTCCTCGGCCCCGGTGCCGCACTCGCACGCCGGCACCCCCGAGACGGCCGGGGAGGTTGCGGCGACGGGAAGTGACGTCACTTCTGTGTCGCTGTGGTCGGCAGGAAGTGACATCACTTCAGTGTCGCTGTGGTCGGCAGGAAGTGACGTCACTTCAGTGTCGCTGTGGCCGGCAGGAAGTGACGTAACTTCTGTGCCGCTGTGGTCGGCAGGAAGTGACGTCACTTCAGTGTCGCTGTGGTCGGCAGGAAGTGACGTAACTTCTGTGCCGCTGTGGTCGGCAGGAAGTGACGTCACTTCAGTGCCGCTGTGGTCGGCAGGAAGTGACGTCACTTCAGTGCCGCTGTGGTCGGCAGGAAGTGACGTCACTTCTGTGCCGCTGTGGTCGGCAGGAAGTGACGTCACTTCTGTGCCGCTGTGGTCGGCAAGAAGTGACGTCACTTCAGTGTCGCTGTGGTCGGCAGGAAATGACGTCACTTCTGTGCCGCTGTGGTCGGCAGGAAGTGACATCACTTCTGTGCCGCTGTGGTCGGCAGGAAGTGACGTCACTTCAGTGCCGCTGTGGTCGGCAGGAAGTGACATCACTTCTGTGCCGCTGTGGTCGGCAGGAAGTGACATCACTTCTGTGCCGCTGTGGTCGGCAGGAAGTGAGGTCACGTCAGTGGCGCTGCGTGGCAGTGCCAACGGGGGCTTTGTGGGCACTGAGGCGACGTTGTGATGGATGTGCAGGATCCCACCGCGGTCCGGCCGCAAGAGCGCACAAGCGAGACCCCAGCCGGGCCGGGACGACGGCAGCAGCCCCAGGAGCACGCGGTCCGCAAAGCCTCGCTCGCGAAGCTACACACGCACACACACATACACACACACGTAGTGACTGACTCAACGACACTAAGAGGAGGAGGCACTCTATCTATTAACAGCCTTACCAGTTCACACTTTAGTAACTACAGCTCCCAGTCAGGACAGCTGGCAGACTGCCTGACGACGCCGCCGAGATGGTGAAGACGGAGACGGAGACTCCAGCGGCGGCGGCGGCGACGACAGGGACCCCACTCCAAACGACAGCCCCGAGGTCCCCTCCCTGGGGCCCTCTCACACCGTCAGCGTGGCCTGGCTCCGCCGCGGCCACGCCCCCCTTCTGGAACTTACAAGCCGGTTCTCGGTGTGCCCCTTTCCGTGACCTTTCCCCTACATCCCTCTCTCTGGTCTATCACGTGGCCTGCTGTCAGGGCTCTTGTAGCTGCAAATCCCCTTCCCTGCCAGCACCCGCGCTATGCTGCTAAGTGACCGATTCTATGTCACTACACATACACAAACACACACACTAAAACACACATGCACGTAAACACACACACGTAAACACACACGTAAACACACAACAACAACAACCGCCATTCGCCACTAAGTGGCGGTGACTTCACCATGGCGTTTGTGCCAGGCCAAGTGCACGTTAAGGCCACGTGAAGTGTCGAAAGCCTGCTGGCAGGAGGTCACGGAGCAGACCTAGCAGGTGCCATGGGTGAACTGACTGAGATGAGTGGCCGATGCACCACCTGTGCCCCCTACTGTGCCAAATTGCTGTGTTTTAGTCGCCTGGCGCTCCGCTCGTTGTTGTGAGCGTCGCTTCTCCGCCCTCCGTTGTTGTTGCAGGGCAACTGCCTCCAACTGCCCAGCAGCGTCCTTCACGAGCCTCCTCCACAGAGGCCGATCTTGACACCGTTGCTACCGGTCATCGGCAAGTCCACTCAGCTCCACGTCCTCCTGTACCACATCACTCCATCTCTTCTCTAGCCCGTGCCGCGTCCGTTTCGCCCCCTCTATCCGGCCAAACAAAAGCTGTTTAGGCATGCGGTGGCTGGGCATGCGGGCTAGATGACCCTGCCAACGCAGCCTTGCCTGCCGGAGGAGCTCATCGATGGGACTTTGTCCAGATCTTTCAATGAATTGTGAGCTCCTCACGCAATCCAGCCTGGTTAATCCCAGGATGGATCGTAGGCAGGCTAGCCTAAATGTTTTTAACTGGCGAAGATGTTCCATTAGGAGGGTCCACGTTTTGCAAGCGTAGAGAAGAGAGGGCATGACTGTGGCCGAGAAGACCCGAAGCGTCATGCGGAGCAACAGACCAGGTACTCTGCACACAGCAGCGTTACGCAGCCGAAGAAAAGATAATGCCGCTCGACTGATTCGGAGTGAGACCTTTGCTGTCAAACCAGAGCCGGTCATGAGCACACTGCTCAGGTATGGGAAACTCTCCACTCCCTCCACAACTGCCCCATCACCGATTGGGAGTTGTGGGGGTGGAGTGTCCGATGGTACAAAATACCCAGGCAGGTGCTTAGTTTTGGTGGGGCTGATGGTAAGGCCCCATCTTAGTGGCACGCTCCAGTCTCAGCAGCAGCATCTCCAACTCGTCCTCTGAATGAGCAGCTATTACCAGGTCATCGGCATACATAACGTGGTTGACCAATAGGGAGCCATCCCTTGACTGCGCCCGGGCATCGATCAGCCTCCCATTGTATCTGTACAGATGGAAATTCCTCCGGTACAGCCATCGAAGGCTTTACGAACTACGTGGTCAAAATGGATGTGTGTGCGTGTGTGTCCGTGTGTGTGCGTGTGTGCGTGTGTGCGTGTGTGTGCGCGTGTGTCCGCGTGTACGTGTGTGTGTCCGTTTGTGTGTGTGTGTCCGTGTGTGCGTGTGTGTGCGTGTGTGTGCGTGTGTCCGTGCGTGTGTCCGTGTGTGTGCGCGTGTGTCCCTGTGTACGTGTGTGTGCGTGTGTCCGTATGTGCGTGTGTGTCCGTGTGTGCGCATGTGTCCGTGTGTGTCCATGTGTGTGCGTGTGTGTGTGTCCCTGTGTACGTGTGTGTGCGCGTGTGTGTCCGTGTGTGCGTGTGTGCGCGTGTGTGTCCGTGTGTACGTGTGTGCGCGTGTGTGTCCGTGTGTGCGTGTGTGCGTGTGTGCGTGTGTCTGCGTGTGTACCGTCTGGTTGTCCGCTGGGTGCACCGTGCAGCGCCCGGCCACGCCATTGCGGTCGAGGTTGGCGTGGAGCGCTGCCACCGCGTGGGGGCTCCACTCGCACGCCACGGCCATGGCCGCCCCGGCGTGCACCAGCAGCGGCAGCGTCAGGTAGCCGATGCCTGCGCCACCGCCGTCACCGCCGTCACCGCCGTCACCACGTGTGGGTACGTGTACGTGCGTGTACGTGCGCACGCGTGTTTGTGTGCGTGTGTTTGTACGTGTGCGTGTACGTGCGCACGTGTGTGGGTGTGCGTATGTTTCTACGTGTGCGTGTGTGCATACGTTTGCGTGTGTGCGTGTGTGTACCTGCGTACAGGTCTACGATCGTCTCTCCGCGGCAGTCGAGCGAGGCCAGGTAGAGCTTCTCAGAGACGTTCCCCTTGGAGAACATGCAGAGTGTCACGTCATACTCGTACCTGCCGGTACACCGCCACCAACACCATCACCACCACCACCATCACCACCATCAACACACTTTCACTCTCTCCCCACACTCTGCCCCACCACCCACGTGATGTTGTTGTCACAGTGCTCCACGTGGCCGTGCTCCCCCAGCAGGAGCTGCGTGCGGGGGCTGCGGAAGGCGTCTGGAGCCACGCGCTGGCAGCGTGCCACCCGGCTCGCGCCCAGCACGCTCGCTACCACGGCCCACAGCTCGGGCTCTGGCAATACAACATCGACAACAACAACATTGACAACAACAACATCATCAACAACAGTATCAACATTGTTATCAACGACATTAACGTCAACATCTTCATTAACATTTACAACAACGACATCACTATTAACATCATCATCAATATGACCATCATCATCAAGATCACCATCATCTGACAATAGAAACTAGAGAGAACAATAGAAACGAGTGAGAACAATAGAAACGAGAGAGAACAATAGAAACGAGAGAGAACAATAGACACGAGAGAGAACAATAGAAACGAGAGGGAACAATAGAAATGAGAGAGAATAGAAACTAGAGAGAACAATAGAAACAAGTGAGAACAATACAAACGAGAGAGAACAATAGAAACGAGAGAGAACAATAGACACGAGAGAGAACAATAGACACTAGAGAGAACAATAGACACGAGAGAGAACAATAGACATGAGAGAGAATAGAAATGAGAGGGAACAATAGAAACGAGTAAGAACAATAGAAACGAGAACAATAGAAATGAGAGGGAACAATAGAAACGAGAGAACAATAGAAACGAGAGAGAACAACATAAACGAGGGAGAACAATAGACATGAGAGAGAATAGAAACGAGAGAGAATAATAGAAACGAGTTAGAACAATAGAAACGAGAGGGAACAATAGAAACGAGAGAGAACAATACACACGAGAGAGAACAATTGAAACGAGAGAGAACAATTGAAACGAGAGAGAACAATAGACACGAGAGAGAACAATAGAAACGAGAGAGAACAATAGAAATGAGAGAGAATAAAAACGAGAGAGAACAATAGAAACGAGAGAGAACAATAGAAACGAGTGAGAACAATACAAACGAGAGAGAACAATAGAAACGAGAGAGAACAATAGACATGAGAGAGAACAATAGACACGAGAGAGAACAATAGAGACGAGAGAGAATAGAAATGAGAGGGAACAATAGAAACGAGTAGGAACAATAGAAACGAGAACAATAGAAATGAGAGGGAACAATAGAAACGAGAGAACAATAGAAACGAGAGAGAACAACATAAACGAGGGAGAACAATAGACATGAGAGAGAATAGAAACGAGAGAGAATAATAGAAACGAGTTAGAACAATAGAAACGAGTGAGAACAATAGAAATGAGTGAGAACAATAGACACGAGAGAGAACAATAGAAACGAGAGAGAACAATAGAAATGAGAGAATAGAAACGAGAGAGAACAATAGAAACGAGAGAGAACAATAGACATGAGAGAGAACAATAGACACGAGAGAGAACAATAGACACGAGAGAGAATAATAGAAACGAGTAAGAACAATGGAAACGAGAGAGAACAATAGAAATGAGAGGGAACAATATAAACGAGAGAACAATAGAAACGAGAGAGAACAACATAAACGAGGGAGAACAATAGACATGAGTGAGAATAGAAACGAGAGAGAATAATAGAAATGAGTTAGAACAATAGAAACGAGTGAAAACAATAGAAACGAGTGAGAACAATAGACACGAGAGAGAACAATAGAAACGAGAGAGAACAATACACATGCGAGAGAATAGACACGAGAGAGAACAAATTGTTATCAACGACATTAACGTCAACATCTTCATTAACATTTACAACAACGACATCACTATTAACATCATCATCAATATGACCATCATCATCATCATCAAGATCACCATCATCTGACAATAGAAACTAGAGAGAACAATAGAAACGAGTGAGAACAACAGAAACGAATGAGAACAATAGAAACGAGAGAGAACAATAGACACGTGAGAGAACAATAGAAACGAGAGAACAATAGAAATGAAAGAGAAGAGAAACGAGAGAGAACAATAGAAACGAGAGAAAACAATAGACACGAGATAGAACAATACAAACGAGAGAGAACAATAGACATGACAGAGAACAATACAAACGAGAGAGAACAATAGAAACGAGAGAAAACAATACAAACGAGAGAGAACAATAGACACGAGAGAGAACAATTGAAACGAGAGAGAACAATAGACACGAGAGAGAACAATACAAACGAGAGAGAACAATACAAACGAGAGAGAACAATACAAACGAGAGAGAACAATAGAAACGAGTGAGAACAATACAAACGAGAGAGAACAATAGAAACGAGAGAGAACAATAGACACGAGAGAGAACAATAGACACGAGAGAGAACAATAGAAACGAGAGGGAACAATAGAAACGAGAGGGAACAATAGAAACGAGTGAGAACAATAGTAACGAGAGAGAACAATAGAAACCAGAGAGAACAACATAAAGGAGGGAGAACAATAGACATGAGAGAGAACAATAGAAACGAGAGAGAACAATAGAAACGAGAGAGAATAGAAACAAGAGAGAACAATAAAAACGAGGGAGAACAATAGAAACCAGAGAGAACAACAGAAACGAGGGAGAACAATAGACATGAGAGAGAACAATAGAAACGAGAGAGAACAATAGACACGAGAGAGAACAATAGACACGAGAGAGAATAATAGAAACGAGTGAGAACAATAGAAACGAGTGAGAACAATAGACACGAGAGAGAACAATAGAAACGAGAGAGAACAATAGAAATGAGAGAATAGAAACGAGAGAGAACAATAGAAACGAGAGAGAACAATAGAAACGAGTGAGAACAATACAAACGAGAGAGAACAATAGAAACGATAGAGAATAGACATGAGAGAGAACAATTGACACGAGAGAGAACAATAGACACGAGAGAGAACAATAGACACGAGAGAGAATAATAGAAACGAGTAAGAACAATGGAAACGAGAGAGAACAATAGAAATGAGAGGGAACAATATAAACGAGAGAACAATAGAAACGAGAGAGAACAACATAAACGAGGGAGAACAATAGACATGAGTGAGAATAGAAACGAGAGAGAATAATAGAAACGAGTTAGAACAATAGAAACGAGTGAAAACAATAGAAACGAGTGAGAACAATAGACACGAGAGAGAACAATAGAAACGAGAGAGAACAATACACATGAGAGAGAATAGACACGAGAGAGAACAAATTGTTATCAACGACATTAACGTCAACATCTTCATTAACATTTACAACAACGACATCACTATTAACATCATCATCAATATGACCATCATCATCATCAAGATCACCATCATCTGAACAACAGAAACGAGTGAGAACAATAGAAACGAGAGAGAACAATAGACACGTGAGAGAACAATAGAAACGAGAGAACAATAGAAATGAAAGAGAAGAGAAACGAGAGAGAACAATAGAAACGAGAGAAAACAATAGACACGAGATAGAACAATACAAACGAGAGAGAACAATAGACATGACAGAGAACAATACAAACGAGAGAGAACAATAGAAACGAGAGAAAACAATACAAACGAGAGAGAACAATAGACACGAGAGAGAACAATTGAAACGAGATAGAACAATACAAACGAGAGAGAACAATAGACATGACAGAGAACAATACAAACGAGAGAGAACAATAGAAACGAGAGAAAACAATACAAACGAGAGAGAACAATAGACATGAGAGAGAACAATTGAAACGAGAGAGAACAATAGACACGAGAGAGAACAATACAAACGAGAGAGAACAATACAAACGAGAGAAAACAATACAAACGAGAGAGAACAATAGAAACGAGTGAGAACAATACAAACGAGAGAGAACAATAGAAACGAGAGAGAACAATAGACACGAGAGAGAACAATAGACACGAGAGAGAACAATAGAAACGAGAGGGAACAATAGAAACGAGAGGGAACAATAGAAACGAGTGAGAACAATAGTAACGAGAGAGAACAATAGAAACCAGAGAGAACAACATAAAGGAGGGAGAACAACAGACATGAGAGAGAACAATAGAAACGAGAGAGAACAATAGAAACGAGAGAGAATAGAAACAAGAGAGAACAATAAAAACGAGGGAGAACAATAGAAACCAGAGAGAACAACAGAAACGAGGGAGAACAATAGACATGAGAGAGAACAATAGAAACGAGAGAGAACAATATAAACGAGTGAGAACAATAGAAATGCGTGAGAACAATAGAAACGAGTGAGAACAATAGAAACGCGTGAGAACAATAGAAACGAGAGAAAACAATAGAAATGAGAGAGAACAATAGAAACAAGAGAGAATAGAAATGAGAGAGAACAATAGACACGAGAGAGAACAATAGAAACAAGAGAGAATAGAAATGAGAGAGAACAATAGACACGAGAGAGAACAATACAAACGAGAGAGAACAATACAAACGAGAGAGAACAATAGAAACGAGAGAGAACAATAGAAACGAGAGAGAACAATAGAAACGAGAGAGAACAGAAACAAGAGAGAACAATAAAAATGAGGGAGAACAATAGAAACCAGAGAGAACAACAGAAACGAGTGAGAACAATAGACACGAGAGAGAACAATAGAAATGAGAGAGAACAATAGACACGAGAGAGAACAATAGAAACGAGAGAAAACAATACAAACGAGAGAGAACAATAGACACGAGAGAGAACAATTGAAACGAGAGAGAACAATAGAAACGAGAGAGAACAATAGAAACGAGAGAGAACAATAGAAACGAGAGAGAACAATAGAAACGAGAGAGAACAATAGACACGAGAGAGAACAATACAAACGAGAGAGAACAATAGACATGACAGAGAACAATACAAACGAGAGAGAACAATAGAAACGAGAGAAAACAATACAAACGAGAGAGAACAATAGACACGAGAGAGAACAATTGAAACGAGAGAGAACAATAGACACGAGAGAGAACAATACAAACGAGAGAGAACAATACAAACGAGAGAGAACAATACAAACGAGAGAGAACAATACAAACGAGAGAGAACAATAGAAACGAGTGAGAACAATACAAACGAGAGAGAACAATAGAAAAGAGAGAGAACAATAGACACGAGAGAGAACAATAGACACGAGAGAGAACAATAGAAACGAGAGGGAACAATAGAAACGAGAGGGAACAATAGAAACGAGTGAGAACAATAGTAACGAGAGAGAACAATAGAAACCAGAGAGAACAACATAAAGGAGGGAGAACAATAGACATGAGAGAGAACAATAGAAACGAGAGAGAACAATAGAAACGAGAGAGAATAGAAATAAGAGAGAACAATAAAAACGAGGGAGAACAATAGAAACCAGAGAGAACAATACAAACGAGAGAGAACAATACAAACGAGAGAGAACAATAGAAACCAGAGAGAACAACAGAAACGAGTGAGAACAATAGACACGAGAGAGAACAATAGAAATGAGAGAGAACAATAGACACGAGAGAGAACAATAGAAACGAGAGAAAACAATACAAACGAGAGAGAACAATAGACACGAGAGAGAACAATTGAAACGAGAGAGAACAATAGAAACGAGAGAGAACAATAGAAATGAGAGAGAACAATAGAGACGAGAGAGAACAATAGAAACGAGAGAGAACAATAGACACGAGAGAGAACAATACAAACGAGAGAGAACAATAGACACGAGAGAGAACAATACAAACGAGAGAGAACAAAAGACACGAGAGAGAACAATAGAAATGAGAGAGAATAGAAACGAGAGAGAACAATAGAAACGAGAGAGAACAATAGAAACGAGAGAGAACAATAGAAACGAGAGAGAACAACAGAAATGAGGGAGAACAATAGACATGAGAGAGAACAATAGAAACGAGAGAGAACAATAGAAACGAGTGAGAACAATAGAAACGCGTGAGAATAATAGACACGAGAGAGAACAATAGAAACGAGAACAGAAACGAGAGAGAACAATAGAAATGAGAGAGAACAATAGACACGAGAGAGAACAATACAAACGAGAGAGAACAATAGACACGAGAGAGAACAATTGAAACGAGAGAGAACAATAGAAACGAGAGAGAATAGAAACGAGAGAGAACAATAGAAACGAGTGAGAACAATACAAATGAGAGAGAACAATAGAAACGAGTGAGAACAATAGAAACGAGTGAGAACAATAGACACGAGTGAGAACAATAGACACGAGTGAGAACATTAGACACGTGAGATAACAATATAAACGAGACAGAACAATAGACACGAGAGAGAACAATAGAAACGAGAGAGAACAATAGACATGAGAGAGAACAATAGAAACGAGAGAGAACAATAGAAACGAGAGAGAACAATAGAAAGGAGACAGAACAATAGACACGAGAGAGAACAATAGACACGAGAGAGAACAATAGACACGAGAGAGAATAATAGACAAGAGTGAGAACAATAGAAACGAGAGGGAACAATAGAAACGAGAGAGAACAATACACACGAGAGAGAACAATTGAAAGGAGAGAGAACAATAGAAACGAGTGAGAACAATAGACACGAGAGAGAACAATACAGAGGAGTCCACCCACCCAGCTGCCTCCAGTAGTCAGAGACAAAGGCGCCGCTGGGCAGCACCACCAGGTCTCCGTGCCGCTCGTAGCGGCTCGGCACCTCCCGAGCCCAGAGCTCCGCGTCGTCGCCCCCCCCACGGAGCTCCGCGGCGTTCCCACGGAGCTCCGAGTCGTTCCCACGGAGCTCTGCGTCGTTCCCACGGAGCTTGCGCCCGGCGAGTGAGCGCAGAGCGTGGACGAGCCGCGAGGAAGCCGGGCGGCCTCGTTGGCGCCGGGGGCCCCGGGGAGACGGAGCGGCGACGCTCACGGAGCTCAACCACCTGGGGGGGGGGGGGGGGGGGGGGGGGGGGGAGGTCGCCGGCACCACCGTATTGTTGTTGTTGTTGTGACTCGTTGGAATTGTTGTCTCGTTTGTGTTGTTGTTGTGACTCAATTGTGTTGTTGTGTTGTTATTGTGACTCGTTTGTGTTGTTGTTTGTGTTCTTGTTTGTGTTGTTTGTGTTGTTGTGTTGTTTGTGTTGTTGTGTTGTTGTTTGTGTTGTTGTGTTGTTTGTGTTGTTATTTGTGTTGTTGTTGCGTTGTTGTTGTGTTGTTGTTTGTGTTGTTGTTGCTGTTGTTGTTTGTGTTGTTGTGTTGTTTGTTTGTGTTGTTGTGTTGATTGTGTTGTTGTTGTGTTGTTGTTTGTGTTGTTGTTGTGTTGTTTGTGTTGTTGTGTTTTTGCGTTGTTGTTTGTGTTGTTGTTGCTGTGTTGTTGTTGTGTTGTTGTTGTGGTGTTGTTGTTGTGATTCATTTGTCCGAGGAGAGACGCAGGGCAGGAGGGGGCGTCCCAGTGAAGCGACGCGCGTGGCCGTTTCTCCGTACTGACCAATCGCGTGCGAGCGTCTCCCCTTGGTCCTCCAACCCGTCGCCCGGTGTTGGCCAATCGAAGTCGTCCGCCGACGACAGCCCCGCCTCCTGCAGCACCAGCCGCAGCGGCAGCCAATCGCGTCGCTCGGCCTCCTCCGCCAGCGGCAGGAGAAGCCTGCCGCTCACCTGGCGCCGAGGCCTCAGCGAGGGATGAAGGAGACCGCTACTTTCCAGACGCTCCCTGGCGGAAGAGAATCACCGAGCTTACAAAGACAAAGGTCCCCCGTGTAGCCTGTGACAGGCTGAAGGGGCAAGTGCTGAGTGAGTGGTGAGTGAGTGGCGAGTAATTGGTGATAGAGTGGTGAGTGGTGAGTGAGTGAGTGGTAGAGTGAGTGGTAAGTAATTGGTGAGTGAGTGGTGAGAATTGGTGAGTAATTGCTGAGTGAGTGGTGAGTAATTGTGAGTGAGTGGTGATTAATTGGTGAGTGAGTGGCGAGTGAGTGGTGAGTAATTGGTGAGTGGTGAGTCAGTGGTGAGTGAGTGGTGAGTAATTGGTGAGTAGTGAGTGGTGAGTGAGCGGTGAGTGTGTGGCGAGTGGTGAGTAAGTGGTGAGTGAGTGGTGAGTGAGTGCTGAGTAATTGGTGAGTAATTGGTAAGTGGTGAGTAATTGGTGAGTGGTGTGTGGTGAGTGTGTGGTGAGTAATTGGTTAGTGCGAGTGGTGAGTGAGTGGTGAGTAATTGGTGTGTGGTGAGTAATTGGTGAGTGAGTGGTGAGTGAGTGGTGGGTGTGAGTGGTGAGTGAGTGGTGAGTTGAGTGGTGAGTAATTGGTGAGTGAGTGGTGAGTAATTGGTGAGTAATTGGTAAGTGGTGAGTGAGTGGTGAGTTGAGTGGTGAGTAATTGGTGAGTGAGTGGTGAGTAATTAGTGAGTGAGTGGTGAGTGAGTAATTGGTGAGTGGTGAGTCAGTGGTGAGTGAGTGGTGAGTGAGTGGTGAGTAATTGGTGAGTAGTGAGTGGTGAGTGAGCGGTGAGTGTGTGGTGAGTGGTGAGTGAGTGGTGAGTAAGTGGTGAGTGAGTGGTGAGTGAGTAATTGGTAAGTAATTGGTAATTGGTGAGTAATTGGTGAGTGGTGAGTGAGTGGTGAGTAATTGGTAATTGGTGAGTGGTGAGTTGAGTGGTGAGTAATTGGTGAGTGAGTTTTGAGTAATTAGTGAGTGAGTGGTAAGTGGTGAGTAATTGGTGAGTGTGTGGTGAGTGAGTGGTAATTGGTGAGTAATTGGTGAATGAGTGGTAAGTAATTGGTGAGTAATTGGTGAGTGATGAGTGAGTGGTAGAGTGAGTGGTGATTGAACTGCCCATATAGGACTCACCACTGTGATCTCTACATTGGGTCAAACTTAACATCTCTTAATGTTCGACGGCTTGTGCACCAGATCTTATTTATTCACAATGTCCTTACAAAAAATACCGCAGACTACCTGCTGGATCTCCTCTGTTTCAAATAACAAATTTGACCTCAGGTCTTCGCTCATTTACCAGCTTCACATTCCCTATTGCCGTACAAAAACTGGAGGAAGGGCCTTTGCTATTGATGCCCCCAGGGTCTGGAATGCTATTGCCAATAAACTGCAACTTGAATCGCTACCAATGAGATCTTCACTTATAACTGCTCTGGAGGAGTTGTACACCCCTAGCTGCCACTGCTATTCAGTGGCCTAAAATAAAAAAAATATTTCGCTCCGGATGACGTTGCAAAGTATTAACTGTGTTTTGATTTAGTGTGCTGATCTTAAAGGTGCATTGAAAAATGTGATACTCCCGACTGATGCTCCTGTTGTTGTGGAGTAACTCATGCAGCCAGCTGTGGCTCTAGGGTTTGGTGTTACATGTTATTTATGTAGTTTATTGTTAAAAATTCGGTCACAGTTCCTATGATCACTGTTACATTGCATTTATGGCTTTATTTTGGTGATTTTTAAAAGGTTTTTGTCTTGGCCATGTTTTTGTTTATTGTAGTACGGAGTTAGACTGATGGCCTTAATCTTAGTTGTCTTGTGGTTGTTGTTATTTGACTTGCATCCCACTGGGATTTTTGCACACAGCGTTGGTGTACGGTGCTATTTCAGGAATATTTTGCTGTTTTTTCCTGGATTTTCTGTTAGCACAGTCACATAATCACTTTAAGATGTTTTCTTGTTCGTGTTTTTTGTTTGTTGCGGTTGCACCCGATTCAAGAGCCGAATGGCTCACAGGGCTATAGCTACATACATGGAACTATGAGTGGGTGGTGAGTGAGTGAGTGGTGAGTGTGTGGTGAGTGCGTGGGTGGTGAGTGGTGAGTGAGTGGTGAGTGAGTGAGTGGTAGAGTGAGTGAGTTAGTGGTGAGTGAGTGGTAGAGTGAGTGGTGAGTGAGTGGTGAGTGAGTGGTGAGTGAGTGAGTGGTAGAGTGAGTGAGTGGTGAGTATTCATAGTTCATAGTTCATTTATTAGGTATAGCCCTGTGAGCCATTCGGCTCTTGAATCGGGTGTAACCGCAACAAACAAAAACATGAACAAGAAAACATCTTAAAGTGATTATGTGACTGTGCAAACAGAAAATACAAGAAAAAAATATCAAAATATTCCTGAAATAGCACCGTACACCAACACTGTGTGCAAAAATCCCAGTGGGATGCAAGTCAAATAACAACAACCACAAAACAACTAAGATTAAAGCCATCAGTCTAACTCCGTACTACAAAAAACAAAAACATGGCCAAAACAAAAAAAACTTTTCTAAATCACCAAAATAAAAGCCATAAATCCAATGTAACAGTGATCATAGGGACTGTGACCGAATTTTTAACAATACACGACATATGAGTGAGTGGTGAGTAAGTGGTGAGTGAGTGGTAAAGTGAGTGAGTGGTAAAGTGAGTGAGTGGTGAGTAAGTGGTGAGTGAGTGGTGAGTGAGTGGTTGAGTGAGTGGTTGAGTGAGTGGGTGAGTGGTGAGTGAGTGGTGAGTCTCCCACCTGAGTCTCTGCGAGTTTTCCACCTTCACGTTCACAGCTCGGCATCGACTCTCCATGCCAAGCCACGGACGCTGTTTTTTTTTAAAGTCTCCTTTTCGTCTTCCCCTTCCAGAAGATGTTTCCAGAAGATTACTACCGCTTCCAGAAGCGTCTTCCCGGACAAATCTTCCTCTTCCAGAAGATCCACTTCCGTTTTTTGTTCTCCTAAAAGAAGGCATTTTCAGAAGGTGTCTGTTGTCAGAAGACGTCTTCCCTTATCGGAAAATGTCTTCCCGCTTCCAAAGACGTCTTCCTTTTTCAGAAGATGTCTTCCTTTTTTAGAAGATAGCTTCCTGTTTCGGAAGATATCTTCCTTCAAAAGATGTCTTCCGAAAAAGGATGACGTCTTCCTTACTAGGAAGTTGTCTTTCTCCTTCAGAAGACTTCTTCCTTTTTCGGAAGATATCTTCCTATGTCAGAATATGTCTTCCGGAAGACACTGTTCAAACCTGTGCAATGTTTAGCAGTAAAATAAAAATAAAAATTTAGTAGAATTCTTGTTTTTTAGACAAGGACCCCTTCAACACTCGAACACGTGCGACAAAGAGCTTCACGGCTTATCGGATTCCTCTCTCCATCCTCAAGTCTCATTAAAATCCCATTGAGTTGATAAGATCATGAAGAATCTTGATTTGAAGCTTTCGTGACTGCATTAACCCAGACTCTTTCGGGAAAATCACGTAGGTATAAAAATATAATAGAAAGTAACTTCCTTTTGTTCATTAAATCTATTTTAAATAACTTAAATATATTTTATTTTAAATACATTTAAATGTATTTTAATTTAAAATAAATTTATTTTAATTTAAAATACATTTTAATTGTTTTTTTACCTACTATGTGACTTTACCGAAAGAATCAACGAGTCTGGGGATTTTGATTTAAAGCTTTCGTGACTGCAGTAATTCATATTCTTAGCTCTTTCGGTAAAGTCACGTTGAAGGGAAACAAAAAAAGAATAATATATATAAAAAATTCTCAAGACGTTTCGACCATAACACAAACGGTCGTCATCAGGTGTGTCGGTCCGCATTAAGTTATTTATTTTAAAAGGTGTCTTTATTTATTTATAAAAAACGTCAGCGCCACGCGCAGCGATTTGGCAGTTTATTTAGAAGGACGAGTCCATCTATGTTCTGAAAAGAGGAGGGGGGTGACGAAAAATTAATGTATGCTGTCTGAAAGCCACCGTAAGCGTGAACAATCAATTAAGACCTGAAATGGTTAATCAAATCTTTCCAATGATTGCTAAGCCAGAATCCATCCTCTCGGTTGAAATTGTCTCTGTGCTTGTATATGTGGATAGCCTCATGAACGAATCTCTCATGGTAGCCAGATGGCTTACAAAGAACCTCTGTCTTGGAAAAGTCAATGTCATGTGAGCCTACTGAATTATAACAATGATCTGCCACGGCCGAGGTGTTGGTCCTACCGTGTTTAAGGTCTGCTTTGTGTTTGAGTTCACTGCCTATGTGTTCCTGGTCGGATATGCATTGGGCTCTATGGTACAGAGTCTTGATGAGATAATTCTTCTGGGATGGATGGTGGTGGGAATCCGGTTTCAGATAAGCATCCGTATGGGTAGCTTTCCTGTAGACAGAGTGGCTCATTGAACCATCAGGGGGGGGGGGGGTACCTCAGTGTTTAGTCCTTATTCACCAAGGTTCCTGTACCTGACACCATCGCAATCATTGAAGACTTGGTTCATCAAGGACTAAACACTGAGGTACCTCCCCTGGTGAGACACTGTTTAACCAATACATACTTCACTTGGAATGGAACTTTCTACAAACAAACTGAGGGCACCCCAATGGGCTCCCCCCTATCTCCGGTTATAGCTAACATTTTCATGGAGAAATTTGAGACTGACGCCATCCAGACTGCCACTATGTGCCCAACCTTATGGAAGAGGTACGTGGATGACACTTTTGTCATCTGGCCACATGGCCGGCCTGCTCTAGACCAATTCGACCACATCAATTCCATACACCCAGCCATCAGACTTACCATGGAAGTCGAAAAAGATGGCAAGCTACCTTTTCTGGATGTCCTAATAAAAAAGAGACCTAATGGTTCAATGAGCCACTCTGTCTACAGGAAAGCTACCCATACGGATGCTTATCTGAAACCGGATTCCCACCTTCATCCATCCCAGAAGAATTATCTCATCAAGACTCTGTACCATAGAGCCCAATGCATATCCGACCAGGAACACATAGGCAGTGAACTCAAGCACGTACACCAAGCTCTTAAGGCTAATGGTTACTCCGACTATACAATCCACAAAGCTATCACTCAAACCATGAAGAAGGACCCTTTTGAGGAGCCTTTCAAAACCATCACTTTACCCTACATTGCGGGGATCACAAAAAAGATCTCCAAAATCTTGAAACACAAGATCCAGGTCCGTTTCAACACATTACATAAAATCCGTGATCTTGTTCCGTCTGTAAAAGATGTGATTCCGGACATACAGTACCCTGGTGTCTACAAACTAAGTTGCCTCTGTGGTAGTAGTTACATTGGAGAAACCAAACGACATGTCTCGGACCGCATCCGTGAACACAAAGCAGACCTTAAACACGGTAGGACCAACACCTCGGCCGTGGCAGATCATTGTTATAATTCAGTAGGCTCACATGACATTGACTTTTCCAAGACAGAGGTTCTTTGTAAGCCATCTGGCTACCATGAGAGATTCGTTCATGAGGCTATCCACATATACAAGCACAGAGACAATTTCAACCGAGAAGATGGATTCTGGCTTAGCAATCATTGGAAAGATTTGATAAACCATTTCAGGTCTTAATTGATTGTTCACGCTTACAATGGCTTTCAGACAGCATACATTAATTTTTCGTCTCCCCCCTCCTCTTTTCAGAACATAGATGGACTAGTCCTTCTAAATAAATTGCTAAATCGCTGCGCGTGGCGCTGACGTTTTTTAAAATAAATAAATACACCGTTTAAAAATAAATAAATAAATTCAAGTTTCAAGTTTCATTTATTAGGTATAGCCCTGTGAGCCATGCGGCTCTTAAGTCGGGTGCAACCGCAACAAACAAAATTAATGCAAACCGACACACCTGATGACGACCGTTTGTGTTATGGTCGAAACGTCGTGAGAATTTTTTTAATAGTTATATATATTTTATTATTTTATTGTTTCCCTTCAACGTGACTTTACCGAAAGAGCCTAGAATATGAGTCTGGGGATCCCTGCAGTCCCATGAGGAATCGATTCCCTCGCGACCAGGTCAGGGTTTAACTTCGTGTGCCGATTCCAGAGGAATCGATTCCCGAGCAGCCATGGCGGGCATGAGGGACACTACGACCGATCGCTCGCTCCGCTCCGTGTTCGGTGAGAGGCTCGCGGGGGGGTTGAGGGGTAGCGAGGCCGTGGGGGGGTGGCGAGGCCAGGTGGGGTGGCGAGGGTAGCGAGGGGGGGGGGTGGCGAGGCCAGAGAGGGGGGGGGGGGTGGCGAGGCTGTGGACCGCGCTAGTCGAGCGCCGTTGAAGTGGATGGGGGCCTGCGCTGGTGTCGGCCCCTGGGGAGCGGTGGCGCTGCGGTTAGCGTAGCGTTGCGACCCCGACCTCCCGGGTTCGATTCCCGGTGACGATTTTCTCTGAACCGGTCCCTGGGCCTCCCCTAGGTCGACTCGGCCTCAAACGAGTACCCGGTGCGGTGTGCGTTGTTAAACATCGCCACTGGAGAGACAAAGGCGTCCGGGCGTGGTGCTGGCCACCCACCCCCGCGCCGGCCTTCATAGATGCTGCTACTACTCGCTACTAACAGCACGTGCTCCCACAGTTTGCTGAGGCTACACGTGGGATCTTTGTGTGTGTGTCTTGGTGTGTCTGTGTGTGTGTCTGTGTGTGTGTGTCTGTGTGTGTGTCTTTGTGTGGGTCTTCATGTGTGTCTTCGTGTGTGTCTTGGTATATCTGTGTGTGTGTCTCCGTGTCATGTCATAACATGACATCATAATAACAGTCTGGGCCACTGGACGGGTTCCGTAGGATTGGAAGGATGCCCTGGTGGTCCCCCCTCTTTAAGAAGGGGGACCGCACAGACTGTAACAACTACAGGGGCATCTCACTCCTCAGTGTGCCGGGAAAGGTCCTGGCAAGGATTATTCAACATCGCCTTGCCAGGCACGCTGAGGAGAGGCTTGCAGAGCCCCAATGCGGTTTCAGGAAAGGGCGGTCCTGCATGGATGCCATATTTTCTCTCCGTCTGCTACAGCAGAGGTGTAGGGAATTCCAACAAGACCTACATCTCTGCTTTATTGACCTGGTCAAGGCCTATGATACCATCAGTAGGCTTGGGCTCTGGGTTGTTCTTCGTGCTTTCGGAGTCCCTGACCCTCTGCTCACGATCATTAAGGACCTTCATGATGGTGAGCGGGCCCGGGTAAAACTACGTGGCCGGGAGTCAGAGCCATTCCCTGTACACCTTGGGGTGCGACAGGGATGTCCTCCGGCTCCAACATCATTTAACATCTATTTCGACCACGTGGTTCGTGAAGCCTTCAGTAGCTGTACCAGAGGAATTTCCATCTGGTACAGATACAATGGGAGGCTGATCGATGCCCAGGTGCGGTCAAGTGATGGCTCCCTATTGGTTAACCATGTTACGTATGCCGACGACCTGGTAATTGCTGCTCACTCAGAGGAGGAGTTGGAGGCGCTGCTGCTGAAACTGGAGTGTGCCACTAAGAGGTGGGGCCTTACCATGAGCCCCACCAAAACGATGCACCTGGGCAGTGTGCTCATGACCGGCACTGGTTTAACAGCAGGGGTCTCACTTTGAATCAGTCGAGAGTCATATTTTCATCGGATGCGTAACACTGTGTGGAAGCTACCTGGTATGTCGCTCCGCACGAAGCTTCGGGTCTTCTCGGCCACGGTCATTCCCTCCCTTCTCTATGCTTCCGAAACGTGGACAACCCCTAATGGAACATCTCCGCCGGTTAGAAACATTTAGTCTGGCCTGCCTACGATCCATCCTGGGTTTAACCTGCAGGCTGGATTGTGTGAGGAGCTCACAAATCCTTGAAAGATCTGGACAAAGTCTCATCGGTGAGCTCCGGCAGGCAGGGCTGCGTTGGCTGGGCCATGTAGCTCGCATGCCCAGGCACCGCATGCCGAAACAGCTTTTGTTTGGCCAGATGGTGGGGGCTAAACGGGCACGGCGCAGGCTAGAGAAGAGATTGAGTGACGTGGTACAGGAGGATGTGGAGCTGAGTGGACTTGCCGATGACTGGTACCAGCGGTGTCAAGATCGGCCTCTGTGGAGGAGGCTCGTGAAGGACGCTACTGGGCAGTTGGAGGCAGTCGCCCTCCAACAACAACGGAGGGCGGAGGAGCGATGCTCACAACAACGAGCGGAGCGCCGGGTGGCTAAAGCACAGCAATTTGGCACAGTAGGGGGCACAGGTGGTGCATCAGCCAGTCATCTCAGTCAGTCGACCCGTGTCACCTGCTGGGTCTGCCCCGTGACCTCCTGCCAGCGGGCGTTTGACACTTCACGTGGCCTCAAGGTGCACATGGCCTGGCACAAGCGTTGTGGTTGACGTCACCGCCACTTAGTGGCGAATGGCGGTTGTTGTCTCCGTGTGTCTGTGTGTGTCTGCGCGTCAATGCAGTTGGTAACATCCCCTATGAGGCGACGGAGGAGCAACTCAGAGACATCTTCTCTGAGGTGGGGCCGGTGGTGAGCTTCAGGTGAGACCTGTGGTTAGGCACACACAAACAACAAAGACATGTACATGTGTGTGTGTACGTGTGTGTGTATGTGTGTGTGTGTGTGTGTATGTGTGTGTGTATGTGTGTGTGTATACGTGTGTATGTGTACATGTGTGTGGGTGTTTGTGTGTACACGTGTGTGTGTACACGTGTGTGTGTGTACGTGTGTGTGCAAAACAACCCCCTACCTCCTCGCGGTGCCGGACGGGCAACTCTGTCGTGGACAGTGCTGTGGGGGGAGGTCCAATTTTGATTGGCTCCTCCCCTCATGGCATATGTGTCCACCACAGGGGCTAAACGGGGGCTCTGGACAGGTGCGAGGGGCTGGTAACCACTCCACCTTCAATTAATTACCACTAAACCACGAGTTAAACTGAAATATGTAACTAATAAGCTTGTGCCGGAGGCCCCGGGGGGCCAGGCGTCTATGACGTCTCCTGGCCAAACCCCAATTGGCGGAGCCAGGAGATTGAATATCTACCCTCGGGGCTCCTCCAAAAACAACGAAAAGCCACTATGGGTGGCCACGTGGAATGTTCAAACGCTCACTGCGGAGGAGAGGCTGCCACTCCTCTGTCGGGAGCTGGACCAGTACCGCCTGGATCTATGTGGCATTCAGGAGGTCCAGTGGACCGGCTCTGGCTCCTGCCACCATGAGGGGTGGACAGTCCTCTACTCGGGGCAGCAGACTGCCAAACAACAGGGTGTGGCACTTTTGAACAAAAGAATGAAGGGGGCGTGGGAGCGTGACGGTGAGGTGTGGGAAGCTGTAAGCCCCAGGCTACTTTGGGCTCGCCTTCCCATCAACCGGAGGTGGGGAATGGTGGTCGTGGTTACTTATGCCCCCACCGAAGATGAACATCCGTGGAGGGATGCAGGCAAAGCCGATGAGTCAGATGGCTTCTATGACCTCTTGTCACAGGTGCTGGCTAAAGTGGCCCCTCGGGAGAGAGTCATCATGTTGGGTGACTTCAATGCCCGAGTTGGTCATGATGCTGGCACCTGGTCTGGAGTGACTGGAGGGCATGGGCCAGATCAGCTCAATAACAACGGTAGGAGGCTGCTAGATTTTTGTGCAGCCCATGGGCTTGTCATTACCAACATGCTGTTCCAGCATCGGCGCATCCACACAACATCATGGATACATGCCGGGTCCAGGCAAGAACATCTGCTGGACTACATAGTGACGGACCAGCGGATGCGAGCTCATGTCCTTGACACCAGGACTTACCGTGGAGCTGATCTGCCCTCTCACCATCGACTAGTCATCTGTAAGATGCGCCTGCCATTCTTCCACTCCGGTGGTGGGTGTACACCCAGGACCCCATTCCAACCTAAAGTGGCCTGGTCTCAGTTATCTGATGAAAGTTGCAAGCGAGAATTTCATCATCGCTTGCGGCTGGGATTTGCATCGTCCCCAACTCCTCCTGATGTCGAGGGTAAATGGGCGATGTTTAGGACTGTGACTCATGCAGCTGCAATGGCTGCTTTGGGTACGCGGTCCTAACCTCCCCAGAGACCCTCGCTGACAGAGGAGGTGTTCAGGATGGTTGAGAAAAAGCGACAGGCCCACTGTCATTGGCTACAGAATCCCACGTCAGAGAACGAGGAGGCTTACCGCAGCCTTCGCTCGGAGGTTCGGAGAGCCGTGAGGCGCTGCAAGGATGGGTGGTGATCGCGGGTTGCTGAGGGGATGGAGTCTGCCTCAGTGGCCCGTGATCACAAATCTCTATTTAACTCCATCAAAAAAGTAACCTGCAGCGCCATACCTATTACCATCATTAGGGGAAAAAACGGTGATCCAATCTCCGACCCCCAGGAACAGGTTAGCAGATTTGCTGAGCATTTCTGTGAGGTCCTGGGGGAGGGAAAATCCCTCAGCCAGGAAAACATCATGGCACAAAGTGAGGATGACCCTGCTGAGGCTGCGGTGCCTCAAATATTGGAAGACGTCACCCCCTGTGAGTGGCTGGCTGAGGTGCGATCTGTTGAGGAAGTACTGAAGGAAATCCGGAGTCTGAGACCAGGAAAGGCAGCGGGAAGAGATGATCTCCCAAGCGAAATGCTGAGGGAGGGTGGCGTTTGTGCACAGACTGCCCTATATGACATCATAACAAGGGTCTGGACCACTGGACGGGTTCCGCAGGATTGGAAGGATGCCCTGGTGGTCCACCTTTTTAAGAAGGGGGACCGCACAGACTGTAACAACTACAGGGGCATCTTACTCCTCAGTGTGCCGGGAAAGGTCCTGGCAAGGATTATTCAGCATCGCCTTGCCAGGCATGCTGAGGAGAGGCTTGCGGAGCCCAATGCGGTTTCAGGAAAGAGCGGTCCTGCACAGATGCCATATTTTCTGTCCGTTTGCTACAACAGAGGTGTAGGGAATTCCAACGACCTACATCTCTGCTTTATTGACCTGGTCAAGGCCTATGATACCATCAGTTGGCCTGGGCTCTGGGTTGTTCTTCGTGCTTTTGGAGTACCTGACACTGCTCACGATCATTAAGGACCTTCATGATGGTGAGCGGGCCCGGGTAAAACTACGTGGCCGGGAGTCAGAGCCATTCCCTGTACACCTTGGGGTGCGACAGGGATGTCCTCTGGCTCCCACATTATTTAACATCTATTTTGACCACGTAGTTCGTGAAGCCTTCAATAGCTGTACCGGGGGAATCTCCATATGGTACAGATATAATGGGAGGCTGATCGATGCCCGGATGCGGTCAAGGGATGGCTCCCTATTGCTCAACCACGTAATGTATGCTGATGATTTGGTAATAGCTGCTCATTCAGAGGAGGAGTTGGAGACGCTGCTGCTGAGACTGGAGCGTGCCACTAAGAGGTGGGTCCTTTCCATCAGCCCCACCAAAACTAAGCACCTGCCTGGGTATTTTGTACCATCGGACACTCCACCCCCACAACTCCCAATCGGTGATGGGGCAGTTGTGGAGAGAGTGGAGAGTTTCCCATACCTGGGCAGTGTGCTTATGACCGGCTCCAGTTTAACTGCAGAGGTCTCACTCCGAATCAGTCGAGCGGCAATATCTTTTAATCGGTTCCGTAACGCTGTGTGGAAGCTACCTGGTCTGTCGCGCCGCACTAAGCTTCAGGTCTTCTCATCCACGGTCATTCCCTCCCTTCTCTACGCTTGCGAAACGTGGACCCCCCAATGGAACATCTTCGCCGGTTAGAAACATTTAGGCTGGCCTGCCTACGATCCATCCTGGGTTTAACCAGATTGGATTGTGTGAGGAGCTCACTAATCCTTGAAAGATCTGGGCAAATTTCGATTTAAAGCTTTCGTGACTGCAATGATTCATCTTCTTTGGTTCTTTCGGTAAAGTCACGTAGAATGATAATAAAATAATTATTTTTAATTAATAAAATAATTAATAAAATAATTATCATTCTACGTGACTTTACCGAAAGAACCAAAGAAGATCTGGGCAAGGTCCCATCGGTGAGCTCCTTTGGCGGGGAAGGCTGCGATGGCTGGGTCATGTAGCCTGCATGCCCAGCCACCGCATGCCGCAACAGCTTTTGTTCGGCCGGATTGAGGGGGCTAAGCGGGCGTGGCACGGGCTAGAGAAGAGATGGAGTGATGTGGTACAGGAGGACGTGGAGCTGAGTGGACTTGCCGATGACTGGTACCAGCGGTGTCAAGATCGGCCTCTGTGGAGGAGGCTCGTGAAGGACGCTACTGGGCAGTTGGAGGTAGTCGCTCTCCAACAACAACGGAGGGTGGAGGAGCGACGCTCAGAACAACGAGCGGAGCGCCGGGTGGCTAAAGCACAGCAGGTTGGCACAGTAGGGGGCAAAGGTGGTGCATCAGCCAGTCATTTCAGTCGACCCGTATCACCTGGGTCTGCCCCGTGACCTCCTTCCAGCGGGCGTTCGACACTTCACGTGGCCTCAGGGTGCACATAGCCTGGCACAAGCGTCGTGGTGACGTCACCGCCACTTAGTGGCGAATGGCGGTTGTTGTTGTGGGTGTTTGTGTGTACACGTGTGTGTGTGTGTACACGTGTGTGTGTGTATGTGTGTGTATGTGTGTACGCGTGTGTATGTGTGTACACGTGTGTGTGTGTGTACACGTGTGTGTGGGTGTATGTGTGTACACGTTTGTATGTGGGTGTGTACACTGTGTGTGTACACGTGTGTGTGTGTGTGTGTACACCGTGTGTGTGTACGTGTGTGTGTACACCGTGTGTGTGTGTACCGTGTGTGTGTACGTGTGTGTGTACATGTGTGTGTGTGTTTGTATGTGTGTGTGCAAAACAACCCCCTACCTCCTCGCGGTGCCGGACCGGCAACTCTGTCGTGGACAGTGCTGTGGGGGGAGGTCCAATTTTGATTGGCTCCTCCCCTCATGGCATATGTGTCCATCACAGGGGCTAAACGGGGGCTCTGGATGGGTGCGAGGGGCTGGTAACCACTCCACCTTCAATTAATTACCACTAAACCACGAGTTAAACTGAAATATGTATTTAATAAGCTTGTGCCGGAGGCCCCGGGGGGCCAGGCGTCTATGACGTCTCCTGGCCAAACCCCAATTGGCGGAGCCAGGAGATTGAATATCTACCCTCGGGGCTCCTCCAGAAACAACGAAAAGCCACTATGGGTGGCCACGTGGAATGTTCGAACGCTCACTGCGGAGGAGAGGCTGCCACTCCTCTGTCGGGAGCTGGACCGGTACCGTCTGGATCTATGTGGCATTCAGGAGGTCCAGTGGACCGGCTCTGGCTCCTGCCACCATGAGGGGTGGACAGTCCTCTACTCGGGGCAGCAGACTGCCAAACAACAGGGTGTGGCACTTCTTTTGAACAAAATAATGAAGGCGGCGTGGGAGCGCGGCGTTGAGGTGTGGGAAGCTGTAAGCCCCAGGCTACTTTGGGCTCACCTTCCCATCAACCGGAGGCGAGGAATGGTGGTCGTGGTTACTTATGCCCCCACCGAAGATGAACATCCGTGGAGGGATGCAGGCAAAGCCGATGAGTCAGATGCCTTCTATGACCTCCTGTCACAGGTGCTGGCTAAAGTGGCCCCTCGGGATAGAGTCATCATGTTGGGTGACTTCAATGCCCGAGTTGGTCATGATACTGACACCTGGTCTGGAGTAATTGGAGGGCATGGGCCAGATCAGCTCAATAACAATGGTAGGCTGCTAGATTTTTGTGCAGCCCATGGGCGTGTAATTACCAACACGCTGTTCCGGCATCGGCGCATCCACACAACATCATGGATGCATTCCGGGTCCAAGCAAGAACCTCTGCTGGACTACATAGTGACGGACTAGCGGATGCGAGCCCATGTCCTTGACACCAGGACCTACCGTGGAGCTGATCTGCCCTCTGACCATCGACTAGTCATCTGTAAGATGCGCCTGCCATTCTTCCACTCCGGTGGTGGGTGTACACCCAGGACCCCATTCCAACCTAAAGTGGCCTGGTCTCAGTTATCTGATGAAAGTTGCAAGCGAGAATTTCATCATCGCTTGCAGCTGGGATTGGCATCGTCCCCGACTCCTCCTGATGTCGAGGGTAAATGGGCGATGTTTAGGACTGTGACTCATGCAGCTGCAATGGCTGCTTTGGGTACGCGGTCCAGACCTCCCCAGAGACCCTAGCTGACAGAGGAGGTGTTCAGGATGGTTGAGAAAAAGCGACAGGCCCACTGTCATCGGCTACAGAATCCCACGTCAGAGAATGAGGAGGCTTACCGCAGCCTTCACTCGGAGGTTCGGAGAGCCGTGAGGCGCTGCAAGGATGGGTGGTGGTCGCGGGTTGCTGAGGGGATGGAGTCTGCCTCAGTGGCCCGTGATCACAAATCTCTATTTAACTCCATCAAAAAAGTAACCTGCAGCGCCACACCTATTACCATCATTAGGGGAAAAAATGGTGATCCAATCTCCGACCCCCAGGAACAGGTTAGCAGATTTGCTGAGCATTTCTGTGAGGTCCTGGGGGAGGGAAAATCCCTCAGCCAGGAAAACATCGTGGCACAAAGTGAGGATTACCCTGCTGAGGCTGCGGTGACTCAAATATTGGAAGAAGTCACCCCCTGTGAGTGGCTGGCTGAGGTGCCATCTGTTGAGGAAGTACTGAAGGCGATCCGGAGTCTGAGACCAGGGAAGGCAGCGGGCAGAGATGATCTCCAAAGCGAAATGCTGAGGGAGGGTGGCGTTTGTGCACAGACTGCCCTATATGACATCATAACAACGGTCTGGACCACTGGACGGGTTCCGCAGGATTGGAAGGATGCCCTGGTGGTCCCCCTTTTTAAGAAGGGGGACCGCACAGACTGTAACAACTACAGGGGCATCTTACTCCTCAGTGTGCCGGGAAAGGTCCTGGCAAGGATTATTCAGCATCGCCTTGCCAGGCACGCTGAGGAGAGGCTTGCTGAGCCCCAATGCGGTTTCAGGAAAGATCGGTCCTGCACAGATGCCATATTTTCTGTCCGTCTGCTACAGCAGAGGTGTAGGGAATTCCAACAGGACCTACATCTCTGCTTTACTGACCTGGTCAAGGCCTATGATACCATCAGCAGGCCTGGGCTCTGGGTTGTTCTTCGTGCTTTTGGAGTACCTGACCCTCTGCTCACGATCATTAAGGACCTTCATGATGGTGAGCGGGCCCAGATAAAACTACGTGGCCGGGAGTCAGAGCCATTCCCTGTACACCTTGGGGTGCGACAGGGATGTCCTCTGGCTCCCACATTATTTAACATCTATTTTGACTACGTATTTCGTGAAGCCTTCAATAGCTGTACCGGGGAAATCTCCATATGGTGTAGATATAATGGGAGGCTGATCGATGCCCGGGTGCGGTCAAGGGATGGCTCCCTATTGCTCAACCACGTTTTGTATGCTGATGATTTGGTAATAGCTGCTCATTCAGAGGAGGTGTTGGAGACGCTGCTGCTGAGACTGGAGCGTGCCACTAAGAGGTGGGTCCTTTCCATCAGCCCCACCAAAACTAAGCACCTGCCTGGGTATTTTGTACCATCGGACACTCCACCCCCACAACTCCCAATCGGTGATGGGGCAGTTGTGGAGAGAGTGGAGAGTTTCCCACAGCTGGGCAGTGTGCTTATGACTGGCTCCAGTTTAACAGCAGAGGTCTCACTCCGAATCAGTCGAGCGGCAATATCTTTTCATCGGTTGCGTAACGCTGTGTGGAAGCTACCTGGTCTGTCGCTCCGCACTAAGCTTCAGGTCTTCTCGGCCACGGTCATTCCCTCCCTTCTCTACGCTTGCGAAACATGGACCCCCCTAATGGAACATCTTCGCCGGTTAGAAACATTTAGGCTGGCCTGCCAACGATCCATCCTGGGTTTAACCAGACTGGATTGTGTGAGGAGCTCACAAATCCTTGAAAGATCTGGGCAAGGTCCCATCGGTGAGCTCCTCCGGCGGGCAAGGCTGCGATGGCTGGGTCATGTAGCCCGCATGCCCAGCCACCGCATGCCGAAACAGCTTTTGTTCGGCCGGATTGAGGGGTCTAGACGGGCGCGGCACGGGCTAGAGAAGAGATGGAGTGATGTGGTACAGGAGGACGTGGAGCTGAGTGGACTTGCCGATGACTGGTACCAGCGGTGTCAAGATCGGCCTCTGTGGAGGAGGCTCGTGAAGGATGCTACTGGGCAGTTGGAGGTAGTCGCCCTCCAACAACAACGGAGGGCGGAGGAGCGGTGCTCACAACAACGAGTGGAGCGCCGGGTGGCTAAAGCACAGCAATTTGGCACAGTAGGGGGCACAGGTGGTGCATCAGCCAGTCATCTCAGTCAGTCGACCCGTGTCACCTGCTGGGTCTGCCCCGTGACCTCCTGCCAGCGGGCGTTCGACACTTTACTTGGTCTCAGGTGGCACATAGCCTGGCACAAGCGTCTTGGTGACGTCACCGCCACTTAGTGGCGAATGGCGGTTGTTGTTGTTGTGTATACGTGTGTGTGTGTACGTGTGTATGTGTGTACACGTGTGTGTGTGTGTACGTGTGTGTGTGTACGTGTGTGTACACCGTTGTTTGTACACCGTGTACTCATGTAGGCCATCATCGTTCGTAGGCCGCCGGCCTTCGAACGGCACTTGCCCCGATGTTCTGTTGAGGCTACGCGTGGGGGGGGTGTGCATGCCACGTGCGTGCGTGCAGGCTGGTGTACGACAGGGAGACGGGCAAGCCCAAGGGCTACGGCTTCTGCGAGTACCAGGACCAGGAGACGGCACTGAGCGCCATGAGGAACCTCAACGGGCGCGAGTTCAGCGGCCGCTCCCTCCGCGTCGACAACGCGGCCAGCGAGAAGAACAAGGAGGAGCTCAAGAGTGGGTGACCCCCCCTCCCCCTGCCCCCCCCTCCCCCTGCCTCCCCCTGCCTCCCCCCCTCCCCTGCCTCCCCCTGGCCCCCCTTCCCCCCCTCCCCTCCCTCCCCCCCTCCCTCCCCCCCTCCCCTGTCTCCCCTCCCCTCCCTCTCACTGCCTCCCTCCTTCCCCCCCATCCCCCTCAGTGCGTGTGTGTCTCACTGTGTGTGTCTCACTGTGTGTGTGTCTCGCTGTGTGTGTGTCTCACTGTGTGTGTCTCACTGTGTGTGTCTCACTGTGTGTGTGTCTCACTGTGTGTGTGTCTCACTGTGTGTGTGTCTCTCTGTGTGTGTGTCTCACTGTGTGTGTCTCACTGTGTGTGTCTCACTGTGTGTGTGTCTCACTGTGTGTGTGTCTCACTGTGTGTGTGTCTCACTGTGTGTGTGTCTCACTGTGTGTGTGTCTCACTGTGTGTGTCTCGCTGTGTGTTTCTCACTGTGTGTGTCTCACTGTGTGTGTGTCTCACTGTGTGTGTCTCACTGTGTGTGTGTGTCTCACTGTGTGTGTCTCACTGTGTGTGTCTCACTGTGTGTGTCTCACTGTGTGTGTGTCTCACTGTGTGTGTGTCTCACTGTGTGTGTGTCTCACTGTGTGTGTGTCTCACTGTGTGTGTGTCTCACTGTGTGTGTCTCGCTGTGTGTTTCTCACTGTGTGTGTCTCACTGTGTGTGTGTCTCACTGTGTGTGTCTCACTGTGTGTGTGTGTCTCACTGTGTGTGTCTCACTGTGTGTGTCTCACTGTGTGTGTCTCACTGTGTGTGTGTCTCACTGTGTGTGTGTCTCACTGTGTGTGTGTCTCACTGTGTGTGTGTCTCACTGTGTGTGTGTCTCACTGTGTGTGTGTCTCACTGTGTGTGTGTCTCACTGTGTGTGTGTCTCACTGTGTGTGTGTCTCACTGTGTGTGTGTCTCACTGTGTGTGTGTCTCACTGTGTGTGTGTCTCACTGTGTGTGTGTCTCACTGTGTGCGTCTCACTGTGTGCGTCTCACTGTGTGCGTCTCACTGTGTGTGTGTCTCACTGTGTGTGTGTCTCACTGTGTGTGTGTCTCACTGTGAGACACACACACAGGGAGCGATAGTGTAGCGGTTAGCGCGCTGCGCTATGAACCTGGCGACCCGGGTTCGATTCCCGCTCACGGCCAACACCGGTGACGATTATCTGAACCGGTCCCGGGCCTCCCCTAGGTCGACTCAGCCTCAAATGAGTACCTGGTGCGGTGTGTAAACATCGTCACTAGGGAGACAAAGGCGGTCGGGCGTGGTGCTGGCCACCCACCCCCTCGTGTACCGTTCCGGCCTTCATAGGTGCTCGCTAACAGCACTTGCCCCTACAGTCTGTTAAGGCTATACGGGGTATCTTTGTCTTTGTGTCTCACTGTGTGTGTGTCTCACTGTGTGTGTCTCACTGTGTGTGTCTCACTGTGTGCGTCTCGCTGTGTGTGTCTCGCTGCGTGTGTCTCGCTGTGTGTGTGTCACTGTGTGTGTGTCTCACTGTGTGTGTCTCACTGTGTGTGTGTCTCACTGTGTGTGTGTCTCACTGTGTGTGTCTCGCTGTGTGTGTCTTGCTGTGTGTGTCTCGCTGTGTGTTTGTCTCACTGTGTGTGTGTCTCACTGTGTGTGTCTCACTGTGTGTGTGTCTCACTGTGTGTCTCACTGTGTGTGTGTCTCACTGTGTGTGTCTCACTGTGTGTGTGTCTCACTGTGTGTGTCTCACTGTGTGTGTCTCACTGTGTGTGTCTCACTGTGTGTGCGTCTCACTGCATGTGTCTCGCTGTGTGTGCCTCACTGTGTGTGTGTCTCACTGTGTGTGCGTCTCACTGCATGTGTCTCGCTGTGTGTGTCTCACTGTGTGTGTGTGTCAGGTCTGGGCCACACAGGGCCCGTGTTGGAGTCTCCGTTTGGCGACGCCGTGGCCCCTGAGGAGGCTCCCCACGCCGTGACGCAGGCAGTGGCCTCGCTGCCTCCTGAGCAGCTCTACTGCCTCGTCAAGCAGATGAAGGTTTTATACACGAATACTGTGATACTATTACTATATACACTATTACTACACTACTATATACACTACTATATTACTATGCTATATGCACTATTACTACACTACTACTATTACACTACTATATACACTACTATATTACTATATCTTCTTTGGTTCTTTCGGTAAAGTCACGTAGAATGAGAATAAAATAATAAATTGATAAAATAAAATAACACAATAATATTCTCACGACGTTTCGGCCACAACACAAGCGGCCTTCATCAGGTGAAGGGAGCGAGACTGTCTGGTAGGACATTACTATACTTTATACACTTACTACACTACTACTATTACACTACTATATACACTACTATATTATTATACTATATACACTATCACTATAAACACTATTACTACACTACTACTATTACACTACTCTATACACTACTATGTTACTATACTATATACACTTACTACACTACTATTACACTACTATATACACTACTATATTACTATACTATATACACTTACTACACTACTACTATTACACTACTATATACACTACTATATTACTATACTATATACACTATTACTGCACTACTACTATTACACTACTATATACACTACTATACTACTATATACACTATTACTACACTACTACTATTACACTACTATATACACTACTATACTACTATACTATATACACTGTTACTACACTACTACTATTACACTACTATATACACTACTATATTACTATACTTTATACACTTACTACACTACTACTATTACACTACTATATACATTACTATATTATTATACTATATACACTATCACTATAAACACTATAAACTACACTACTACTATTACACTACTATATACACTACTATGTTACTATACTATATACACTTGCTACACTACTATTACACTACTATATACACTACTATATTACTATACTATATACACTGTTACTACACTACTACTATTACACTACTATATACACTACTATATTACTATACTATATACACTATTACTGCACTACTACTATTACACTACTATATACACTACTATACTACTATATACACTATTACTGCACTACTACTATTACACTACTATATACACTACTATACTACTATACTATATACACTGTTACTACACTACTACTATTACACTACTATATACACTACTATATTACTATACTTTATACACTTACTACACTACTACTATTACACTACTATATACATTACTATATTATTATACTATATACACTATCACTATAAACACTATTACTACACTACTACTATTACACTACTATATACACTACTATGTTACTATACTATATACACTATCACTACACTACTACTATTACATTACTATATACGCTACTATATTACTATACTATAAACACTTACTGCACTACTACTATTACACTACTATATACACTACTATATTACTATACTATACACACTATTACTACACTACTACTATTACACTACTCTATGCACTACTATATTACTATACTATATACACTTACTACACTACTACTATTACATTACTATATACACGAATACTATATACACTAATACTATATACACTTACTATATTCACTACTACTATATACACTATTACTATATACACTTACTATATACACTACTACTATATACACTATTACTATATACACGAATACTGTAATACTATTACTATATACACTATTACTACACTACTACTATTACACTACTATATACACTACTATATTCACTATTACTATATACACAATCAGTCCTTCACGGCGTAGCGTGTTACCAATTGTTTTCTTGGTGACTATGGTCCCAGCTGCCTTGAGATCATTGACAAGATCCTCCCGTGTAGTTCTGGGCTGATTCCTCACCGTTCTCATGATCATTGCCACTCCATGAGGTGAGATCTTGCATGGAGCCCCAGGCTGAGGGAGATTGTCAGTTCTTTTGTGTTTCTTCTATTTGCGAATAATCGCACCAACTATTGTCACCTTCTCACCAAGCTGCTTAGCAATGGTCTTGTAGCCCATTCCAGCCTTATGTAGGTCTACAATCTTGTCCCTGCCATCCTTGGAGAGCTCTTTGGTCTTGGCCATGGTGGAGAGTTTGAAATCTGATTGATTGCTTCTGTGGACAGGTGTCTTTTATACAGGTAACGAGCTGAGATTAGGAGCACACTCTTAAAGGGAGTGCTCCTTATCTCAGCTTGTTACCTGTATAAAAGACACCTGGGAGCCAGAAATCTTTCTGAATGAGAGGGGGTCAAATACTTGTTTCCCTCATTAAAATGCAAATAAATTTCTCACATTTTTGACATGCGTTTTTCTGGATTTTTTGTTGTTATTCTGTCTCTCACTGTTCAAATAAACCTACCATTAAAATTCTAGACTGATAATTTCTTTGTCAGTGGGCAAACGTACAAAATCAGCAGGGGATCAAATACTTTTTTTCCCTCACTGTACACTACTACACTACTACTATTACTATTTTTACTAATACTATATACACTATTACTATATACACTATTACTATATACACTTTTACTATATACACTATTACTATATACACTATTACTATACTGCTATATACACTATTACTATATACACTATTACTACATACACTAATACTATATACAGGACTACTATATGCTACTACACTATATACCACTATACTATACTATACGCTACCACACTATACGCCACTACACTACGCCAGCACACTGTACACCCCTTCATTGTACACCACTATACTGTACGCCACCACACTGTACACCACCACTGTATGCCACTACACTAAAGGCAACTACACTGTACACATCACACTGTGCACACCACACTGTACGACACTGCACTGTACACCCCAGCACTGTACACCCCATACACTGTACACCACTACACTGTACACCACTACACTGTATGCCTGTACACTACAGGTCACTACACTGTACACTAGACTGTACGTGTACATCTTGTGGCCCCGTGCGTGTGCAGGCGTGCGTGGTGACGTGCCCGCAGGAGGGCCGCACGCTGCTTCTGCAGAATCCGCAGCTGGCCTACGCCCTGCTGCACGCACTCGTCGCACTGCAAGCCCTGGACCGCGATGCCGCGTCGGTTCGCACCGCCCCCTTACATACGCCACTCACACCTCGCCACCCACCCCACCTACCTGCCCGCCCTCCTATCCCCCCCCGCCCTCCTATCCCCCCCCGCCCTCCTATCCCCCCCCGCCCTCCTATCCCCCCCCGCCCTCCTATCCCCCCCCGCCCTCCTATCCCCCCCCGCCCTCCTATCCCCCCCCGCCCTCCTATCCCCCCCCGCCCTCCTATCCCCCCCCGCCCTCCTATCCCCCCCCGCCCTCCTATCCCCCCCCGCCCTCCTATCCCCCCCCGCCCTCCTATCCCCCCCCCGCCCTCCTATCCCCCCCCGCCCTCCTATCCCCCCCCGCCCTCCTATCCCCCCCCGCCCTCCTATCCCCCCCCCGCCCTCCTATCCCCCCCCCGCCCTCCTATCCCCCCCCCGCCCTCCTATCCCCCCCCCGCCCTCCTATCCCCCCCCGCCCTCCTATCCCCCCCCGCCCTCCTATCCCCCCCCGCCCTCCTATCCCCCCCCGCCCTCCTATCCCCCCCCGCCCTCCTCGCCACGCACCCCCTTCTTGGTGCGCCACGCCGGCCTGCGTAGGCGCTGATGCTGCTGATGGTGATGATGATGGTGATGATGATGGTGCTGATGGTGATGATGATGGTGATACTGCTGATGGTGATGATGATGGTGCTGATGGTGATGATGATGCTGATACGGCTGATGGTGATGATGATTGTGCTAATGGTGATGATGCTGCTGCTGCTGATGATGATGATGCTGCTGATGATGCTGATGATGATGATGCTGCTGCTGATGATGCTGATGCTGATGATGCTGCTGATGATGCTGATGATGCTGATGATGATGATGCTGATGATGATGCTGATGATGATGTTGCTGCTGCTGATGATGATGATGGTGCTGTTAATGCTGCTAATGCTGCTGATGCCACTGCCGCTGATGCCACTGCCGCCGCTGCTCGCTAACGGCGCCCGCCCCAACAGCGCCATTGATGTCTCCGCGGGGGACCTCTTTGTCTTTTTTGCTTTGACACACAGAGAATGCTGCACCGCCAGAGCTCCATCGTCCCGCTGGGGCACATGCAGGTACTGCCGCAACGCCCACACATGCCACGCCCACACGCCACGCCCACACGCCACGCCCACACGCCACGCCCACACGCGCCACGCCCACACGCGCCACGCCCACACGCGCCACGCCCACACGCGCCACGCCCACACGCGCCACGCCCACACGTGCCACGCACCACGCGGCTACGCGCCTGTGGCCGCGTGAGACCCGGTGGGTGAACCGGTGCATTGCGAACGATCGCGGTCGGTAATGAAGAGGCAGCGTCGAGCGTGGCAGTGACCGCGTGTTTGCCCTCCGCAGGATGAGATGCACATGAACGGTCCTCCGCAGCAGCTGCTGCACGCAGCGGGGCCCGGAGCCATGGGGCCAGGTACGTCGGCGGCGGCAGCACGGCCCTCGCGTGGAGGACGCCGTCGCTCGCTGCCTCGCACGCTACACGCAAGCTACGCGCACGCTACGCACACGCTACGTACACGCTACGTACACGCTACGTACACGCTACGCGCAAGCTACGCGCACGCTACGTACACGCTACGTAAACACTGCGTACAAGCTACATACCGCTAACATATACGCTACGTACACACTACGTAACGCTGACATACACACTACGCACACACTGCGTACACACTACGCACACACTGCCAACATGCTGCGTACGCACGATGTGCACGCGACGTACAGGTGATGAGCGTGGTGATGAGTGTGAGAGTTGTCGAGGCTCGCTGTGGATTAACGCTTCTCTCCTCTGTGGTTGCCTTCACGCACCCCCTAAGAGGGCCTGTCTCCTCAGTCCAGTAAGCAGGCATGCTTGCTTGTGTGTGTGTATAAGTGTGTATGTGTGTACGTGTGTGTGTGTGTATACGTGTGTATGTGTGTACGTGTGTGTGTATACGTGTGTATCTGTGTACGTGTGTGTGTATACGTGTGTGTACGTGTGTGTTTGTACGTGTGTATGTGTTTATACGTGTGTGTGTGTGTACACCCAGGACCCCATTCCAACCTAAAGTGGCCTGGTCTCAGTTATCTGATGAAAGTTGCAAGCGAGAATTTAATCATCGCTTCTGACTGGGATTGGCATCGTCCCCGGCTCCTCCCCAGAGACCCTGGCTGACAGAGGAGGTGTTCAGGATGGTTGAGAAAAAGCGACAGGCCCACTGTCATTGGGTACAGAATCCCACGTCAGAGAATGAGGAGGCTTACCGCAGCCTTCGCTCGGAGGTTCGGAGAGCCGTGAGGCGCTGCAAGGATGGGTGGTGGTCGCGGGTTGCTGAGGAGATGGAGTCTGCCTCAGTGGCCCGCGATCACAAATCTCTATTTAACTCCATCAAAAAAGTAACCTGCAGCGCCACACCTATTACCATCATTAGGGGAAAAAACGGTGATCCAATCTCCGACCCCCAGGAACAGGTTTGCAGATTTGCTGAGCATTTATGTGAGGTCCTGGGGGAGGGAAAATCCCTCAGCCAGGAAAACATCGTGGTACAAAGTGAGGATGACCATGCTGAGGCTGCGGTGCCTCAAATATTGGAAGAGATCACCCCCTGTGAGTGGCTGGCTGAAGTACCATCTGTTGAGGAAGTACTGAAGGCGATCCGGAGTCTGAGACCAGGAAAGGCAACGGGCAGAGATGAGCTCCCAAGCGAAATGCTGAGGGAGGGTGGCGTTTGTGCACAGACTGCCCTATAGGACATCATTACAACAGTCTGGACCACTGGACGGGTTCCGCAGGATTGGAAGGATGCCCTGGTGGTCCCCTTCTTTAAGAAGGGGGACCGCACAGACTGTAACAACTACAGGGGTATCTCACTCCTCAGTGTACCGGGAAAGGTCCTGGCCAGGATTATTCAACATTGCCTTGCTCGGCACACTGAGGAGAGGCTTGCGCAGCCCCAATGCGGTTTCAGGAAAGGGCGGTCCTGCACAGATGCCATAATTTCTGTCCGTCTGCTACAGTAGAGGTGTAGGGATTTCTAAAAAGACCTACATCTCTGCTTCATTGACCTGGTCAAGGCCTATGATACCATCAGTAAGCCTGGCCTCTGGGTTGTTCTTCGTGCTTTCGGAGTACCTGACCCTCTGCTCACGATCATTAAGGACCTTCATGATGGTGAGCGGGCCCGGGTAAAACTACGTGGCCGGGAGTCAGAGCCATTCCCTGTTCACCTTGGGGTGCGACAGGGATGTCCTCTGGCTCCCACATTATTTAACATCTATTTTGACCACGTAGTTCGTGAAGCCTTCAATAGCTGTACCGGGGGAATTTCCATTTGGTACAGACATAATGGGAGTCTGATCGATGCCCGGGTGCGGTCAAGGGATGGCTCCCTATTGGTCAACCACGTTATGTATGCCGATGATTTGGTAATTGCTGCTCATTCAGAGGAGGAGTTGGAGAAGCTTCTGCTGAAACTCGAGCGTGCCACTAAGAGGTGGGGACTTACTATCAGCCCCACCAAAATTAAGCACCTGCCTGGGTATTTTGTACCATCGGACACTCTACCCCCACAACTCCCAATCGGTGATGGGGCAGTTGTGGAGAGAGTGGAGAGTTTCCCATACCTGGGCAGTGTGCTCATGACCGGCTCCAGTTTAACAGTGGAGGTATCACTCCGAATCAGTCGAGCGGCATTATCTTTTCATCGGTTGTGTAACGCTGTGTGGACGCTGCCTGGTCTGTCTCTCCGCACTAAGCTTCAGGTCTTCTCGGCCACGGTCATTCCCTCCCTTCTCTACGCTTGCGAAACGTGGACCCCCCTAATGGAACATCTTCGCTGGTTAGAAACATTAAGGCTGGCCTGCCTACGATTCATCCTGGGTTTAACCAGGCTGGATTGTGTGAGGAGCTCACAAATCCTTGAAAGATCTGGGCCAAGTCCCATCGGTGAGTTCCTCCAGATCGGCCTCTGTGGAGGAGGCTCGTGAAGGACGCTACCGGGCAGTTGGAGGCAGTCGCCCTTTAACAACAACGGAGGGCGGAGGAGCGACGCTCACAACAATGAGCGGAGCGCCGGGTGGCTAAAGCACAGCAAGTTGGCACAGTAGGGGGCACAGGTGGTGCATCAGGCAGTCGTCTTGGTCATCTCAGTCAGACGACCTGTGGCACCTGCTGGGTCTGCCCCGTGACCTCCTGCCAGCGGGCGTTCGACACTTCACGTGGCCTGAAGGTGCACCTTGCCTGGCACAAGCGTCGTGGTGACGTCACCGCCACTTAGTGGCGAATTGCGGTTGTTGTTGCGTATGTGGTGGGTGTGTGTGATGTGTGCAGTGGTTGTGAATGTGGTGTGAGTTTGTAGTGTGTGTGTGTGTGTGGTGTGTGTGTGTGATGCGTGCGGTGTGTGTGAGGCGTGTGTGTATATGTGGTGTGTGTGTGTGATGTGTCTGGTGTGTGTGTTTGATGTATGTTGTGTGTGTGTGTGATGTGTGCGGTGTGTGTGTGTATGTGATGTGTGTGTGTGTGATGCGTGCGGTGTGTGTGTGTGTGGTGTGTGTGATGCTAGCGGTGTGTGTGTGGTGTGTGTGTGTGGTGTGTGTGATGCGTGCAGTGTGTGTGTGTGTGATGTATGTGGTGTGTGTGTGTGATGTATGTGGTGTGTGTGTGTGTCTGTGGTGTGTATGTGGTGTGTGTGTGATGTATGTGGTGTGTGTGTGATGTATGTGGTGTGTGTGTGATGCGTGTGGTGTGTGTGTGATGTGCGTGGTGTGTGTGTGGTGTGTGTGTGATGTGTGTGGTGTGTGTGTGATGCGTGTGGTGTGTGTGTGATGTGCGTGGTGTGTGTGTGGTGTGTGTGTGATGTGTGTGGTGTGTGTGTGATGTGTGTGGTGTGTGTGCGGTGTGTGTGTGTGATGCGTGTGTGTGTATGGTAGGTCCCATGTCTGATGGACCACGGATGGCCATGCACATGTCTGGTCCTGGAGGAGGCATGGGGGGAGGTGGACCCATGGGAGGAGGAGGTGGACCCATGGGAGGAGGAGGCGGTCCCATGGGAGGAGGAGGCGGACCCATGGTAGGAGGAGGCGGACCCATGGGAGGAGGTGGCGGACCCATGGGAGGAGGAGGCGGACCCATGGGAGGAGGAGGCGGACCCATGGGAGGAGGAGGCGGACCCATGGGAGGAGGAGGCGGACCCATGGGAGGAGGAGGCGGACCCATGGGAGGAGGAGGCGGACCCATGGGAGGAGGAGGCGGACCCATGGGAGGAGGAGGCGGCCCCATGGGAGGAGGAGGCGGACCCATGGGAGGAGGAGGCGGACCCATGGGAGGAGGTGGACCCATGGGAGGAGGAGGCGGACCCATGGGAGGAGGAGGCGGACCCATGGGAGGAGGAGGCGGACCCATGGGAGGAGGAGGCGGACCCATGGGAGGAGGAGGCGGGCCCATGGGAGGAGGAGGCGGGCCCATGGGAGGAGGAGGCGGACCCATGGGAGGAGGAGGCGGACCCATGGGAGGAGGAGGCGGACCCATGGGAGGAGGAGGCGGACCCATGGGCGGAGGAGGCGGACCCATGGGAGGAGGAGGCGGACCCATGGGAGGAGGAGGCGGACCCATGGGAGGAGGAGGCGGACCCATGGGAGGAGGAGGGCCCATGGGAGGAGGAGGACCAATGGGAGGAGGCGGACCCATGGGAGGAGGTGGACCGATGGGTGGAGGGGGCGGGCCCATGGGAGGAGGGGGCGGGCCCATGGGTGGAGGGGGTGGGCCCATGGGTGGAGGGGGCGGGCCCATGGGTGGAGGGGGCGGGCCGATGGGAGGAGGGGGCGGGCCGATGGGTGGAGGGGGCGGGCCCATGGGTGGAGGGGGCGGGCCCATGGGTGGAGGGGGCGGGCCCATGGGTGGAGGGGGCGGGCCCATGGGTGGAGGGGGCGGGCCCATGGGTGGAGGGGGCGGGCCCATGGGAGGGGGTGGTGGTGGTGGAGGGGGGGGGAGGCGGCGTGGGGAGGGCTGGGGGGCTCCTGGGGGACGGCCCCCTGGAGAGGAGACCTGGAAGTCACATGGGCACGCCCCCCGATGGCGATCCCAGGTGAGTGGCGGCGGCTCGGGATACGTTGACGACCTTGCCCGCTGTACAGCAGGTCGTCGCGGGTTCGATCGCTAGGGAATTGCCTGTTGCTCAAAGGCTTCTTTAGTGTAAATCGGCCGTCTGCGTTGTTTGTGCGTTAGGGGGTACCCCGGGCCGCCCATGGACCCCCGCTCCGTCTCGGCCGAGCTCAGAGACCCTCGAGGAATGGGACCCTCTGCGGATGACATGCGAGGTGATGCCTGCAATTACACGCACGCACGCACACATGCACACGCACGTACACACACGCACGCACACACACGCACGCACACACACGTACGCACACGCGCACATGTACACACGCACGCACGCGCACACACACACACACGTACGTACACACACGCACGTACACACACACACACGTACACACACACACACACACGTACACACACACTACACACACTACAACAACAACAACCGCCATTCGCCACTAAGTGGCGGTGACGTCACCACGACGCTTGTGCCAGGCCATGTGCACCTTGAGGCCACGTGAAGTGTCGAACGCCCGCTGGCAGGTCACGGGGCAGACCCAGGTGCCACGGGTCGACTGACTGAGATGACTGGCTGGTGTACCACCTGTGTCCCCTACTGTGTCAACTTGCTGTGCTTTAGCCACCCGGCGCTCCGCTCGTTGCTGTGAGCGTCGCTCCTATGCCCTCCGTTGTTGTTGGAGGGCGACTGCCTCCAACTGCCCAGTAGTGTCCTTCACGAACCTCCTCCACAGAGGCCGATACTTGACACCGCTGGTACCAGTCATCGGCAAGTCCACTCAGCTCCACGTCCTCCTGTACCACATCACTCCATCTCTTCTCTAGCCCGTGCCACGCCCGTTTAGCCCCCTCGATCCGGCCGAACAAAAGCTGTTTGGGCTTGCGGTGGCTGGGCATGCGGGCTACATGACCCAGCCAACGCAGCCTTGCCTGCCGGAGGAGCTCGCCGATGGGACTTTGTCCAGATCTATTCGAGGATTTGTGAGCTCCTCACACAATCCAGCCTGGTTGAACCCAGGATTGATCGTAGGCAGGCCAGCCTAAATGTTTCTAACCGGCGAAGATGTTCCATTAGGGGGTCCAGGTTTCGCACACACACACACGTACGTACATAAGTACGTGTAGCCTGTAACAGACTGTAGGGGCAAGTGCTGTTAGTGAGCAGCACCTACGAAAGCCAGCATGGCACACGAGGGTGTGGGTGGCCAGCACCACGCCCGGCCGCCTTTGTCAGCGACGAGTCCACTCAGTTCCACATCGTTCCATACCTCATCAGCTCCATCTCTTCTCCAGCCCGTGCCCTGTCCCGTTTAGCCCCCCCCCCCCCCCCCCCCTCTAGTCGGCCAAACAGAAGCCGCTCGGGCACGTGTTGGCCGGGCCACGCGGCCTACGTGACCCAGCCAACGCACGCCTCCTCGCTCTGCCGGAAGAGACTGCGTCTGGATGTGCAAGCTCCTGTAAATCCGGTCTCCTGGATTGTAGGAAGTTGTACGAACTTTGAACTTCCTTTCGCACCGTACGTAGCCGACCGTGCTCTTCAGTGCTAAATAAAAACGAGTTTGTCGATCTCGCATATCGGAAGGAAGAGAGCGTTCCAGACGGCCGCAGAAGCTGTGCCGTTGCCACCGCCTTTGTTCGATGACTGAACCAGAAGCGATGGGGGGGTGGGGGGGCGGGCAGGTTCCTTACATTGGCCCACGCACCACCTCACACCAACACAGGTGGTGGTGGTGTTGATGGTGGTGGTGATGGTGGTGATGGTGTTGGTGGTGTTGGTGGTGTTGATGGTGTTGGTGGTGTTGATTGTGTTGGTGGTGTTGATGGTGGAGATGGTGTTGATGGTGATGGTGTTGATGGTGGTGGTGTTGATGGTGGTGGTGGTGCTGCAGGGTTTAATCAGCGAGGAGGAGGGATGCCTGAACCGCTGCCAGAGTCACGAGGTGGCATGTTTCAGCCTCAAATGGGTACGGACACGCACACACACACAAAGACACACAAACACACGTATGCACACACACATGTACATACACGTATACAAAGATCAAAGACAAAGATCCCCCGTATAGCCTTAACAGACTGTAGGGGCAAGTGCTGTTAGCGAGCACCTATGAAGGCCGGAACGGTACACGATGGGGTGGGTGGCCAGCACCACGCCCGACCGCCTTTGTCTCCCTAGTGACGATGTTTACACACCGCACCAGGTACTGATTTGAGGCTGAGTCGACCTAGGGGAGGCCCGGGACCGGTTCAGATAATCGTCATTGGTGTTGGCCGTGAGCGGGAATCGAACCCGGGTCGCCAGGTTCATAGCGCAGCGCGCTAACTGCTACATTATCGCTCCCCACACGTATACACACACGCACACACACACATACACAACAACAACAACCGCCATTCGCCACTAAGTGGTGATGACGTCACCACGACGCTTGTGCCAGGCCATGTGCACATTGAGGCCACGTGGAGTGTCGAACGCCCGCTGGCAAGAGGTCATGGGGCAGACCAGGTGCCACGGGTCGACTGACTGAGATGATTGGCTGATGCACCACCTGTGCCCCCTACTGTACCAACCTGCTGTGCTTTAGCCACCCGGCGCTCCGCTCGTTGTTGTGAGCGTCGCTCCTCCGCCCTCCGTTGTTGTTGGAGGGCGACTACCTCCAACTGCCCAGTAGCGTCCTTCACGAGCCTCCTCCACAGAGGCCGATCTTGACCCCGCTGGTACCAGTCATCAGCAAGTCCACTCAGCTCCACGTCCTCCTATACCACATCACTCCATCTCTTCTCTAGTCCGTACCGCGCCCGTTTAGCCCCCTCGATCCGGCCGAGCAAAAGCTGTTTCGGCATGCGGTGGCTGGGCATGCGGGCTACATGACCCAGCCAACGCAGCCTTGCCTGCCGGAGGAGCTCACCGATGGGACCGTGCCCAGATCTTTCAAGGATTTGTGAGCTCCTCACACAATCCAGCCTGGTTAAACCCAGGATGGATCGTAGGCAGGCCAGCCTAAATGTTTCTAACCGGCGTAGATTTTACATTAGGGGGGGTCCACGTTTCGCAAGCGTAGAGAAGGGAGGGAATGACCGTGGCCGAGAAGACCTGAAGCTTAGTGCGGAGCGACAGACCAGGTAGCTTCCACACAGCATTACGCAACCGATGAAAAGATATTGCCGCTCGACTGATTCGGAGTGAAACCTCTGCTGTTAAACTGGAGCCGGTCATAAGCACACTGCCCAGGTATGGGAAACTCTCCACTCTCTCCACAACTGCCCCATCACCGATTGGGAGTTGTGGGGGTGGAGTGTCTGATGGTACAAAATACCCAGGCAGGTACTTAGTTTTGGTGGAGCTGATGGTAAGGCCCCATCTCTTAGTAGCACGCTCCAGTCTCAACAGCAGCGTCTCCAACTCCTCCTCTGAATGAGCAGCTATTACCAAATCATCGGCATACATAACGTGGTTGAGCAATAGGGAGGCATCCCTTGACCGCACCCGGGCATCGATCAGCCTCCCATTATATCTGTACCATATGGAGATTCCCCTGGTACAGCTATTGATGGCTTCACGAACTACATGGTCAAAATAGATGTTAAATAATGTGGGAGCCAGAGGACATCCCTGTCGCACCCCAAGGTGTACAGGGAATGGCTCTGACTCCAGGCCACGTAGTTTTACCCGGGCCTGCTCACCATCATGAAGGTCCTTAATGATCATGAGCAGAGGGTCAGGTACTCCAAAAGCACGAATAACAATCCAGAGCCCAGGCCTACTGATGGTATCATAGGCCTTGACCAGGTCAATAAAGCAGAGATGTAGGTCTTGCTGGAATTCCCTACACCTCTGCGGTAGCAGATGGACAGAAAATATGGCATCTGTGCAGGACCACCCTTTCCGGAAACCGCATTGGGGCTCCGCAAGCCTCTATTCAGCGTGCCTGGCAAGGCGATGTTGAATAATCCTTGCCAGGACCTTTCCCGGCACACTGAGGAGTGAGATGCCCCTATAGTTGTTACAGTCTGTGCGGTCCCCCTTCTTAAAGAGGGGGACCACCAGGGCATCCTTCCAATCCTGCGGAACCCGTCCAGTGGTCAAGACTGTTGTTATGATGTCATATAGGGCAGTCTGTGCACAAACGCCACCCTCAGCATTTCGCTTGGGAGATCATCTCTGCCCGCTGCCTTTCCTGGTCTCAGACTCCGGATCGCCTTCAGTACTTCCTCAACAGATGGCACCTCAGCCAGCCACTCACAGGGGGTGACTTCTTCCAATATTTGAGGCACCACAGCCTCAGCAGGGTCATCCCCACTTTGTGCCACGATGTTTTCCTGGCTGAGGGATTTCCCCTCCCCTAGGACCTCACAGAAATGCTCAGCAAATCTGCATACCTGTTCCTGGGATCGGAGATTGGATCACCGTTTTTTCCCCTAATGATGGTAATAGGTGTGGCACTGCAGGTTACTTTTTTGATGGAGTTAAATAGAGATTTGTGATCACGGGCCACTGAGGCAGACTCCATCTCCTCAGCAACCCGTGACCACCACCCATCCTTGCAGCGCCTCACGGCTCTCCGAACCTCCGAGCGAAGGCTGCGGTAAGCCTCCTCATTCTCTGACGTGGGATTCTGTAGCCGATGACAGTGGGCCTGTCACTTTTTCTCAACCATCCTGAACACCTCATCTATCAGCCAGGGTCTCTGGGGAGGTCTGGACCGCGTACCCAAAGCAGCCATTGCAGCTGCATGAGTCACAGTCCTAAACCTCGCCCATTTACCCTCGACATCAGGAGGAGTGGGGGACGATGCCAACCCCAGCCGCAAGTCATGATGACATTCTCGCTTGCAACTTTCATCAGATAACTGAGACCAGGCCACTTTAGGTTGGAATGGGGTCTTGGGTGTACACCCACCGCCGGAGTGGAAGAATGGCAGGCGCATCTTACAGATGACTAGTCGATGGTGGCAGATCAGCTCCACGGTAGGTCCTGGTGTCAAGGACATGGGCTCGCATCCGCTGGTCCATCACTATGTAGTCCAGCAGATGTACTTGCTTAGACCCGGCATGCATCCATGATGTTGTGTGGATGCGCCGATGCCTGAACAGCGTGTTGGCAATTACAAGCCCATGGGCTGTACAAAAATCTAGTAGCCTCCTACCGTTGTTATTGAGCTGATCTGGGTCATGCCCTCCAATCACTCCAGACCAGGTGCCAGCATCATGACCAACTCGGGCATTGAAGTCACCCAACAAGATGACTCTATCCCGAGGGGCCACTTTAGCCAGCACCTGTGACAGGAGGTCATAGAAGGCATCTGACTCATCGGCTTTGCCTGCATCCCTCCACGGATGTTCGTCTTCGGTGCGGGCATAAGTAACCACGACCACCACTCCTCGCCTCCGGTTGATGGTAAGGCGAGCCCAAAGTAGCCTGGGGCTTACAGCTTCCCACACCTCACCGCCACGCTCCCATGCCCCCTTCTTTCTTTTATTCAAAAGAAGAGCCACACCCTGTTGTTTGGCAGTCTGCTGTCCCGAGTAGAGGACTGTCCACCCCTCATGGTGGCAGGAGCCAGAACTGGTGCACCGGACCTCCTGAATGCCACAGAGATCCAGGCGGTACCGGTCCAGCTCCCGACAGAGGAGTGGCAGCCTCTCCTTCGCAGTGAGCGTTCGAACATTCTACGTGGCCATCCGTAATGGCTTTTCGTTGTTTCTGGAGGAGCCCCGAGGGTAGAAATCCAATCTCCTGGCTCCGCCAATTGCGGTTTGGCCAGGAGACGTCATAGGCGCCTGTCCCCCCGGGGCCTCCGGCACAAGCTTATTAGTAAAATTTTGTATTCGTAGTTTAGTGGTATTTAATTGAAGGTGGACACAGACGCCATGAGGGGAGGAGCCAATCGGAATTGGACCTCCCCCCACAGCACTGTCTATGACAGAGTTGCCCGTCCGGCACTGCGAGGAGGTAGGGGGTTGTTTTGCCGGACACGTACAGGCACACACACGCACACACACACGTACACATACACACACGTACACATACACACACGCATGCACACACACAAAGACACATGCACACACACACGTACATACACACGTATACACACACGTATACACACACGCACGTACACACGCACACGTATATACACACACTTACACACGCACACACACAAAGACACGTACACACACGCACACACACGTACACACACACGTACATACACACGTACACACACACGTACATACACACGTACACACACACGTACACGCACACGTACACGCACACACACACACAGACACGTACACACAACAACAACCGCCATTCGCCACTAAGTGGCGGTGACGTCACCACGACGCTTGTGCCAGGCCATGTGCACCTTGAGGCCACGTGAAGTGTCGAACACCCGCTGGCAGGAGGTCACGGGGCAGACCCAGATGTCATGGGTCGACTGACTGAGATGACCGAGATGACTGGCTGATGCACCACCTGTGCCCCCTACTGTGCCAACTTGCTGTGCTTTAGCCACCCGGCGCTCCGCTCGTTGTTGTGAGCGTCGCTCCTCCGCCCTCCGTTGTTGTTGGAGGGCGACTACCTCCAACTGCCCAGTAGCGTCCTTCACGAGCCTCCTCCACAGAGGCCGATCTTGACACCGCTGGTACCAGTCATCGGCAAGTCCACTCAGCTCCACGTCTTCCTGTACCACATCACTCCATCTCTTCTCTAGCCCGTGCCGCGCCCGTTTAGCCCCCTCAATCCGGCTGAACAAAATCTGTTTCGGCATGCGGTGGCTGGGCATGCGGGCTACATGACCCAGCCAACGCAGCCTTGCCTGCCGGAGGAGCTCACCGATGGGACCGTGCCCAGATCTTTCAAGGATTTGTGAGCTCCTCACACAATCCAGCCTGGTTAAACCCAGGATGGATCGTAGGCAGGCCAGCCTAAATGTTTCTAACCGGCGTAGATTTTCCATTAGGGGGGTCCACGTTTCGCAAGCGTAGAGAAGGGAGGCAATGGCCGTGGTCGAGAAGACCTGAAGCTTAGTGCGGAGCGACAGACCTGGTAGCTTCCACACAGCGTTACGCAACCGATGAAAAGATATTGCCGCTCGACTGATTCGGAGTGAGACCTCTGCTGTTAAACTGAAGCCGGTCATAAGCACACTGGGCAGGTATGGGAAACTCACCACTCTCTCCACAACTGCCCCATCACCGATTAGGAGTTGTGGGGGTGGAGTGTCCGATGGTACAAAATACCCAGGCAGGTGCTTAGTTTTGGTGGGGCTGATGGTAAGGCCCCACCTCTTAGTGGCACGCTCCAGTCTCAGCAGCAGCGTCTCCAACTCCTTCTCTGAATGAGCAGCTATTACACACACACGTACACACACACGTACACACCCCTTACACACGTGCACACCCCTTACACACGTGCACACCCCTTACACACGTACAAACACACATGTACACACACACACAAAGATCCCCCGTATAGCCTGAACAGACTGTAGGGGCAAGTGCTGTTAGCGAGCACCTATAGATGCCGGCACGGCACACGAGGGGTTGGGTGGCCAACACCACGCTCGGCTGTCCTTGCGATGTTCACTACGCTACACCGCTACACCAGGTACTCATTTGAGGCTGAGTCGACCTTGGGGATGCCCAGTCCAGATACTCACCCACTGAGCCACTCGCGCACACCGTGCAGAGTTGACGTGACGCTGGTGATGGTGGTGATGGTGGAGGTGATGGAGGTGATGATGGTGATGATGGTGGTAGTGATGGTGGTGATGATGGAGGTGATGATGGTGATGATGGTGGTGATGATGATGGAGGTGATGATGGTGATGATCGATGGTGTTGATGGTGTTGATGGTGGTGATGATGATGGTAGTGATGGTGATGATGGTGGTAGTGATGGTGGTGATGGTGGTGATGATGGTGATGATCGATGGTGGTGATGGTGGTGATGGTGATGGTGGTGATGACGGTGACGGTGGTGAAGGTGGTGATGATGGTGAAGGTGATGATGATAATGGTGATGATGATGGTGATGTTGATGGTGGTGATGATGATGGTGGTGATGATGGTGATGATGATCATGATGGTGATGATGATGGTGATGATGGTGTTGATGGTGATGATGGTGATGATGATGGTGATGCTAATGATGATGATGATGGTGGTAGTGATGATGATGGTGATGATGATGGTGTTGATGGTGTTGATGGTGATGATGGTGATGCTAATGATGATGGTGGTGATGGTGGTAGTGATGATGATGGTGATGATGGTGATGATGATGGTGTTGATGGTGATGATGGTGATGATGATGGTGTTGATGGTGATGATGGTGATTATGGTGATGATGCTGGTAGTGATGATGATGGTGATGATGATGGTGTTGATGGTGATGATGGTGATGATGGTGATGCTAATGATGATGGTGATGATGGTGGTAGTGATGATGATGGTGATGATGGTGATGATGATGGTGTTGATGGGGATGATGGTGATGATGATGGTGTTGATGGTGATGATGGTGATGATGGTGATTATGGTGATGATGGTGGTGATGCTAATGATGATGATGATGGTGATGATGGTGGTAGTGATGATGATGGTGATAATGATGGTGTTGATGGTGATTATGGTGTTGATGGTGGTGATGGTGGTGATGGTGGTGATGATTATGGTGATGATGGGGATGATGATGGTGTTGATGGTGATGCTAATGATGATGATAGTGGTAGTGATGATGATGGTGATGATGGTGGTGATGCTAATGATGATGGTGATGATGGTGATGATGATGATGATGGTGTTGATGGTGATGATGATGGTGTTGATGGTGATGCTAATGATGATGGTGATGGTGATGATGGTGGTAGTGATGATGATGGTGATGATGGTGGTAGTGATGATGATGGTGATGATGGTGGTAGTGATGATGATGGTGATGATGGTGATGATGATGGTGATGATGGTGATTATGGTGATGATGGTGGTGATGGTGATGCTATTGATGATGGTGATAATGGTGGTAGTGATGATGATGATGGTGATGATGATGGTGGTAGTGATGATGATGATGGTGCTGATGACGGTGGCGATGCAGGGAGGGAGATGCGCCCTGGAGAGCCGCGGATGATGGAGCCGCAGCGAGGCGGCATGGGAGGCATGCACATGGTGAGTGGCGGTCCCCACGTGCACCGCACCGTGCGCTCTGACTCCCTGTGTCTGTACGTTGCGACGTAGTCCTCGTCACGACAACGATGACGATGATGATGACGACGATGATGACGATGATGATGATGACGATGATGACGACGACGATGATGATGACGACGATGATGACGACGATGACGACGACGATGATGATGACGATGATGATGACGACGATGACGACGATGATGATGACGACGACGATGACGATGATGACGACGACGACGATGACGATGATGACGACGATGATGATGATGACGATGACGACGATGATGATGACGACGACGATGATGATGACGACGACGATGACGACGATGACGATGATGACGACGATGATGATGATGATGATGACGATGACGACGATGATGATGACGATGATGATGATGACGACAACGATAACGACGATGATGATGACGACGATGACGACGACGATGACGACGACGACGATGATGACGACAATGACGACGATGATGACGTCGATGATGACGACGATGATGACGATGATGATGACGACGATGATGACGATGACGATGATGACGACGACGACGATGACGACGATGATGTCGACGATGATGATGACGACGATGATGACGACGACGACGAGGATGACGACGAGGATGACGACGATGATGACGATGATGACGACGATGACGATGATGACGATGATGTCGACGATGACGATGATGTCGACGATGATGATGTCGACGACGATGATGACGATGATGATGACGACGATGATGATGATGACGATCATGACAACGACGATGATGACAATCATGACGACGACGATGATGACGATGATGACGACGACGACGATGATGACGACGATGATGATGAGGTGCCACCACCAATAGCAGCATGGCCGCCGCTCCCCTCGCCCTTCTCTCTCTGCCTTCTCCCCCCTCCCCGGCAGTCGGGAGCCGGGGGGCTGCCGCTGGGAGGGATGAGCCCTGGGCAGACCACGGTAACGGCACAGGACCAGGAGAAGGTGAGAGGCCTCACTCACTCACACACACACAGTCACTCACTCACACACTCACTCACACACTCACTCACACACACACAGTCACTCACTCACACACAGTCACTCACTCACGCACAGTCACTCACTCACACACAGTCACTCACTCACACAGTCACTCACTCACACAGTCACTCACTCACACACTCACTCACACACACACTCACACACTCACTAACACACTCACTCACACACACACTTACACACACAACAACAACAACCGCCATTCGCCACTAAGTGGCAGTGACGTCACCACGACGCTTGTGCCAGGCCATGTGCACCTTGAGGCCACGTGAAGTGTCGAACGCCCGCTGGCAGGAGGTCACGGAGCAGACCCAGGTGCCACGGGTCGACTGACTGAAATGACTGTCTGATACACCACCTGTGCCCCCTACTGTGCCAACCTGCTGTGCTTTAGCCACCCGGCGCTCCGCTCGTTGTTGTGAGCGTCGCTCCTCCGCCCTCCGTTGTTGTTGGAGGGCGACTACCTCCAACTGCCCAGTAGCGTCCTTCACGAGCCTCCTCCACAGAGGCCGATCTTGACACCGCTGGTACCAGTCATCGGCAAGTCCACTCAGCTCCACGTCTTCCTGTACCACATCACTCCATCTCTTCTCTAGCCCGTGCCGCGCCCGTTTAGCCCCCTCAATCCGGCTGAACAAAATCTGTTTCGGCATGCGGTGGCTGGGCATGCGGGCTACATGACCCAGCCATCGCAGCCTTTCTCGCCGGAGGAGCTCACCGATGGGACCTTGCCCAAATCTTTCAAGGATTTGTGAGCTCCTCACACAATCCAGTCTGGTTAAATCCAGGATGGATCGTAGGCAGGCCAGCCTAAATGTTTCTAACCGGCGAAGATGTTCCATTAGGGGGGTCCACGTTTCGCAAGCGTAGAGAAGGGAGGGAATGACCATGGCCGAGAAGACCTGAAGCTTAGTGCGGAGCGACAGACCAGGTAGCTTCCACACAGCGTTACGCAACCGATGAAAAGATATTGCCGGTCGACTGATTTGGAGTGAGACCTCTGCTGTTAAACTGGAGCCGGTCATAAGCACACTGCCTAGGTATGGAAAACTCTCCACTCGCTCCACAACTGCCCCATCACCGATTGGGAGTTGTGGGGGTGGAGTGTCCAATGGTACAAAATACCCAGGCAGGTGCTTAGTTTTGGTGGGGCTGATGGTAAGGTCCCACCTCTTAGTGGCACGCTCCAGTCTCAGCAGCAGCGTCTCCAACTCCTCCTCTGAATGAGCAGCTATTACCAAATCATCAGCATACATAATGTGGTTGAGCAATAGGGAGCCATCCCTTGACTGCACCCGGGCATCGATCAGCCTCCCATTATATCTGTACCATTAGGAGATTCCCCCGGTACAGCTATTGAAGGCTTCACGAACTACGTGGTCAAAATAGATGTTAAATAATGTGGGAGCCAGAGGACATCCCTGTCGCACCCCAAGATGTACAAGGAATGGCTCTGACTCCCGGCCACGTAGTTTTACCCGGGCCCGCTCACCATCATGAAGGTCCTTAATGATCGTGAGCAGAGGGTCAGGTACTCCAAAAGCACGAAGAACAACCCAGAGCCCAGGCCTTCTGATGGTATCATAGGCCTGGACCAGGTCAATAAAGCAGAGATGTAGGTCTTGTTGGAATTCCCTACACCTCTGCTGTAGCAGACGGACAGAAAATATGGCATCTGTGCAGGACCGCCTCTCCTCAGCGTGCTTGGCAAGGCGATGTTGAATAATCCTTGCCAGCACCTTTCCCGGCACACTGAGGAGTGAGATGCCCCTGTAGTTGTTACAGCCTGTACGGTCCCCCTTCTTAAAAAGGGGGACCACCAGGGCATCCTTCCAATCCTGCGGAACCCGTCCATTGCTCCAGACTGTAGTTATGATGTCATATAGGGCAGTCAGTCCACAAACGCCACCCTCCCTCAGCATTTCGCTTGGGAGATCATCTCTGCCCACTGCCTTTCCTGGTCTCAGACTCCGGATCGCCTTCAGTACTTCCTCAACAGATGGCACCTCAACCAGCCACTCACAGGGGGTGACTTCTTCCAATATTTGAGGCACCGCAGCCTCAGCAGGGTCATTCTCACTTTGTGCCACAATGTTTTCCTGGCTGAGGGATTTTCCCTCCCTCAGGACCTCACAGAAATGCTCAGCACATCTGCAAACCTGTTCCTGGGGGTCGGAGATTGGATCACCGTTTTTTCCCCTAATGATGGTAATAGGTGTGGCGCTGCAGGTTACTTTTTTGATGGAGTTAAATAGAGATTTGTGATCACGGGCCACTGAGGCAGACTCCATCTCCTCAGCAACCCGCGACCACCACCCATCCTTGCAGCGCCTCACGGCTCTCCGAACCTCCGAGCGAAGGCTGCGGTAAGCCTCCTCATTCTCTGACGTGGGATTCTGTAGCCAATGACAGTGGGCCTGTCGCTTTTTCTCAACCATCCTGAACACCTCCTCTGTCAGCCAGGGTCTCTGGGGAGGTCTGGACCGCGTACGTAAAGCAGCCATTGCAGCTGCACGAGTCACAGTCCTAAACCTCGCCCATTTACCCTCGACATCAGGAGGAGTCGGGGACGATGCCAATTCCAGCCGCAAGCGATGATGAAATTCTCACTTGCAACTTTCATCAGATAACTGAGACCAGGCCACTTTAGGTTGGAATGGGGTCCTGGGTGTACACCCACCACCGGAGTGGAAGAATGGCAGGCGCATCTTACAGATGACTAGTCGATGGTCAGAGGGCAGATCAGCTCCACGGTAGGTCCTGGTGTCAAAGACAGGGGCTCGCATCCGCTGGTCCGTCACTATGTAGTCCAGCAGATGTTCTTGCTTGGACCCGGCATGCATCCATGATGTTGTGTGGATGCGCCGATGCCGGAACAGCGTGTTGGTAATTACAAGCCCATGGGCTGCACAAAAATCTAGCAGCCTCCTACCATTGTTATTGAGCTGATCTGGCCCATGCCCTCCAGTCACTCCAGACCAGGTGCCAGCATCATGACCAACTCGGGCATTGAAGTCACCCAACATGATGACTCTATCCCGAGGGGCCACTTTAGCCAGCACCTGTGACAGGAGGTCATGGAAGGCATCTGACTCACCGGCTTTGCCTGCATCCCTCCACGGATGTTCATCTTCGGTGGGGGCATAAGTAACCACGACCACCATTCCTCGCCTCCGGTTGATGGGAAGGCGAGCCCAAAGTAGCCTGGGGCTTGCAGCTTCCCACACCTCACTGCCACGCTCCCACGTCCCCTTCATTCTTTTGTTCAAAAAAGAGCCACACCCTGTTGTTTGGCAGTCTGCTGCCCCGAGTAAAGGACTGTCCACCCCTCATGGTGGCAGGAGCCAGAACCGGTCCACCGGACCTCCTGAATGCCACAGAGATCCAGGCGGTACCGGTCCAGCTCCCGACAGAGGAGTGGCAGCCTCTCCTCCGCAGTGAGCGTTCGAACATTCCACGTGGCCACCCGTAGTGGTTTTTCGTTGTTTCTGGAGGAGCCCCGAGGGTAGATATTCAATCTCCCAGCTCCACCAATTGGGGTTTGGGCAGGAGACGTCATAGACGCCTGGCCCCCCGGGGCCTCCGGCACAAGCTTATTAGTTATATACCTAATTCGCAGTTTAGTGTTATTAATTGAAGGTGGAGGGGTTACCAGCCCCTCGCACCCGTCCAGAGACTCTGTTTAGCTCCTGTGGTGGACACAGATGCCATGAGGGGAGGAGCCAATCGAAATTTGACCTCCCCCCACAGCACTGTCCACGACAGAGTTGCCCGTCCGGCACCGCGAGGAGGTAGGGGGTTGTTTTGCCGGACACACTCACTCACACTCATTCACACACTCACACACACACTCACACACTCACTAACACACTCACTCACACACTCACTCACACACTCACACAACAACAACAACAACAACCGCCATTCGCCACTAAGTGGCGGTGACGTCACCACGACGCTTGTGCCAGGCTATGTGCACCCTGAGGCCACGTGAAGTGTCGAACGCCCGCTGGCAGGAGGTCACGGGGCAGACCCAGGTGCCACGGGTCGACTGACTGAGATGACTGGCTGATGCACCACCTGTGCCCCCTACTGTGCCAACCTGCTGTGCTTTAGCCACCCGGCGCTCCGCTCGCTGTTGTGAGCGTCGCTCCTCCGCCCTCCGTTGTTGTTGGAGGGCGACTGCTCCAACTGCCCAGTAGCATCCTTCACGAGCCTCCTCCACAGAGGCCGATCTTGACACCGCTGGTACCAGTCATCGGCAAGTCCACTCAGCTCCACGTCCTCCTGTACCACATCACTCCATCTCTTCTCTAGCCCGTGCCGCGCCCGCTTAGCCCCCTCAATCCGGCCAAACAAAAGCTGTTTCGGCATGCGGTGGCTGGGCATGCGGGCTACATGACCCAGCCATCGCAGCCTTGCCTGCCGGAGGAGCTCACCGATGGGACCCTGCCCAGATCTTTCAAGGATTTGTGAGCTCCTCACACAATCCAGTCTGGTTAAACCCAGGATGGATCGTAGGCAGGTCAGCCTAAATGTTTCTAACCGGCGAAGATGTTCCATTAGGGGGGTCCACGTTTCGCAAGCGTAGAGAAGGGAGGGAATGACCGTGGCCGAGAAGACCTGAAGCTTAGTGCGGAGCGACAGACCAGGTAGCTTCCACACAGCGTTACGCAACCGATGAAAAGATATTGCCGCTCGACTGATTCGGAGTGAGACCTCTGCTGTTAAACTGGAGCCAGTCATAAGCACACTGCCCAGGTATGGGAAACTCTCCACTCTCTCCACAACTGCCCCATCACCGATTGGGAGTTGTGGGGGTGGAGTGTCCGATGGTACAAAATACCCAGGCAGGTGCTTAGTTTTGGTGGGGCTGATGGTAAGGCCCCACCTCTTAGTGGCACGCTCCAGTCTCAGCAGCAGCGTCTCCAACTCCTCCTCTG